GTAGGCCAAAACCTCCTTTCTAAGGAGAGGCCTATGTCCAGCAGTGGACTATTAAAGGCTGTTAATGTGTGATGTGAAGTCTTATATCATTTGGGATTTTATTATAAAATCGACGTCTCAATCCCATTCCCTTACCCGAACGGGCCATCTTCTTTTATCCTGTCTAAATTAATTTTCTGCATCGCCTACCTACTCAGTTGCTTAGTAGAGAATACCTTAGTCGTTAAGTCCGCCGATGGATAAACTTGTTGTATGAAGTTAAATAAAATTAACTAAAAAAAATTAAAAGGATTTCCTTTCCAAGGAAAGTAGACTAAACCTTTTGCAAGATTACAAAGTGCCGGGAGAGTTCTAAACCTCTCCCGATCCTTGCTCCGATAACTTGCTCGCAGAAGGAGATCGCAGAGTTCCACGCACTCTCGCTCCGCACGATGGCCGCAATCATGTTATCAAGCGAGAGAACTTCTGATCGCCTGCGTCAGCCGGTATGTGAAGGTCCCGTGATGCCTCTCGAGCCAATCCTCTATAAGGGGTCTTACCGCCGCGATGACGCCGTGTCCGAATAATACTTACCCTAAGTTAAAACTAATAATATAAAACAGAGTAAATCAACTTTAAATATCAAACGGCTCACGTGACGTAATATCATATAACTGTTACGTAACAACCGGCTGATAACAAAAAACGTTATGGCACCGTTTATTGATCAGCTGCGAATTAATTTTCAAGCTCTTTAGTTGAAAGCTTTTGCCGATGCAAGCAGGATAGTACAACACGGGTAAGGAGTTCAGAAGTAATACTGATTCATCCTTTACTTTTGGCACGTTTTCGTAGGTTCAATTTAAAAAAAAAATTCAAGTTGAGTGAAATTAGATATCCGTGTTCTCATGTCGGTATTAACTACTTGAATTTTGATAACTCGCAGAACGTGTAAAACTAAATTGTAAAAAAATATATACAAATATATTTTTTCAGCGGCTGTAATATAAAAAGAATATTTTACTATCGAACGAATCGAGTCCCTGCAGCGTTGCCAAGTAGATTGGCGATACATCAAAGTGATGAGATGTCTCTACGAAGCCGCCACCATGTCCGTCCAAGTACAGAATCAGCAAACAAGGCCCGTACCATTGCATCGAGGAGTGAGACAAGGGGACGTTATTTCCCCGAAATTGTTCACAAATGCAATGGAGGACATGTTCAAGACGCTGCACTGGAAAGGGCGTGGCATCAATATCAATGGCGAATACATCTCTCACTTGCGATTTGCAGATGACATCGTCATCATGGCAGAGACGTTGCAGGACCTACAGCAAATGCTGAATGACTTAGCTGACACTTCTGTACGCATCGGCCTACGGATGAACTTGGATAAAACCAAGGTCATGTTCAACGAACATGTACTACCGGAACCGATTGCGGTACACGGTGCCGTTCTCGAAGTTGTTCAAAAATTATGTGTACCTCGGGCAGACATTGCAGTTAGGTAGAAACAACTTCGAGGACGAGGTGAACAGAAGAATTCGGTTGGGTTGGGCAGCGTTTGGGAAGCTACGTCGAGTCTTCTCATCGTCGATCCCACAGTGCCTTAAGACGAAAGTCTTTAATGAGTGCGTCCTACCCGTCATGACATACGGAGCTGAAACGTGGACACTTACGGTACGGCTGGTCCACAAGTTCAAAGTCGCTCAACGTGCTATGGAAAGGGCTATGCTCGGCGTTTCTCTAAGGGATCGCATCAGAAATGAGGTGATCCGGCAGAGAACTAAGGTCACCGACGTAGCGTACCGGATCAGCAAGTTGAAGTGGCAGTGGGCTGGCCATATTAGCCGCAGAACCGATAACCGTTGGGGAAAACGAGTTCTTGAGTGGAGACCGCGTCTCGGCAAACGTAGTGTAGGACGCCCACAGGCCAGGTGGAGTGACGATTTGCGCAAGATGGCTGGCAGGAGCTGGATGCGAGAAGCCCAAAATCGATCTAAATGGCGAGCAATGGGAGAGGCCTATGTCCAGCAGTGGACTGCGATAGGCTGATGATGACTATCGAACACGCAGAGACTGCCTGCCGCCGAAATCGTAACCTCTTACATAACGAGGTGCGTGCCGAACCGCGGTGAAAGTGTTCCGACCACATTCCGAACAGAATTACATGTTCTGAACGAACCAGTAGGAAACTTTTGCGGTTACTTGTTTATTTTGAATGTATATTTAGGTCATACGTATTAGATACGCGGATGTGAAACGATACAGCTCGTCCTTGCTTTAAGCACAACTAGCTCATAAACTGTACCGAGAAAATTCTCTTTTTGAACCACTTCTTCTTATCGTGTCAATGGCAACACTTTACACGGTTTTGGCCCAGTGCTCGACGACGCGAATGGTGTTTGACCTTGCTAGATATAAGTTGTCAAGCGTACACGATTCTGAGCTCGCGTGGCATGTTAGCAAGTGGCCCATTGACTGTGGGGACGAAACCACTAAGATGAAGATTTTAAACCAACATTTAGCTGTTAGTGGTGTTTATGAATATAAACACCTTGCTCAAAAAAAGCATTGCGACCTTTTCGCCTAGTAGACTATTACTAATATGACTGTGGGAGAGGTAAGCTTCTGGTACAATAGGGCCCGACCGGAGTCATATTATGGCCTCACAAAAACTTCTTTGCTTTTCACCGAGTGAAGGAGGTTACTGGTTGTCAAAGAATCCTCCCTTAAATATCAGGGGAGGCAACGCACTTGTGTCCAGTTGTAGGTATCCATAGGCGGTGGTAGTCACTTGCCATCAGGTGACCCGACCATAAAAAGTATGTTTTCGAATGGGGTAGCATCATTAACATTGACTGCACGGATGGTTTAAGCGGTCGCCACGCCGCTTACTACTACGCAGAGTGTTGTGGGTGCGATTCCCACATAGGACGACACTTTGTGTGATCCACAAATTGTTGTTCTGAGTCTGGATGTTCTTTGTGTCCGTTTCATGTATGTTTGTAAAGTCCCCCGCGACGCAGGATATATTCCTAATGCGGGAGTTGTCTTTTTAAGAGAGAAAGAGAAAAGAGACATTCAACGTATGTTTTTAATAACATTCATTTATATCAGATTATCATCCATATCTTGTTAGAATTAATTCTTAATAGTTTTGTTAGTAGAAAAATAATAATAATAATTTATATTGATGTCAAGTCTTATATGTCAATAATCATTGCTTATTCAAAATGTTCATTTTAAATGTCAGTTTTTTAACAAAACTATAAATTATAATTACAGTAACACTCGAATCACAAGGAACCAGTTAAAACAAAGTACAATAAACACTTAACGAGCCATCATAACACAGATTTATGGGAGAAAACGCTAAAAAAGAAACTTAATGAAACTGCCGATGGGCTGGCGCAGTCATAAAGCATGGCGTGGAGAAAGTGGCTTTATATGGGCCATGGACCATGGGCCACGGCCTGTAATCATTATAGGGATAACGATGCTTTGTTTACATTGGGATAAATGCCATGCGAGTGTCAACTGGTATCTCTTGACGGATACTGTGTCACTTGACGCCTTTTAATAAATGTTCAAATTAAATTGATACAATCTGTCCGATTTAATAATAAAAGCCAAATAATATTGAAGACTTAAGTATCAACAAATTTAAATCCGCAATAAAACGTAAACTTTTTCAGAAAGCCTATTACTCAATTGTGGATTACATAGAAGACAAAAATCGAATTATTTAGCGCAGGCTATTTTTAATTGGAAATGTGGTGTGGGCTAGGGTGTTGTATGTATGTATGTTTTACTTCACTTTCTCTTTTATTTGATCCTTTTCCTAATCTTATTTTTTCTTTATTGTCTTTTTACCTTTAAGTCCTTAATAACGGTCATACTGACACACATCACAACAATGTTGTGGTATATTTAATGACGCCATTGTATCTATCTGTAAATTTCAAAAGAGTGGCCATGGGTTTGTTTGCCCTTTCTTCTCATAAGGCTCAACTCTTTTGAAACGGGCGGTTGTAGATCGGCACAGGCTTATCATAGATTTTGTAAAAGTATAATTTATATTAAATTTATTTCGCTAACTATTTGACAAAACAAAGATTGTTACTATTGTGTGTGTGTGTGTGTGTGTGTGTGTGTGTGTGTGTGTGTGTGTGTGTGTGTGTGTGTGTGTGTGTGTGTGTGTGTGTGTGTGTGTTGATTTACGACTTTAGAGTCTACATAAAAGACGATTTCAAACAATTTTAATTTTTATATGAAATAAAATAGTTTGAATTGAGTTTTCTCGAAGGACCAGGGTTGCGTACCCGTGTATCTTTTCTATGATTAAACAGGCCCAAGACACGGACATCACTGCCTAGTAAAGATAACTCTGTATTTTTAACTGAGAAGGGCATATAAAACCTACCTTTGATAACTACCTTAGAGTCTACGTAAAAGACGATTTCAAACGATTTAATTATTTTTCTTATAAAATAAAGATATTTTGAGTTTGAGTTTACGAAGGCTGTGGCAGACAGCGGGTGAATCGGGATGACTGCGACGTTTGTAATGTACTAGCGCCGAGTGCAGAGCGCGCGGCTGTCTGACATTTTCCAAGTTTATTTACTAGCCCATTATAACCTACATAGATTCCTATACGTAGCAATACCTTTGACTAGCCAGTTGTCTAGTGGTTAGTAACCCTGACTGCTAAGCCGGAGGTTGTGGGTTCGATTCCCACCCAGGACAATTTTGAGCACGATCATTTGTTGTGTGTCTGGGTGTAATTTATCTATAATAAATGAATGTATTTAGAAACATATAAGTATGTTTATCAGCAGTCTGGTTCAGTACAAGCTCTGCCTAGTTTGGGACTAGACGGCCGTGTGTGAGATGTGTGAAGTTTTTTTTAAAAAAACTATCACTGTATTCTAAACCTCAAGCAAAATTTTCAGATCTTAACCTCAAGCATCATTTTCAGATGTCAAATCATATTAAAATAAACTTTTTCTTCATTCCAGCATTTCTCGAGGCAATGACGCAAGCGTAGCGGGCGTCGCACATCAGTTGGGCGACGTAATGGCTGCCAGCAGAGACCACAACTGTCATCGCTTCAAATGTGACTTACACTGACACTAATACATGTTAGAGCCATCGATAGAGGTTGAACAGCTCTCAGGTTATAGAAAAAAACAAATTTGAAATTCGAATAGAGAATGGTGTTTTGAATTTCTCTTGCATCATTTAGGTTAAAAAAGGGCAGATGGCGCCACTTGTCATTGACTGGTCAATTAATCAGTGAAAATAATTTGCTTTATTTCCATTTTATTTTAAAATGCTTGTAAATCTTTTTTAAAGGTTCAGTTAAAGAATTTACTAATCACAACGCTATCCAGTGTGTAGTATTATAAAATTAAAGTAACAATTTAACGTACAATATTTGTAAAATAATATTTAAATATGACTACTCAGTGTCTTATAATAACTTAAAACAGACGGACTTTTTAGTGTTGCCAGTGATCAACATATAAATTATTTATATTAATTTATTCTGTAGCCTCTAAGTTAGTTATAATGTAATACTTATATTAGGTATATGAACAGGAATACTTTTTTATTCCCGTACATATAGATATTATCATGGATCGAATACGAAATTTTAAAAATTTTTGTAATGTAGTAGTTTTTATTTCATAAGGTTCCTGGGTGAGACACGTCACTGTTTATTTATTTAAAGTGCGAGTAAATAGAGCTAAAATGTATTTGTTGCACAGGGAATATAAATAAGCAAGATGACATTTAAATGAAAAGCTTAGCCAGCATGTGAGTAATCGATTGTATTCGATTAAATCGCTTGGTATTACTTTAATCGAAAAACATTTAAGCCATATTCAGAGTCGTTCCTACCGTTTTAATAAAATCGCATATTATTATACGACTCATGACCATTCGACCAGCGGACTATATCTGTTGTATTGGTTGTGGTCCATGAATTTCTTGTAATGGCAACATTCACCCAGTATCTATTCCGTATTTATTGTCACCAAATAATTATTCATAACGTTTTCTCGTTATTATTTATTGTAACCAAACAATTAAATTTACCAATGGTATGTAATCGATAATTTTACAAAGCTATTTTATACTTTTATAAATGCTGTATTTTATATCGACGCTGACTATGTAAAAAAGAAAAAAAACGTGTGTTTGTGATTCTTGTTTTTTGAATTTTTATATCTATTAATCGATTAGCATGACGTCAGAGTCCTTATGTCATGTGCCTGTCAAAAATGTCATAGTGTATAAAATTTCAACTAGAATTCATAACACAACACTAAGTTACAATTCTGAGTATTTGTATAGTGTAAAAAGTCATGGTCAATATATATTATTTCCTGATTTTAATAATAAAAACTAAAATACACCACATTAGTAATTTAAGTTTATTTAATAGATGGCGCTGTAAGTTGTACATTCGCTTTTATCTTATGACATTTTGTAAATTATTTATTTATTTTCTACGATTTAAATTAAAGACTATTCAAAACAAACCTTTTTGTCATTTATTTAAATATGTATAAATATAAATTCATCCAATGGAAACTCAAGTTTTTCGTCGGTTTGTATTGCAACATCTGAAAAACAGATAAGACAAACAAACCATTAAGTCAGAAGAATAAAAACTTATAAAAACAGTATTCATATTTATTGAAGATTTACGGTTCTACTCAGTATCCGTGTGATGACGGATTAAGAATACAGAGTGTCACCACCCCTATTCAATCCGATGGTGTCGTAAGAGCCGACTGTGGGAGCAAGCTACATAGGAAAACAGCACAACACAGTAAAGAGAAGGAAAACTAGAAAGAAACTCTATACTAAATCGTCTGGCCACCTGCTTTCTAAGGAGAGGTCTATGTCCAGCAGTGGACTGTTATAGGCTGTTGAGGATAATGATGAGAACTCAGTATGTATTCCAACGATGCTCGACAACCTCGAAACCCAACAGACCCCGACTCTTGATCAAGGAGGGAAACGTCCAAGCACACACAGTATGATTATGAAAGATAAACGTTTGTTAAAACCGTATATCTTTCATATTCACCGTTTTTTTTAATCATTGATAACCAAGATAATCTTAAGTAATAATCCTAAGGCAGATTGGTATTTTTATTGATTTTTTTTTTTATAAAAGGTAGATTCTGATTAAGATAATTGAATACAGTTGAATATTACTAAGACTACTTTTTCATTAAAATGTAACTCAAGTTTCTGTCAATTTTATTTCACGTACAAAAACAAAATTCTTAGTTTAAAGACAAAAAAAACTAAAACTTTACATGTGTAGGTTTAGAAGCATTACCTATTATTACTATTAACTGTTTGTTACACACTTCCGTCCCATTTTATTTAATCACTCCTACGGATTGCAGGAAGTCGAGAGAAAATATATTACACATCTAAAAACAAACCAGTGCGTTGTACTTACCTTCCTCTTGAGCTTCAGGCTGTGTCACCACCGCCGTCCTCAGAAGGAGGGGGCGCCTCTTCCGATGATAACTTATTGCACTCAATGCATGGCTGCAACTCCTCTTCCATTAAGTACAGCTAATAAAAAAATACAAAAGAATATTTCTTCTATATTTTTGCTAAAAATAAATATAGTTTAAAGAGCAATTTCTGAACTCTTTGGGTAAAAGCTTTTTACTTTTAATCCCTAAATAAAGGCATTGTTATTTTTTCCAAGAATTAGTTGATCACTAAGTGGTAATCGAATTGTCAAAATAACAACCGAATGGTGTCAAACTTTTGGCTCCGTATGAGAAAACGGTCAGACGCTTATGTTGAGTGAAACTTACGCGTCCATCGCTCCCCAAGCCAGTGTACTGTTTGGTGGGGATTTCATTGACCAGCGCTGGAGTGGCATGCTCTTGCGTTACGTGCTCCGACAACAGGGTGTGTGAGCCACCCACCCATCGCCGGCACACGTGCTTTCTGTTGGATTAATATACAGACACCTTCTTTCAACTATTCCAAAATATTAAGAATGCATCCTATAAAAAATGATTATTAAAGTGCACCGGACACTCTTGGGAGCAGGTCTAAGGGGTCCAGGAAGTCCAGCTCTCTAATCTATTTTCGCTTTACAAAAATGTTAATAAAGGGCGTCGTACTATATCTATACAAATAAATAAAATTGGAGTGTCTGTTTGTAATATTAAAATAACCGCTTTTTACTAAATGCATATGTATGTTTACACGGTACATATGAAAAAATAACATTTTTTACAATGTTTGTCTGTCTGTATGTTTGTTCCGGGTAATCTCTTGAACGGCTGGACCGATTTCGACGGGACTTTTACTGGCAGATAGCTGATGACATAAGGAGTAACTTAGGCTACTTTTTTTAGACTAGCTTTGCCCCGCGACGTTGCCCGCGGTTATAACAACAAACGCGGGTAACACCGCGGGTCTCAGCTAGTATACAATAGAGAAGAAAGTGCGTGGAGAGGGGTTACATGTTGTTGCATTAAAGTAAAACGATTTAATGACCGAGGATAATCTATAAATCTCTGATGTAGGACACCATGTCAGAGATAATAATGTACACCATAAAGGACCGTAGCATACCGACTGTAGTAGTTACTAGTGGAAAGTATACTTGCGACAGTACCGAGATGACTGAGCAAGATTAAAGTCTTATAAAACGAAATAGCTTACCTGGCTGCATCTCCGTCTGTCTTGACAGGAACAGGTATACAAGGCTCTTCTGCCTCATTTCCCATCCCCCAGGCCGGCAGCTTAGGCGGAACGTGGCTTCGCTTCTCATCTTTTTCCTTAATTGCCGGCACCATGCCCGGCCCGGCTAAGTTGCGTGTCAGCAATGCGGTCTACAATTATATAGAAACGATTACCTTCTAACCAACCTACTGACGACGACCCCACTTTAATTACTTTTTTATCAGTGGCAACGTTTAAGTCCAAACTTGGACATCAGTCGTTTGAAGTCAGCATGAAAAATAAAGACAGCTGTTACCGACAAAACAAAACAATGCATCTCCTGGATCTTATTTTGGGGTAGGCTCAATGTGTAAAATTGCAATAGATTTTTCTTGTTTTCCTCTATAACCCTCCGCCTCCCTGACGCATCTTTGTGCTAAGAAGCTAATTGGATTGAGGAAAACCCCATATTATGTCCGTCTAGTGATTGAAGAAGCCACTTGGACACAAATGCTAACTGACCAAAAAATAATATCCCTATGTATATATATACTTATATTATTATATTTAATGAATATTTCTGATATTGCTATCCACTTAAAATACGCGAGAGATAGGAGATATGCCATTAAGTTAAAGCATTGGTAAGATCCAATCCTTTTCCAAATAAGGTAATTCATGAGAATTACCTTAGGTTCGCCAAGTGCGTATTCCAACCTGTGCAACAACTTGAAATGTTCGTTGAAAGCCTTTGTTGTGTATTCCCTCAGATATAAAAGGTCCAAGATGCTGGCCTTGGTTGCAGTTAGCTCGTTTAAATCCTTTATGATAGTCTGTAAGTAATCAGTACTGATGATCAACCTGGAGAGATATCAGAAGGTTTGATGATGATTATAGTGAATATTATCACATGCCAAAACTATATAGATTTTGAAGTAATCCTACCGACACATCATCATCATCATCATCACATCAACTGCCTTTAATAGTCCACTTCTGGACATAGGCCTCTCCTTAGAAAGGAGGTTTTGGCCTACTATACCACGCTGGCCAGACGGGTTGGTATAGGGTTTGTGTCAAGTTTTCCTTCTGTTTGCAGTGCTGGTATCCTGCGTTGTTTTGCGCCCTTAGTCGACACTTACGGGATGAATTGGGGTAGTGACATTCCGTATTCTTAATCCGTCACTACACGGATACGTCACTACACGGATACCGACACATACGCAGCAATTACTCACTGTTACATCAAGATCATAACATTCGGCGAGTTCCCGGAAAGTTTACCTGAAGCACGCAACAAATTCACCCAAACGTATTGTTATTACCGTGGGAAAGACATTTGAGTCGAGCCAGCCCACGTGTGCCGAAGCATGGCTCTCCCATGGCAAAAGCCTACAATCATCATCATCATCTCAACAGCCTTTAATAGTCCACTGCTAGACATTGGGATCTCCTTAGAAAGGAGGTTTTGGTATAGTATAGGGATTGTGTCAAGTTTTCCTTCTCTTTGCAGTGCTGTTGTCTTGCGTAGTTTGCTCCCTTAGTCGGCACCCACGTGATGAATAGGGGGCCTACAAGAATCATGAAAATGTCGTAGCTTCTCAAGTCAATAGCAGCCAAATTAAAAAAATAAAAATAAGAAGTTGCTGAGGAATACTAACCGTCCATGTTTGATCCTGTCTGTAAAACTTGTCGTAGGATAAGTTGAGACGATGTTCAAGATTTTTGCGAGTCTCTTCGAATTGTGGCTGACGAAGGAGCCCTTTCAGACGGTTTATGTTAGCCTAAAAAAAAAATGAGGGGTAAAAATTCTTAATTTTTTGTTTTATTTTCGTTTATTCTTTCTATCAGATGACCCGTCTGCTTGTTTGCCTCCTATCATTAACTTTAAATCTACGTTTCACTGGCCATAACTTATTCATAACATATTTAAAGAAACAAAACTAGAAAAGGATTATGAAAAATGGCCAAAGTATAGAGTACGTGATAAAAACAAAATTTCAATTTGGCAGAACATTCGTATAAATAATATTCAGTGTCATAAGAGATTTTAAGTCATTCTATCACCATATTAAAGCAAAACAGAGCATAGTTCATAAGCAGATCGTAAAGGACAGTCAAAACCAGACAAATTATAAGAGTACCAGAAATTTTGCGTATTTCTTTGCTTCAGTTTATGATATAAAGCCACCTAGGCCTCACGTAAGGGCAGTGGCAGTGGACAAAACAGTAAACGTATCTGACTCTTAAGGAGGTGAAACAGGCGCTCATCAATTTCAAACCAAAACGATCATCAGAAGATTTTCATCTTTACAGTTTAGGCGGTGCCAGCAGTAGATGCTGGAGCAGAGGTGGATTATGCGTACTTTCATTTTAAAAAGGCATTTGATACCGTGGAATTGGATGTACCCACATTTAAATAAACAAATAAATAAGCGATGGCGGTCTATGTGCAATTATTTATAAGCAGAAATGTATAGTTAACTTTAGTCTTTAAAAAAGTATCTAAGTATATTTATCTGTGCTCTTAGAATTAGATGCCATAACGCGAGCTTTATTTAGTTTGGGACTTAATCCACGAATAATGTTATAAAAACACTGCTAAAGTCAGCTAAGTAGAAATATACTCGTAAAGTGATCACCTTGTCCCTTAGGCCGTCTGCCACTTCATCACAATCTGCCTTATCTTCACGCAGCAACTCCACACTTTCAACCAGACTCTGTAAGTTCGAATCAGAAAGTTGCAGTAAGAGTCCCACACTACACTATGGTCCTAAAACGGGTTTACCGTCTCAAAAATCTGTATCTCTTTTGCCTTTAGATAGCAACTTCAAAATTTGGACACATTTTGATGTACATATGGGCTTTCAAGATTTAATTTAATAAACAAGATTGAAAAATAGATTTGACGTTAATTTGACAAAAGATAATAGTTATGAAGTAATAAGTTAACCATCTTTTATATCATTAATCAGAGCATAGTATATTTTTTATTGTAATGATCACTTTCAGGAATATCCAAACTCATTTTGGCTTCATCAGATAATTACTTTCCTTCAGTTATGGCTGGTGTTCTTAAGCTTGAAATATTTGGATCTGATGTAAATAATAATAAATGTAGCACATTTTCATTAGTTGCTGAACGTGAAAAAATTTCTAGTATGATGCAGGTGGTATCCCTCCCTTCGAATGAAGGCTTTATGGAGAGAGGATGGCGTATAGTACCAATTATATTTGTTTACAAATATTTGAGCAGTTTCGATTGCGTACTGACCGAATTTGGTAACATTTATTACGATACCGGATAACATCGTTTTTAATATAATATATAATAGCCATTTTGTCAAATTGTTGTGAACACCATTATTATTCGCTGAACAACGATAGTTTAAAAAAAATTTCGCGATGTATTCACCATCATTACTGTTACCAGTTTCTTGTCGGTGTTTGTCTTATATTACTTGAAGTCCCTACCACAAAATTGACTGTTTTGTTTTTATCATGGTTTTAATTATTAATTATAAATAATTATAATAAATATTATTTTATTGTGTTTTATGGATACTTTAGAAAAATAATACCATAGTAACAAAAACTGAAATTTTCCTACGTCTCATATTTTTGGGTCTAACAAAAAAAGAGCAAAGAAATTATTTCCCTGGAAGGTGGGGTAATCAAGTATTTGAGTGAGATAAATAACAAGACAGCGGCAAACAGCGCTTAACTTCGAATGTCGGTTTGAAAATCAAGAACAACACAGAAACCGAGAGGCATCTTCAAACGAGATTTTTGGCTTACACAAAGTACATATTACTGTGATTTTATTTTTATAAATTACTTAAAGCTTTGCGCTTTCTAAAAATATATAACACATACTAGCTGACCCGGCAAACGTTGTTTTGCCATATACATTATTTCTAGGAAATTGACAAAAAAATAATATTAGGGGTCAGCCTTATCATTTACTGGAATGAAAAATAGATGTTGGTCGATTCTCAGACGTACCCGATATGCACACACAATTTCAGAAAAATCGGTCCAGCCGTTTCGGAGGAGTTTGTAACCAAACTCCTCCGAAACCGATTTTAGAAACACGAGAATTTTATATATTAGACATAGTTCTGATTGAAAAGTTTCTACGACACATTTAAAATGGCTGTATGAGTAATTCACTCCAAACAATTTTTTGACTCACTGCATTTCAGCAACTCATTTTACCCATTAAATAATAAATAAAAATAATCCGTTTAATAAACTATTGATTTTTGGCCAAAACCAATTTTTGCTAAAATATTTTTTTGAGACGGCGTTAAAATAAAATTTGACAGGTAGTTAATGGATCCAGTGACCAGGTTCAAGTGCCTAATCATATATATTTCAGTAATTGGACGAGACAAGTTTTCAAAACGAGGTGTATATGAATATTAAAAAATACGATATGAACCTTTAGTTCACCTGTGAGATTTTTTTGTTGCGCGACTAGCGACCCATGATTGTTCCTTGTCTGATCCATGCCGAGCAGTAGGTTCTCATAATTCGATTTGAGGTCAATCAATGCTAAACAAAAATTAAAAATTCAGTCAAATACAAAAATGCATTAAAATTTTCACCGATTGAATGCGGTGACTGATGGAACAAAACTATGGGGAAGGGTGTACTCCAGGGCAACAAACGTACTTGTGTCTCTTGAGGTTTATTAGGTGTATATGACACCGGCGGCGGTAGTGGCATAATTGTGAAGTGATCAGATCAGTAGTTCTCTCAGGAAACAGCCTAACCTACAGCGCTGCCACAGCGTCGAACTTCAAACTAATTTAGTTTGCCATTTGACCATTTTTTAACGAGTGGAAACCCCCTTGGGCCGTCACCCCACCGGGGTTTGCGGTGGGGTGGAATGTCAGAATCCGACCGACTAAAAACCACACGGTGTGCCACTCTGCGCCTGTAATAGGAGGGATCCGGGGACTGCTGTTATTAGGACGTCTGGACCCCTTATAGCGCCTGCCCGCAACGGCGCGGGAACCACCTTCGGATACATTATCTATTAGGCGACGTCCGGCACACGCGGACGTCGCCTCGTAACTGCTGGCCGTTATGGCGGGTGGAGTGGAAACCCCGTCTTGTCCACCGGCGGCCATTCCAGGGCGGCATGAGGCGATTGTAAAAGCGCCTTTCACGAAAAAGCTGTAATGTCAGAGTCGAATCAACTAAAATGCCGCTGCATTTCTAACTTCCAATCTGCTGCCATGAGAGACAGGATAGATAAAAGACGGCGAAAAATAAACTCCGACAAATTATTGACAACGCTAATAGATCCAGTGATAGTGATAATCTAACTGTTCCCATCAGTAAGGTTTTCTTCATATCAAAGATATAATTGGTTGTGGGCTTCGGTTTCCGCATTTAGACTCAGAGTGGTCCTTTATGCGTCGAGGATTGGTTGACTAGGTGAGCCAACCAAGCTCCTTCCAGAAGCGCAGAAGCCTCCTGGGGCGTTCACAGGCTTCTAGGAGCGACTTTATATCAGGAATGATACTTGCCCGTTGTGTGGCCACTCCCTCGCATTCCAGGACTACGTGGGCGGCCGTTTCTTCAGCTTCCAGACATCCCCTGCACAGGGGACTGTCCGTCGCATTGATTATGAATAGTTGTCGGTTCAGGGCTAGATGTCCTGTAATAGTTCCGACAACCATTCTGAGTTCCGGTCTCCTAAGACTGATCAGTCTGCAGGTGAGTCGTGGTGTGACTTGATTCAGCACCAGTTTGGACTGTCTGCAGCCGGGTGAGTTTTTCCACCTCCGGTTGTGTGCTTCACAGGTCCGTTGCCTGACCCAGCATCGTATTTGGTTAAACGATACGGGCAGGAGTGGAGTTGGGCCAGAGGTTGGGGTTGCCGAGCCCCTCCTTGCCAACTCATCTGCGGCATCGTTCCCGTGTGAGTTACTGTGCCCTTTAATCCATTGGAGGAGTACCCCATTGAATATAGCGAGCTGTTCCAGTGCTTGGTGGCATTCGAAGACAATACCAGAGGTCATTGTGTTGCCCTCCAGTGCCTTTAAGACGGCCATGCTGTCGGATATTATTCGGATGTTGTAGTCCTTGATACCCCTTGACATGGCCGTTGTGGCAGCGTAAGTTATTGCCACACATTCACATTGAAATATGGAACTGTGTTGGCCTAACGCTAGTGATATGTTTATATTTAGGTCTTGCGAGAAAACTCCGGCTCCAGTTCCTGACCTAGTCTTGGAACCGTCCGTGTAAATTTGGACTTCGTTAATGCCGGATTGATCTTGGTCATTTCCATGTATCTGGATGTAGTATCTTCTTGTGAAGATATGGTATTTTGGGATTCTATCGCATGGAGCTGCTATCAGTGGTTCGTATTCCACCAATTGATCCCATAATTTGGAGTGCGATCCCTCACTTTTGTGCCATAGACCCAGGTGTTTGAGTCTAATGATCGCCATGGCGGCCTCCTGCTGTATGAATAGATCCAGGGGTGGCAGACCAAGAGCCACCTTCAGTGCGGCAGTAGGCGTTGTGCGCATACAGCCAGTGACCGCGGAGCATGGGAGTCGCTGGAATTGCTGCAGTTTGTTTATGACGGTGCTAAGCTCTGTTCTCTGCCACCAGACAACAGCACCGTAAGTGATTATTTGAATCAAAGATATAAACGATTCTGTCCTGTGCTGTCTTACCAGCACTTTCTGCGTTGCTGTTAGCTGCTTCGAGTTGTACAAGACCTCCAGCAAGTTCATTCCGTAGTTGCGCCATTTGCTCCTTAAAGTTTTGCAACTGTAACAAAACAATTTAATTTAACCTCACAATCATTTCCAACAATAAAGGGTTCATATAAGAATCTTCGTACAATTCTTGAAGGTAACTATTGGGCCTAATGGAAAAAGGATTAAAAGTGCCATAGTATCAATATCGCTGTATGCTGCTGGCTATAAGGATGCTGGTGAAGACTAAATATTTTTAAATGCATCCCCAGTACAGTCATTTAGTGAAGAAAGTAGAAATCATATTGCCCTTGACACCTCAGTAATACACTTTAGATGGTGGTAAGTGTTTATAGTGTGCATATATTATATCAGAATTATTCCAGACGGCAGAAGCAAGTGATGTCGACGGTGAGGTACTAGTCGAGAAACTTGCTTCTGGCATCTGCATTCTGGCATCTTTTTTTATTTAACCATGAAAACTCTTCCAAACTCTGGGGTGTGAAAGCTATTGGATGCGGGCAGTACAGGACCGGTTGACCACAGCAGTGGACGTGTTTCGGCTGAGATGATAATGATGATAAGAAACTTTGAACGAGGAAAGAAAAAAAAGACTAACAACGCATTTGGGTCTCCTAAGTTGCAGGTGTCCTTGGGCCACCAGTAGTCACCACCAATTTATACCTTTAAAAATATCACAGTAATTTACTTGACTATTGAGTCCGGCGTCAAATCCCTGCAGCTGTAGAGCATAATCATCCGTCATCGCTTGTATAGCGGTAATACGACTATCCATCTTTAAAGCAATGTCCATTTTCTCCACTGGAAGTTATAAAGAAATAGAAAGAACAGGAATTTATTATTAAGATATTGTTTTGTCCCCTTTTTTGGGCTCGGGCCCTGTTGTCTGTGGATTGTCTGTCAGTATTAGGTTTACATCTGGAGTATGGAGGTGAAATCAGATAATCCATCTGACTCCAGCGGTTCCTGTCCAGAACGTCTTTTACTGTTTTACTGTTTGGGGGACGCTGAGTCTTTGATGCTGCTCGGTTTATCTTTTTGATTCTCGACCGTGCGATATTTTGTCTTTGTCTTTTACACTCACTATCACTTACTTACTGTCTGATATACCTATGTATTGTCTCTAGAAAAAAAACTTTTGCGAATTGTAGTCACATAAGAAATGAAAGATTTATCGCGTATTTAATCTAGAAATGCTCGAGTAGTGCCACGGCCTCTGACTTAAAAGTCGGAGTCAGTAAAGATTATACCAACAGGCTATTCAAAATTAGAATAACAATCAAATTTTTCAGTCTTTTTATACTTAATACTCATAAGAGTATTACGTACTACTCATAAGAGTATTACGTACTACTCATAAGAGTATTACGTACTACATTAAAGTAAAAAAGAAATATTATTGTAAAATAATATTATTTTTTTCGGTCATCAGACACACTACGCCATCTAGTTTTATTATTATTATAGAAAACACCCAAACTCCGAAACAAATATTTGACAACATTTACAAACATTTGCCCCGACCGGGGAATCGAACCCGAGACCTCAGCACGGAAGAGAATAAAATAAGCTTAATCCAATCTAGGGAGGATTTGCCCATAATCGCCACGTTGGGCAGGCGGGTTGGCAATCGCAGGGCGAAGCTTGTCGCACCGATGACGCTGCTGCCCATCACCGGCCATCACGCCTATTAGGATGGATATACCGCCATCGGTCGGTCGCCAGAGCCTCGTTCGTCGTCGTCGAACCTTTTTTTTTTTTTTTTTTTTTTTCCGTGCGGAAATCCCCTCGGATACCACCTGTCGGTGGCATGTCGGACTCGAACCGACTAAAACCGCACGCCTTCGCCGGGTACTAATTGCCGGGGAACCAGGTATACCCTAGAAAGGAAGGCCCTGGTGCCGTCGTCGTCGAACCTGATCCTGCTGAAAAGCAGGTGAGGTTGGCCCCAATATAATGGAGACTAAGTCTACAAGGAGTATGTTACAGATAAAAAAAGGTTAATACCGAGAACCTTGACCGCACGGCTAGCCTGCTCTGTTGTATATTCTGATTTAGCCGTTAATGTGTCCATTTTTTGCAACATATCATCTCGCATGGTATTAATGGCATCGCTGTTAGAGAGACAAATGTGAAATAGTCAGTAAAGGGATTGGAGAGAGGAGACGGAGATAATCGTTCCTCGTCTTGCGCTCTGGGAGCTTAAGATAACAGCATGAGCACACTTATTTATACGTAAGGCGTTACCCGATAGAGATCCCACTTCCATTCAAGGCTGTCAATGCCTTATAATTCAAAAATAAATATTTCTGGGTTCCATTTCTTATAGTAAGAAGGATATCCTGTGGTTGGATGGCCCTGGTGTGGATTCATTTGTGGGTCTAATTCTTTCTTTCTTTCTTTAAAAGACAACTCCCGCACTAGAAATATAGCCTTATAAACACACATGAAACGGACAACAAAGAATATCCAGACTCAGAACAACAATTTGTGGATTACACAAGGTGTTGTTCACAACACTCAGCGCAATAGGAAGCGGCGAAGTGACCGCTTAAACCACTACGCCATCTGTGTAGTCAATTGTCTGTCTATTAATGGATGCTTGAACGTATTAAGTTGAAAAATCTTGTAATTTTTGGCGGTCCTTTTAACGCTGTATTACAATCGGATCTACTTCTGTAAAAAGGAACTAATTTACACACATGTCAAAAACGTGCTAAGTCTACAGAAACCTTTCAAAATGGACTTTCTATCGACCCTGTTAGAATCAAAATGATCTGACAAACTTTGACAGAACAAAACATTATGAGTACATTAAATATTCGCGAAGTTTGAATCATTCGGGAGAAAGTGATGCCCTGATTCAAGAAACCTTATATTGTTTTAAACATTTATGTTAATTTTATATTGAAGTTCTCACCACCACACCAATCGCACCATTAAATAAAATGTTTTTGAATGCTTTTGCTTCATATTTTTGATAATGCTTTGTCTACTCTCAAAAACTTAGCTCCTAGTTTTTCTCAGCGATAGACACATTGCGTCGGTAACCATAAAGAAATTCATCACGAACTCCTGTCTTTTAAGAGAAACACTATTGTACTCATAACGTTTAGTGTTTGGGTTGATTCCGTTTTGCATAAATAGGTCCTTAAGCGTCTGAGTCAATATAATCGAAAGACACACAGCACTTTATATTTTCACCAATTTCAAACCTCTAGATAACCTTAATTTTGGACTCATGAAATTTGTATATACGTGAAAAAATCTGAATGTAATGTTGTTATATCACAGAAAAAAAGGATTAAAAACTTATTTTCTTGGCGGCAAATATACTGTGACGTGTATTAAAATGTTTTTGGAAAGTCAAAGTTGAGCTTGTGATTCCAATTTAATTGAAAAAAATGGAAATATTTATATTACCTTATAATATATACACTATTGTAACTCTTTTTATTGCTTATAAATAATTCATTAATAGCAAAAGCACGAAAAAGACATAAAATATTATATTTATATAAAAGTTTATTAGTATATGTATACTTTTACAATAATGTTTTTTGTCTTTTTTGAATATGTTCAAGCATCAAAAAGATAAACGAATCTCTGTCTGAGCATAAGTGTAAAACGCATAATACTAACTGCATCTCCGGATGTGTAACGGCTGTAATCTTTACTACGGAAACAGATGGTTCTGATGTTGGGGCGGATATTTTTGACATCTGTGACATCTTTGACATCTTTGACATTTTCGACATTTTTGACATTTTTGATTTTTCACCCTTAACAACCGACTTAGTACTTTTGAGACCCGATGGTTCAGCTATTACTACACTCTTCATAGGTTTCGGTTTCTTGGGAGAAGACATGTTATTGCAATTAAAACTTTAATTATTTTATTAAACACCTCCTGACTTCGTTAGCGTTAGTGTTTTATCAGTTAATTCAGGAAAAATACTAGTAGGTATCATACATGGAAGAAACGAAAAAAGGATTTAAAAACACTAAATATTTTGCTGCATTAATAAATAACGGTTTTCAGAGGGGACAATGGAATTAATTGACATGGTTATTTAGGGTAAAGAAAACATATTAGCCAACGGCACTTTGTAGAATAAGGGATACGCTCATAGTGCTTCACACACCAGATAGTAAAGTGACTTACCTCAGGTTCTATTCCCGTCATAAGTGCCAACTGTTGCAGATCATTTTGCATCAAAGTGATAATTGCGGCAACTTGGTTAGGAAGGGCCCCTGACGAAGCCAACTGCTGAAGTAGGCTAGCCATTTTGGTTACGGCATGTTCCACAGCTCTAATACGAGCATTGACCTATAGACCGGCACTTTTTCATTAAAATTTCGCTACTTGCATCATCATATTAAAGTGGTGAATCCTATAGTTTATGTCACCACACGTGTCACTGGTTCTACATTTTCATATTATAGAAAATCGCAATTAGACACAAAGGAGAAAACAAAAAGGGACAAGCAAGAATTCCAACTCTCGAAAACTGAGAATCGCCCACGGATAATATGAGGCATTAAGTCTGGTAAAGTACAATTGTGATCAAGAGATTGGTAGATTTTTGTCTTCCGTTGACTACAATACCTGCATAGCCTCCATAGTATCAGGTAGCGAAGCAGTGCCTTTAGCCACTTCAGCCAACAGCTCTTCATTAGATGGCATGGTAGGTAGAGGCACGCCTCCTGTTCTCTTCAGCAGTCGTTGGACCATGGTGTCTAATAAATTAAATTGGGATGCTGTCACCACCTCGATACTATCGGTACGGGTTTGAGGTTCTGCAAGAAATATCATTATAATAAAAAAATGCAAAAGAGAATTAAAAACTGGGAATTTCAGTACAAAGATGTTGTCAGGTGTTTAATGATTGATAACATTCATAGTTCATTCATCAATAAACAAACAAAAGTACCTAACTTGTGTAATAAGTAACAACGTGTGAAATTGCTAAATACGAAGTTTCAACTGAATTTGACCCTTAATTATTTTATTTATGGTTTAATTCAATCATCATCATCATTATCATCATCAGCCTATCACAGTCCACTGCTGGACATAAGCCTTTCCAAAGCAGACACAACAAAGGCCATTCATAATGATTAGATTAAAAATAATTTGCCGTACCTAACCTTGCACTTGCAATACGTCCTACGATTTTAATATTCTCCTTAACACAACCAGCTAAGTGATATTTGGCAAGAAATCACGTAACAAGTTCTGCAAAGAAACACACATTTACAGTATACCTGGCTCGGTAACGGACGCCTGCTTTCCAGCATCAGCTTTAGTACTTTTATCGTCAACACCTTTCTTCCCCTTTCCTTTCTTGTCACCCTTTGACCCTTTCGAAGTTTGTTTTCGTTTATCACCAGGTTTGCCTTTCTCAGGTTTTACAGGTGATTCAGATTCAGTTTTATCGCCTTTCACATCTTTAACTGCTTTTTTGGCTTCTTCCTTTTTTCCTTCGTCTCCTGATTGCATTTCTGCTGCGTGCGCCATTTTCAATTCAGCCAATATATCATCCTCTTCCGAGAACCTTATCTCAACATCTTGCTCTAACATACGCATCTTACCTGCCAATATGTTAAGGATGGTCTGCAGTATTTTGAAGTTGATAACATTTGTTTGCTAGAATAATGTATAAAATTTGTTATTCTTAGCGTGTCGCATTGGACAGATGGAGAATGAGAAGGATACGATGATATATATGAGGATATGTGTAGATATTTTGTATTTCTAGAATACTAACGTCACTAGTTCCGAAAGTAAGTGCAATGAGATCTTCGACCTTGAGCAGGAGTTTGGAATCGCTCATCGACGATTCGTTGAGTTGCTCATGGAACTTTTTACTAGGATTGGATACCATCTTGATTTCACATATAATAAATTAATATAAATTAAATGTTCTAAACCTCGACAAAACTTGATTTGTCAAGTCAAATAATGGATCTCCGTCAAAGTTTTTAATATTACTTTACAAATGTTTAAAACCAGTATCTGTATCAAAAGTTTAGAACGTAGTCTGAGAAGCATCTGTCAGTGAGAGAGGGAGAGCAAATAGAAAGAGAAGAAAACCTGATCATAGTTGCCAAATTTGTATACCTCATTAACATTTTAAATCATAGAGATAATATAATAGAGAGCGCGAACTGCATATTCTTCTATGTGATAGCTTACGGTCGTTAGACAGAGAAAGAATATTGTTTTGGTCTTGCATCTCTCTCTCCTCTCTGCACTGATTGGCTGTTACTGAAGAGGTCATTTAAAATATCCAATCAGTGACAAGAGCAGAGAGAGATGCAAGACCAAAACAATTTTCTTTGTCTCTCTACCAAACGTATGCGATAGCGCCTTGTTCGATTCCTCTACATTTATAAGCTCTTTGTCTCAAATACCCATAGTTTTACTCAAGTCAGCCTCATTTATTGTTTTGGTCCAATGTCGAATTCCATTTTTAGTTTGAAAAGAATATTTCTGAAATTTGACTGGATTTTCAAAACAAAAATATCGTTTAACGTTGTCGACTATCCAAATATGAAATGTGACCACACGTTTTCTAAGTGTGGAACAGCCATACTTCGGCTCAGAAGGGCCGGCGCCAGCTTGACCGAAGTGATAGACCTCACCACAGAAAACCAGTGTTAAGCATTTTTCTCGTTGATTTTCACAGAGTGAGTACCGTACCCCAAACCTTCACTCCCACTAATTCAGGTTTTTTTTATTATTTAATTGCAGGTTTCTAGTTCTCATAGTCTGTGAGATATAGTGTGGACAGTCGGACGGACGGATGAACATGACGAAACTATAAGGGTTCCGTTTTTGCCATTTTGGCTACGGAACCCTTAAAATAACACTATATATAATGTCTATGGTGCAAGTCATGATAAGGTTTTACTCACAATTGTATTAAATTTCTGAAATGTCTGACGTTTCACATCTGACAAGAGACCAGGGCCTCAATTCTGCTATTTTAATATTGTATCAATAGACTGTCGATGGAATGTCGTCGGAATAGTTCTGCACTTTTCTCATTCTGTTGAGTATCGATTTTTGTATTAAATCATTCATAAGGTTCACACACTCACTACCACATCCCTAGCGTAACTATTGGTAAGATGGCCGAGTTGGTCGATGCTCTGTAAAGCAATAAATAAAAATGTGAAACAAGGGAAGTGTTCTTTTTCCTAATAGAAGAGAAGAGTCTCCAGCTCTCATATACCTTCAACAGGTTATGGGCCCAGGTACGTCAAAAAAAAAAGAGCGGATTACAGAGATATTAGTCGAATTAGAAAGTTAAAAAGAAATGGCGTCCGAAACACGAGTTAGTATTTTACCCAAACTAACAAATGAAAACTACGCAAATTGGAAGTTCCGTGTACAATGCTTGCTAGAAGAAAAAAAACTATCCGAAGTTACAAAAACAATTACAGTTGAAGAAAGAAACAAGGAAGATGACGCAAAGGCGCGATCATTGATTGTACAATGTATTCCAGATAGATACTTAGACATCATTAAAGATTCTAACACAGCTGGTGATATGTTAAAGAAATTAGATGAAGTATTTCAAAGAAAGAGTGTGTTCTCCAAGTTACATTTGCGAAGAAAACTACTTTCTTTAAAGCTGGGAGACAACAAGATGGAAGAATATTTATACAAATTTGAATCCCTAATAAGAGAACTAGAAAACTTAGATAAAAAGGTTGATGAAGAAGACAAAATATGTTACTTACTGATGGGACTACCAGAATCATACAACACAGTCATAACAGCTATTGAAACTATCTCGGAGAAGGTGACTCTAGACTTTGTGAAAACAAGACTATTAGATGAAGAACTAAAGAAAGTAACATCCAACACAGAAGAACCTGATCTTTACAGCCAATGTGGAATGCTATAGATGTCATAAAAAAGGGCATATTGCCAGAAATTGTAAGAAAAATAACTTTAGAGGTCGCCGAATGAGAGGTCGAGCTACAGGCCATAGCGCAAACTATGTGACAAATGACAAGTGGAGTGGTATAGCTATTAACAATGAGTTGGAATGTAACCTAGCAGATCTTAATAACACAATAAAGTTCATAATAGACTCAGGTGCAACGGAAAACATAATAAAAGAAGAATATGAAAATTGTATGCATAATATCAAAGAGCTAGATCACACTATAAATATTAAAATGGCAAATGGAAACATAATGGAAGCTAAGAAAAGTGGTGAAATTACCATAAAAAGTCAAGGCATAAAAATTAATATTCAATGCATAATAGTACCAGGAATAGCTCACAACTTATTATCTGTGAAAAAGATGTCTCAAAAAGGACTTCAAGTGCTATTTAGCAAGTATGGTATACAAATTAAAAACAAAGGACAAGTGTGGAGATCAAAGAATTCAAATCCACTTTATATATTAGAAGGAATCATATTGGAATCTGAGCTATGTAATGCAGCCGTGGATGATGAAGGAATATTATGGCATAGAAGACTAGGACATGTAAACAGGAAGAGCTTATTGAAAATCTGGACCTATACTCGCCAGTAGCAAAGATGACGTCAATAAGACTATTCTTATCCCAAGCTGCAATAAACAACTGGGAGCTGAGACAACTTGATATACCTTCAGCTTTCCTAAATGGTACTCTTAAAACCGATGTGTATATAGAACCACCAAAAGGAGTAAAAATGAAAACTGATAGAAATATATTAAAGCTAAAAAAGGCCTTGTATGGTCTGAAAGAATCACCGAAAGTTTGGAACAGTACTCTGGAGTTGGTCGATGCTCTGTAAAGCAATAAATAAAAATGTGAAACAAGGGAAGTGTTCTTTTTCCTAATAGAAGAGAAGAGTCTCCAGCTCTCATATACCTTCAACACATTCTACTAACTATATAAGAACAATGGCCTCCCGATGACTTGTACAATGATACAACGAACTGATACAAATGTGAAAATGATATATTAATTTGTTCACAAATGGCAATATTGGCAGTTTCTTGGCGTTAACATAAAATAACAGAATTGAGGCGCTGTTGGTAAAGTAACCTTCCGCGCTCCTTTCCTTCCGGAAGGTTAGATTTTCTAGTAATATTAATGTACTCTTTAGGTTAGTTTTAAGTACGATATAAACATCAACGATCTTATTATAGTGCATCAGGCATCCTTATTTCCGTGTGGCGACGGATTAAGAATACGGACTGTCACCATCCCTGTATATCCCGTGGGTGTCGTAAGAGCCGACTAAGGGAACTAAGTAGGCAAGACAACCGCACTGCAAAGAGAAGGAAATCTTGAAACAAACCCTATACCAACCCGCCTGGCCAGCGTGGAAAAGTAGACCAAAAGCTCTTTTCTAAAGAGAGGCCTATGTCCAGCAGTGGACTAGTAAAGGCTGTTGATGATGAGGCATAGATCACTTCCAAAATCACACCTATACTAGACTTATTTGCTGGACTGAATACCAAATACCCATGTCTGATATTAACAGTTCGTTCATTTTTTAAACAAGCGAGCCTCACGGTTGTGCCATATAATGTGTAACACCCGAGACCTCACCCAACATCTCACATCTCGCTCAAAACTTTATATTACTCGCTTCCATCCCTTTTCACGTAATTACTCCCACAAAGTGTGGGAAATAGTTTGCGCTCCACTGCTGTGCGCTTTTTGAGACACTTTTTGCCTCGCACAACCAATCTGTGGAACGGGTTATCGTCTGCGGTATTTCCGGACCGATACGACCTTCTAACCTTCAAGAAAAGAGCGTACTCCTTCCTAAAAGGCCGGCAACGCGTTTGTGACTCCTGAGTTGAAGACGTTAATGGGCGGCGATAGTCACTTTCCATCAGGTGACCCGTCTGCTCGTCTGCCCCCTCTAACATAAAAAAAAAGCTAGAGGACATAATGCATAATGCATGGGCAATGTAGGTAATATTCAAAATCGTTTATTCAATGTCTAGACGAGCACATTAAAACTTACATGGAGATGAGCGCAGCGGGGAGGATTTTTTAAAAAACTCAAAAATAAACTATGAAACTAATGCTATAAATTGCATACAGTGGGAACATGACAAAAAATACTTGCGTGGCATCGAGCCGCGCAAGCATTTTTAGTACCCGGTCCGCACGGTCTCGAGAAAATGTCCAAGACCGTGCGAGCATTATTATTCCTCTTGGTCTGCGCTGACCCTTATAGACATAACTCAAAATCGTATAGTTATACTGAGGAACGGTATGTACCTCCAGTATAGTAGGCCATAATCTCCTTTCTGAGGAGAGGCCTATGTCCAGGATTGGACTAGTAAAGGCTGTTGATGATAATATCCCTCCAACACAAAGGGAGGATTCTCCAACCAGGCAAAGTGCTCATACCTGGCGGATCACGGCCCAATGGCTGATGTTGGAAAGTTGTATATTTGCTAATCAGCGTGAGAACTTTTCGTATCGCAATACAGGATTGGCTGTTACTTTGCAGTTCGGTGTTTTTTTGTTGGATGGCTCTGAAGTATGTTTTGTTTAATCATATGTGGAAGTCGGCTATGAAAGTAAACCGGTTGAATTACAAGTAAAACTACATCCCAGTTATCGGCAATAAGCTTGCCTCGAGTAGGTGTTTTTGAAACTGCCTATCCATTTAGGGTACGAGCGTGAGGACCGGGAGAGGTTTAGGACTCTCCCGGCCCGCCAGGCCCGGGAACGGGCCAGGTACCGCAGGCGACTCAGGCGCCGGAGGTCGCAGAACGACCTCCGCCCTCCATAAGCGCAGGCCTGGGGGTGACAGGTGAGGCCATCTGTCACCCTAGCAGAAGCAGGCCGGGGTGGCGGCGAGCGCGTTGCGAAGCGCGCTCGCTTCCAGGGAGCACAGGGAACATGGGGTTCCCACACGGGGGGGGGGGGTCGTCTACTCGTCTGTAGATGACCCGAGGTATGTCGGGGCACCAGGGACTTCCTTTCTAGGGTATACCTGGTTCCCCGGCTATTAGTACCCGAGACGGCGTGCGGTTTTAGTCGGTTCGAGTCCGACATGCCACCGACAGGTGGTATCCGAAGGGGATTTCCGCACGGAAAAAAAAAAAAGGGTACGAGCGTGAGTGCATTTATTTCTTAGAAACACTCCCAAAAGAAAACAGCTTAAAAAATTTATTACTTTATTTGAACAATGAATCAATACACTACTTATAAACCGACGCAATTACAAAATATATTATGTGTATATTTCATATAAATGATAAAAATGCCAGGGCTACTACAGTACCAACCAGTCTGGCCAGCGTGGTATAGTAGGCCAAAACCTCCTTTCTAAGGAGAGGCCTAAGTCCAGCAGTGGGCTGTTAAAGGCTATTGATGATAACTACAGTAGATAGTCTGACTATTAAACCTAAGTAACAAACACTGATATTGACATAAACATTAAATTACATACAAACCTATACTAAGGACATCAACCTCTTTAATTAGTTTAACAGGTGCCTATAGACAAGTTATATAATGCAACTGGCTCTTGTCTATCGGTAGTTTCAAGATATGGCAGCCATGTTTTCTGACAGCGGACTTCAATTGCAACTAATTTCGTTGCGTTAACTTTATTCTCTAGCTTTTCGAGATCCTGGAAGCAATAAAGATTATTCTGGTCAGGAAGATGAGATTGACTTTGGGCGTTGCTCAGCCCTGACAGACAAGCAATGACAATTTTCAGTGAACTTGGCTATGAAAAACCATCAAGTAATTATCTGACTATTTACACCAGATTGCAAAACAGAAAAAGTTTATTCGCTTTTCTTTTATGTTAGAGGGGGCAGACGAGCAGACGGGTCACCTGATGGAAAGTGACTATCGCCGCCCATGAACGTCTGCAACTCAGGAGTCACAAACGCGTTGCCGGCCTTGATAAATTATATAAACAGCAAGATAAATTTATTCCTAAGTTAGTTGTCAAACAAAAAAGCCTGCGGGTGTTATTGTTTTATGTTTTTTCTTATTCAAGAGTCCTGATTCTGGACCTGAATTCTCGGGGCAGTTAAAATTTATGGGGTTCTTATTTACATTAGAAAATTTACAGTAGTAACATGAGACTTACCCCTATAACGTGGGACTAAAAATATGTGATATAACGTAGGCATAAACAACTTTTGCACCCTTATTTCATTGTATATATTTAAGAAATGTGTATACAATAAACCAAAGTTGGTACATCTTTCCCGAGTATGTTGAAATCTTCATTTCATTTCAAGCAGTGTCTTGTCCGCTGATCTATACACCTTCAAATTTTACTGAGGGCAGCTTGCTGCATTCGACGCAAGGTTCCAGCTCCTCCTCCATCAGATATAGCTAATGAAAACAAAACAACCATAAACTAACCATAACAGATAGACCAACATCATATATGCCGTCAAAAATAAATTTAAAAAATGTTACGAAACATAAAAAAATCACAACCAACATTTTTATATTTATAAAACTGTGAACAGAAATATGACAAGGGAATTTTATGTAATTATGAATTTTAATAATTTCACCCAGATATGACATTAATGAACTTAATTTCTTCTCGTTAATTGCCGATCTGACAACAAAACATATTACGACACTCGCACCAATAATGTCATATCACCATATTTATGAGTGTCTTAAATGTCTTAAAAAACACATATGAAGAACTGCGTATGACACTTTGAGAAAGATATACGACCATTTGAGAAACACAAGAGACACATTCATTTGTACATTAATTTGTGTTAATGGTCGCATGCGTGTCATTAGGCAAGTAATCATTCCCTTAAATGATACCCTAGCAGTGAACTTACGCGTCCATCGATCCCGTAGCCGGTGTACTGCTTCGTGGGTACGGCGTTGTCTGGTGTGACGGAGGTGTGCTCGTGTGACCCACGCTCCGTGAGAAGAGTGTGCGAGCCGCCCACGAAACGCTTACAAATGTGCTTGCTGTCCGGTAACAGAGATTACTCTTTATTTTCATATAAATAAGAATATTTGTGACGGATTAAGAATACAGAGTGTTACCACCCCTATTCATCCCGTGGGTGTCGTAAAAGGCGACTAAGGGAGCGAACTACGCAGGACAACAGCACTGCAGAGAGAAGGAAAACTTGACACAAACCCTATACCAACCCGTCTGGCCAGCGTGGTGTAGTAGGCCAAAACCTCCTTTCTAAGGAGAGGCCTATGTCCAGCAGTGGACTAGTAAAGGCTGTCGATGAAGAATATTTAGCGTACAAAATTTTAACAGAAGTTAATAAAATATACACAAACATATAAAACAATACGTATTAATGTGGCGAAGAAAGTTTTTTGTATGCAATTAGATGGATATAAGAGTAGAGGACGACCAACGAAACAAATGGATGGACTACGTGAAAGAGGATATGGCTAGAAAGGGAATAAACAGTGAACTGGCGAGTAATAGAGTACAATGGAAGAAGTCATTGAGTTAACTGCCAAAGGTATTTGGGAAAATGGGAAGAAGATGATGATGATGATATAACACGTAAGAAAACCGCAGTCAACTACTCACAAAAGCATTTTCAAATATTTGAGGATAGCCGACGATAACATGCCTGGGGATGTATTTTTTATATTGAGCTTTTATAAATGCAGCAACTTTTTGTATTTTATGAAATTGAACATAACTTTATACCAGTTATTGTACCAACAACACTGTATGAAGTGTATTAGGAAAACCTAACCTTGTGATATTTATATATATTATATTGTACCACATTCACACACCGCCATCTAGTCCCAAACTAAGCAGAGCTTGTACTATGGGTACTAGACAACTGATATAAATACTTACATACTTTTTTTTGTAAATACATACTTATTATACATAGAAACTTCTACAGATAGCAATAATTAAAAAGAATAACGCTTAAAAAGGTATAATGCTCTATTGCTACATTATTCAAAATATTACCCGACATGGATTATTTTCTTATAAATTAGCGTAAGAACTTTCATTGGGCGATACTGGAACATATTTACTCATTTTAAAAAGTAGTAATATAAGTGTTAAAGTATAAAAACCCACCCGGTATCATCAGGCTTTCTGACTTCATTATCAGGGCCCGTCTCTTCAACTTCTTTATGCCGCAGCAAGGCCGGTAGCTTGGGGGGTGCTCCGCTACGCTTGTCGAATATGTCCATTAGCGCTGGAGTCACGCAAGGGCCGCAATACGCGTTCCGGGACAACTTACGTGTCAGAATAGCAATCTGGACATAAAGAATTAATTCTCTCTTTATGTGATCTGGTACATCAGTCAAATAATTATACAAACATACGATATGTAAGGTCTTGATCATGTGATTATAAAATCCAAATCAAATGCTACTACCTTAATTCTTGATACTTGTATCACAGACCATTTACCTGTTATTGTGAACAGTAATCTTAAAATTAAAACAGGACAAATTAAACACATAACTAGACGAATCGAGGAGGCCGCTTGGAAACCGACTTTAGTACTATTCTATCCTGTAATAGTGCAGAACAAGCTGCGACATTACTCGTTGAGATCATCGCTGGGGTGATCAATAGACACACGCGCACAGTTGTCATTCCTAGTACAAAGAAAATATTAAAGCCTTGGATCACCCCCGGCCTACTGCGCTGTATACGGCACCGGGACAAACTCTTCCTTAAAACTAAAAAAGACCCCGAAAATAATGTTGCTAAAGTAACCTATAATCTATACAAGAACTTCTGTAATAACACCCTGAAAAGGGTAAAGAGGGAATATGAACGGGAAGAATTTAAGAGTCTCAGTAAAAATCCTAGGGGCACATGGGAACTCATAAAGAAGTTAGGGAATATAGGAAAAGAAAAAATGACAACTAACGAGCTTATAGGTACATGTAGCGATCCCCAATCCGCTCTAAATTCAATTAACGAATATTTTGATAGGGGGGGAAAAAACCTTGCATCTAACATTTTTTCTTCAACAGATGTAGTCAACATTCATCCTATCATCAGCCAATCCTCACCATTAAACTCAATGTCTCTCTTTGTCACTGACGATGCAGAAATTGATAGACTTATTATAGGCCTTAAAAGCACATCCGCCACTGGATGGGATGGTATACCTTCCTCTATAGTAAGGGGTGCGAGACACATACTTGTGCCTATTATTGTACATGTGATTAACCTCTGCATAACACAGGGTCTGTTTCCTGATGTTTTTAAGATTGGATTGGTGCATCCTATATACAAGGGCGGTGACAGGGGCAGTGTCTACAACTATAGAACTATCTCGGTTCTATCCACTTTTTCTAAAATTCTGGAGAAGGTACTTAACATTAGGCTTATAAAGTATTTAGGTGGTAACAACATACAGGCTCAAAATCCATTTGGTTTTCGTAGTGGAAAATCAACTGAAGATGCGGTTTTAGCTTTAACAGACTCCATTGTTCAAAATCTTAATAAAAAACTAAAATCTATTGCTATATTTCTGGATCTCTCCAAAGCTTTCGACCCTGTCTCTGTTCCCATCTTACTCAGGAAGCTGGAATGCATGGGTATTAGAGGTATGGCCCACGACATCTTTAAAAGTTATTTCGAAAATCGGTTTCAGTGTGTTAGGATTGGTGATCTGGTTAGTGGGAGACAAAGGTTGCAGTTTGGTGTTCCTCAGGGAAGTGTGCTAGGGCCAACACTTTTTCTTATTTATATAAATGATCTTTGCAAAATGGCCCTACCACACTGTAAGATCATAACTTACGCCGATGACACGGTTTTACTTGTAAATGGTACAGACTGGACGCACGCTAAATTAAATGCAGAGACAGCGTTATCTGCTGCAACCCATTGGCTTGCTCGTAACCTCTTAACGCTCAACGTTGAAAAGACTAAATTTATGACCTTTAAATCAAGCATAACAACCTTGGCCGATACATCTTTTAATTTAATCTCTCATTCAAATACGTGTAATAACGCGTTCTCCAACTGTAACTGTTTCCAGATTACCGAGGTACCCACTATTAAGTACCTGGGGGTTTGGATTGATGATCGTCTATCCTGGAAGGAGCACATTAAGGTGACCTCTGCCAGAGTTAGAAAATGTATGTATATCTTTAAAAATCTACGGTCGCTTCTTGATCTTCAGATACTCAAAATAGTTTTTTTCGCTCTTGTACAATCCATAACAGGTTATTGTATAACCGCTTGGGGTTGTGCTGGTAAAGTTAAATTTCTGAGTCTAGAAAGAGCACATAGGGGTGTCTTAAAAGTGATGACTTTTAAGCCGATATGGTTTCCTACCTATCAGTTATACGGTGACTTACAAATTCTTACAGTCAGAAAGTTATTCTTGCTTAATGTTATTTTGAGGCAACATACTAACGTTCCCTTTGATGACAATTCAAACAAACGTAGAATTGATAGGGTGTGTTCAACAGAAAAATGTAGATTAAAACTGGCGAAACGGTATTTCTATTATTTCGCACCTTCTTTCTACAATAGGGTCAATAAAAACTTAAATATTTACCCTGACACGGCTATACGCTGTAAAAAACGTGTTACAAAATGGCTGTTTGGCCTAACATACAATGAGACCGAATCATTTCTCATGTCATGCGGTAAATGATAACAATAATAATAAAATATCAACTACATATATAAGCTTGTCACACACACGTACGCACACACAAACACGCACAAACACACACACGCACACCCACACCTCCCCTCCACACACACAGCCCCCACCTCCCCTCTACACACACAGCCCCCACCTCCTTTCCACACACACAGCCCCCTCCCCTTCCCCCCCCCCCACACACACACACAGACACTTACAGACAAAAACAAGAAATCTTGTTCTTATGTAATTGGCTTGCAGTCTACCGCTTCACTGCATGATGAAGCAGTATATAGTATTTTGTATGTATATTACTTAAATCACAACTAGATCATTTAGCTATTGCTGGGACTAATGTCGATGTCTCCAGGATGTGGGCGCTAGTGACTGCGCCACAGTTTTGAACTACTGCAGTCACTATCGAATTCATTTTTTTGTAAATTCGTTTGTTATCAGTTCCAAAATAAAGATTTTAAAGATTTTTTTTTTTATGTTAAGAACACATCTGTCAGTCTTAGTGGTAGGCCAGCTTTCCTTGCCTTGTGTCACAATTCTGACTTACTTATCAGCTGTGCTATACGGTACGTGTTGAAACCCCCTCGGTCCCTCACCCCTGCGTGGTTTGCGGTGGGTCGATAAATCGAATCGATTAAAACCACACAGTATGTCATCCATGCGCCTTAAATAGGAGGGATCCAGGAACAGCTGTTATTAAAACATCTCAAACCTTCCAAGCGCGGGTACAACGTTAGGGTAAAAACTCAGGCGTCTGTCGAGGAGCTGACGTCCTCGTCTGTCTGAACATTGCCTTAAAATGAGAGTTTTAATCGGCCCTGACTAGAATAACCAAAACATAATTAGTATAAAAACCAAAATCTAATACCTGAGGATCGCCAAGTAATGCTTCGAGTCTACGCAAGAATTCATAATTTTCGTTGAGACTTTGCATCGCGGTTTCTCTCAGTGACAATATATCCATGATGCTTGCCTTTTTCTTAATTACTTCGTTCAGTTCTTTTAAAGCATTCTGAAAAGAACATAGACAGCCCAAAAACAATAAGCGTGATGAAGATAGCCCAATATAAAAACTCATATATTGTTCGAGCGAGCAGCGATTTTAATAAATTGTGCAAGGATTACTTTTTTGACCCCTTTAATACCAAAAGCAATGTTGTGCGCAGTATGCTATACCTTAAACTTTATCAATTGTAATATTTTTAGATCCATTATTATTTATTGCAAAGCTGTAGTATATTGTCAAAATTACAGGTTTTTTTCATGCTTACGCGGTTATTTGCACAATACCTATGCTTAAAAACCAGTTTAAAATTGTTTTGTCTGTCTGTCTGTTTTTTCGGGTAATCTTCTAAACGGCTAGATCAATTTTGATAATATTTTAATACCAGGTAGCTGTCTATATAAGAAGTAACTTAAAGTTTTGCTCGGTCCAGAAATCGAACTCACAAAGGCAGCGCTTTTTAAATTCCACGCGAACAAAGTTGCAGGTAGTAAATAAATACTTACTAAGATTAACTCATTTATTTTATCGTATAGGGGGTAAACCGACAGATGGTGACCCGCCTGCGACTTAAGAAACACATTTGCGGTGACGCCCTAACAGTGCCCTTTCCCCCAGAGTTACGGATGCGGGAGAGGTTGATAACCTCAACCACTTGGTGAAAAGCGAAAGAATCTTTGATAATTTGACGTAAACCTAAGTAGATGTAAAATGATTTATATAATTGCGATAAAGTATTTTTTTCTGTCCGTGTGGTGACGGATTAAGAATACGGAGTGTCACCACCCCTATTCATTCCGTGGGTGTCGTAAGATGCGACTAAGAGAATAAACTACGCAGGACAACAGCACTGCAAAGAGAAGGAAAACTTGACACAAACCCTATACCAACCCGTCTGGCCGGTATATATAGGTATCGTCTGGTATAGTAGACCCAAACCTCTTTGTAAGAAGAGGCCTATGTCCAACAGTGGACTAATAAAGGCTGTTGTTTTTTTTTATTTCCTACCAGAATTTCACACCTAATAAACGCTTTACCGAAATTAATTCTCTACTTGAAGCTAATTAAGGAATAACACAAGGTAAGTGCAACTAAAAAAGTAGTATTATAATCATCAAATGCCCCACGGACGTCGTCATAGGAATGCCAAAACCATGACTACTATATCACCAACTATCGGTTACTTAACTTGAGTTTATTTACAAATGGGTTTCATATTAAATTTAATGTAGAAAATATTTAAACAAAAATCGTAGGCAAGCTATCTTATACCTATTTACGTAAGAATTAAGACGATAAACTAGGAGACAATGTAATCGTAGCTTTTGAAAAGGGAGATCCACAAAAATGTTAATATAAAAACTTTGAAAAATATAACTAAAATATAACATATATACTGACCATCCAACCCTGCTCCTGTTTAGAAAATTTGTCGTGAGAGTCGGTCATAATATTGTCCAGGTTATGTCGAGTTTCTTCGAAGGTCGTCTGCTTAACAAGGCCTCTCAGGCGGGACACATTGGCCTGTAATATCGAAAAATGGTTTCTAAAGAGGAGATATGAGGAGGTACATCCGTCAAATCACGTCGGGGTTATCACTGTGGAGGAACGGCTGTCGTTTCCATCCAACACAAAGGGAGGATCCTCCAATCCTCCGGGCTGCGGCAAAAGGGTTTGATGTTGGGACGTTGTAAATATGCTAATCGGAGAGAGAATTCTTCATATCGCGATACAAGATTAGGATTTACTCCGTAGTACGGCATGTCTTCGTTAATAATAATAATAATAATAATAATATATTTATTTGCAGAAAATGTGGTAGTCACAGTAGGTGGTTTACAATGTTTAAAGCACAAGACACATTTCGCTAAATTTAGATAGCATGCAAATTTTTAAAATTGTACAGGTAAAATTATGAAATAAAATAAAAATAAAATTACATTACATTGCAATTGAAATATCAAAAATAATATTAAAAATAATTACTACACTAATGCATTTCTGAAGTGATATGACTGAGTAGAGTACTTTTTTAAAAAGATGTTAGATGGCGCTGTAGTATGTTTGTGTTTCTTTGTATGTGGGAGTCGCCACAGGTAGATAGTCGCCACTCACTCGGTAAAAAGCGATGAAAGGATTGCTTAACACCAGTTTCCTGTGAGACTACGGTATCACACCGGTCGAGGCGCTATTTGTGCCGAAGCTAGAAATATCTACATTAATATGATGTAATACTATCACGACGAAACCCATGCCTCCTTGGCATATAAGATAGAAAGCACTCACCTTATCCTTTAACCCGTCAGCCACTTCATCACGATCAGCCTTTTCCTCCTTCATTAAATCAACAGCACTAACTAGAAACTAAAAAAAATATGTAATAATATTATTAAACATCCTATGAAAAATTCATCATCATCAGCCTATCGCAGTCCACTGCTGGACATAGGCCTCTCCCATTGCACGCCACTTAGATGGATTTAGGCTTCTCGCATCCAGCTCCTGCCAGCCATCTTGCGCAAATCGTCACTCCACCTGGCCTGTGGGCGTCCTACACTACGTTTGCCGAGACGCGGTCTCCACTCAAGAACTCGTTTTCCCCAACGGTTGTCGGTTCTGCGGCTAATATGGCCAGCCCACTGCCACTTCAGCTTGCTGATCCGGTAGGCTATGTCAGTAACCTGGGTTCTCTATGAAAAATTCGTCAGTACAAATTAAATGAAATTGTGATACAACTCCCACGAACACAACACAGCAACACATAAAGAACTCTTTCCTCCATCATTAGACCCTCATCACCATCAGAAACGAAACTTGAACTTGAAACAAACCCTATACCAACCCGTCTGGTCAGCGTGGTATAGTAGGCCAAACACTCCTTTCCAAGGAGAGGCCTATGTCCAACAGTGGACTATTAAAGGCTGTTGATGATGATGATGTACCTAATATTACAACAGTAAACAAAGAATAAAAAACATACAAGTCGATTTTAACATTTATAAATTCAACTAGTGATAATTGATAGTTTTATCTGGTCAAGAGCTACCATGTTTCACGATCCACTTACTTTTAATTCATCAGTGAGTTGTTTCTGCGCCATCACGAGTCCTCCGTGCGAATTTGTTGCTTGTTCTAACCCGACCATAAGATTTTCGTAACCGACCCCGAGGGAGGCCAACGCTGTGAAAAAGTAACATTGGAATCATCACAGACAGAGAAGAAGACAACAATTGTTTTTGAGCTGAAATTTTTCATTTCGCGATCCAGGATCTAAAGAAACTACATAGTTCGACTTATATTAACAAGATGGCGTTGATCGCACTTTCACATATTACAATCTTTCGATGATAAGCATTACTTCTTAATATCAGTTGCTCCAGTTATCAAAGTTTTTATAGTTAATAGTTTCCGGCAGGTTTATCAGCGTTTAAAATGCGAGAAGTTATTTCTTAGTAGATAAATTTTATATAATCTATATCATATCATAAGAAGGGCTATCGAATGCAAATAGTTGTTTCCAATCGACCCGGTAGTTCTATCTTTTACTACATATACTCGCGTTTCCAACCCTGAAGGATTGTGTTGCCCAAATTTAATGGAAGGTAATTTTTTTTTCTTGTTAATATCTTTATTCCAAGAAAAATTAAAATTGTTTGATATCCTCTTTTATGTAAACTCTAAAGTCATAGATTACCACACACAATAGCAACAATCTCTGTTTTGTAAAATAGTAAGCAAAATAAATTAATTAAAAATTAAACTTATACAAAATCTATGATATGCCTGTGCCGACCATTGTTTTCTAAATATTTCCTCTCCTTTATAAACAAATATGGCGTATGAAAACATTTTATATTTGGAACACCTAATGTTTAAATTTCAGTAGGTGCATATGGTTGAGGAAGTTTGCATCTTCACCCGTATATGCCTACGTGGTGTCGATTCCGGGAGGACTTGAAATCACATGGTCCGGATCCTCTCCATACTAAGGTTGTTTTTAATAGAAACGCCACATATTCCTGGCTCCTGCATCCCTAAGGAGCCGGAGATCAGAACGGATTTTCCACACCGTGACCAAAAAAAAGGAACATGTAGTTACCAAGGGCTTCAGCGTTATTGTTAATAGAATCGAGCTGGATAATTCCATCTGTTAGTTCATCTCGCAATTTACTAATATGTCCATTAAAGGCTTCCACCTGAAATAATCATTAAAACAATTATTATTCCTTTTAATTTTTGACAAGCTTTCACCCGCGACGCCGCTCGCATCCATATCAATTTTATTTCATTAATTCATTTCATTATTTTTCGGGGATACAAAGAAATAGATATAAATACATCTATAGATACTCGTATTAATAATCTTGACTGCACGGCGTAGTGGTTTAAGCGGTCGCCACGCGGCTTCCTACTACGCTGAGTGTTGTGGGTTCGATCCCCACATGGGACGACACTTTGTGTTATCCACAAATTGTTGTTCTGAGTCTGGGTGTTCTTTGTGTCCGTCTCATGTATGTTTGTAAAGTCCCCGACACACGATATATTCCTAATGCGGGAGTTGTCTTTTTAATAAAAAATAATAATAATAATATAAAAACATGATTAAAAGCCCCTGTCTGAACCGTAGCTTAGTCGGGCATCTCAAATATACTTACTTGTATTTTTATACTTATAAAAATACAAGTGGGTAAAAACGAGATTACTTGAAAAAGCTACTGTGTAGGTATTTTTCTCAGATTTATCTTTTATCTTATATAACCTTATTTATTATATATATACATATATACGTGTATAAATGTTAAGTTGGTTTATGTACGCTTTAAAATCTCGAAAAAAATCGCACCGTTTGAGCTCAAATTTTGACACGATATAAAAAAGCCTTCAAATATGTTTTTTATCTATTGTTCGCGTCAGTTTTGTTCGTCTTTTCTCCTAAATGCAACCACAACACACAACACAACAGTTAGTTATAAATAAAGCAATTTAAGCTTTCTTTGACTCGTTGATTTTTTTAATGTTTTTGTTTCGTTTTGAAGTGTAAACATAAAAAAGTAGAAATGTCTATAAAATTGTATTAGTTGTAGTGTACTGCATGGTTTATGTTGTAATCGCAGTTTAAGTGTTTTGTTTTTTAGACAGCGCACTATTTAATAGATTTTAGAATAGCAATATTTCACTTTAGACTTTTAAGTGAACGTAACTTAATGATTGTTACTTGTCTAGCGTCATTTGCCAAAGTATTTAAAGGGTGGAAGCGAATTTGTGTCTTTTGTGCTGCGGGCCCATGAGCGGTGGGTGCTACTTATCATCAGGTAATCTGTCTCCACGTCCCATATGCCAGAAGCAAAATTACAGATATGTAAATAAAATTATTACGTGTCTACAAGCATATTCAATCCAAATTGGGTTGTACACAAACAATTATTTACTTGAGCAAGCATCTCGACATCAAAACCATCGAGTAGCTCGTGTTCCTTGTCAGTCATGGACTGCAGTTTGCTGATACGTCCATTGAGACTCTTAGCTATTTCCATGTTGTCCTCTGAAAATAAAAATAGGGTACGGTACTTAATGCACTTAACGACTCCACGGATGGCGTAGTGATCAGCGGTCACCTCGCCGCTTCCTACGCTAAGAGATCCTCATAGGACATCACTTTGTGTGATTCATAAATTGTTGTCCTGAGTCTGGGTGTTCTTTGTGCGTATTTCATATATGTTTGTAAACTCTCCCGCGACACAGGATCATATGCCTAGTGCATAAGTTATTTTTTTTTTAAAAGTGCTCACTTATTCTATGGATGTGAAATATCGGTATTTTACGAGAGATACTTTAATACATCTCATCTCCATCTCTGTTGTACTAGTGTCTCGTTTTTTAATGATTACTATTTATATACTACTGACGTTTGAAAGTCCAATGTAACAAAGCCTACTCAATAAGACAGTTTCATCATCATCATCATCATCAACAGCCTTTAATAGTCCACTGCTGGACATAAGCCTCTCCTGAGAAAGGAGGTTTTGGCCTACTATATCACGCTGGCCAGACGGGTTGGTATAGGGTTTGTGGGTGTGGGTGGCCCTAGATAAGACGGAGGCCCTGTTATTTCATGGGCCCCGTCGTGGTCCACCCCCTGGCGCCTCCATCGTGGTCAACTCGGTCCTCGTACCGGTTCGGGCCCAGATGAAATATCTGGGCCTGATCCTCGACGGGAGGTGGCTCTTCGACGAGCACTTCCGACAGCTTGCTCCAAAGCTGGTCGGCGCTGCGTCTGCCCTAGGGCGACTCTTGCCCAATATGGGTGGACCCAGCGTCGCGACAAGACGGCTGTACACGGGGGTTGTCCGGTCAATGGCGCTGTACGGTGCACCGGTGTGGGCGGCGGCTCTGACCGCCCAGAATAGGGTACGCCTCTGGCGCCCTCAGAGGGTAATGGCGGTCAGAGCCATACGCGGTTACCGCACCGTTTCGACGGAGGTGGCATGCGCATTGGCCGGAACTCCCCCGTGGGATTTGGAGGCGGAAGTGCTCGCCGAAGTTTATCGGCGAGTGGCTGACTTCCGGGCGGAAGGCGGATTTCGCCCTCCGCCCGAGGATGTGCGCGAGTGGCGCGAAGCCGCTCGCCGAGCCACGATGGCTCGTTGGTCGTTCCGGCTGGAGACTCCACGCGCTGGCTTCGCCGCCGTGGAAGCTCTCCAGCCGGTCATCGCCGAGTGGGCAGGGCGGCAGCACGGGACCCTTTCCTTCCGACTGACGCAGGTGCTTTCCGGGCACGGTTGCTTCGGAAAGTACCTGCACACGGTCGCTAGGAGGGAACTGAGTCCCGCCTGCCACCACTGCGACTGCAGTGAGGACTCGGCCCAGCACACGCTGGCGGTCTGCCCCGCATGGGCGGCGCAGCGCCGGGCCCTCACTGCAGTCATCGGAGTGGATCTCTCGCTACCGGCCGTAGTACGCTCCATGGCCGGTAGCGACAGTTGTTTTACCGCGGTCGCAACCTTCTGCGAGGTAGTAATCTCGCGGAAGGAGGCGGCGGAGAGGGCCCGGGAGGACGACCTCCACTCGGACCCGATCCGCCGCCGGCGAACCGGGCGGCGGAGGCCCGCCTACCACAGCCTCATGCCGCCCTGAGTGTGGCCGCGGGTGGACGGGGTGGGTTTCCCCTCCACCCGCATTAGTTTGGCCAGCCGCGAGGGGGCGGCGTCCGCGTGTGCCGGACGTCGCCTAAAGAGAGGAACAAAAAACATTGAGACGGAGCCCGCACCAGGAGCGGGCTGGCGCTAGGAGGGGTCCGGATGTCTTAACAACAGCTGTTCCCGGATCCCTCCTGTTACAGGCGCAGAGTGGCACACCGTGTGGTTTTAGTCGGTCCGAGTCCGACACACCACCCCGCCGCAAACCCCGGAGGGGTGACGGTCCGAGGGGATTTCCACACGTTAAAAAAAAAAAAAAAAAAAAGGGTTTGTGGGTGTGTTTGTGCTGCTGGACTAGGCGGGTAAATTGTTTGAGAGGGTTCTCTCTGCCCGCATCGTCCGGCACCTCTACGAGGTGGGCCCCGATCTGTCGGACGCCCAATTTGGTTTTCAGGCGGGGCGTTCGACAGTCGACGCTGTTTTGCGCCTGAGGGCCGTGACCGAAGAGGCCGTGAGCTGTGGCGGCGTGCTGTTGGCGGTGTCATTGGACATCGACATTCAACTGCATCAGGGAAGCACTCCACTATCATGGGGTGCCAAAGTACCTGAGGCGGCTAGTGGCAGACTATTTAGAGATGCGTACCGTCGTGTACGAGGACCGATGGTAATTCGAGGTGTCGGCCCATGTCGTGCGGTGTTCCACAGGGGTCTGTTCTTGGACCCCTCTTGTGGAACATAGGGTACGACTGGGCTCTTCGAGCCGATTTCCCCCCCCGGGCTGGGTGTAATTTGTTACGCAGATGATACTCTCGTGACAGCCCGGAGGGCGAACTTCCAAGAGGCGGCGCGCCTGGCCACAAGGGGAGTCTCCCTGGTGGTCGGGCGCATTGAGGCGCTGGGCTTACGGGTGGCCCTAGATAAGACGGAGGCTCTTTTATTTCATGGGCCCCGTCGTGGTCCACCCCCTGGCGCCTCAATCGTGGTCAACTCGGTCCTCGTACCGGTTCAGGCCCAGATGAAGTATCTGGGTCTGATCCTCGACGGGAGGTGGCTCTTCGACGAGCACTTCCGACAGCTTGCTCCAAAGCTGGTCGGCGCTGCGTCTGCCCTAGGGCGACTTTTACCCAATTTGGGTGGACCCAGCGTCGTGACAAGACGGCTGTACACGGGGGTTGTCCGGTCAATGGCACTATACGGTGCACCGGTGTGGGCGGCGGCTCTGACCGCCCAGAATAGGGCACGCCTCTGGCGCCCTCAGAGGGTATTGGCGGTTAGAGCCATACGCGGTTACCGCACCGTTTCGACGGAGGTGGCTTGCGCGTTGGCCGGAACTCCCCCGTGGGATTTGGAGGCGGAAGTGCTCGCCGAAGAAGTTTATCGGCGAGTGGCTGACTCCCGGGCGGAGAGCGGATTTCGCCCTCCGCCCGAAGACGTGCGCGATTGGCACGAAGCCGCTCGCCGAGCCACGATGGCTCGTTGGTCGTTCCGGCTGGAGACTCCACGCGCTGGCTTCGCCGCTGTGGAGGCTCTCCAGCCGGTCGTCGCTGAGTGGGCAGGGCGGCAGCACGGGACCCTTACCTTCCGGCTGACGCAGGTGCTTTCCGGGCACGGTTGCTTTGGAAAGTACCTGCACTCGGTCGCTAGGAGGGAACTGAGTCCCGCCTGCCACCACTGCGACTGCAGTGAGGACTCGGCCCAGCACACGCTGGCGGTCTGCCCCGCATGGGCGATGCAGCGCCGGGCCCTCACTGCAGTCATCGGAGTGGATCTCTCGCTACCGGCCGTAGTACGCTCCATGGCCGGTAGCGACAGTTGTTTTACCGCGGTCGCAACCTTCTGCGAGGAAGTAATCTCGCAGAAGGAGGCGGCGGAGAAGGCCCGAGAGGACGACCTCCACTCGGACCCGATCCGCCGCTGGCGAACCGGGCGGGGGAGGCGCGCTCACCTGCGCCTCATGCCACCCTGAGTGTGGCCGCGGGTGGACGGGGTGGCTTTCCCCTCCACCCGCATTAGTTTGGCCAGTCGCGAGGGGGCGGCGTCCGCGTGTGCCGGACGTCGCCTAAATAGGGAGTTTACCGAAGGTGGTGCCCGCGCCGTTGCCGGCAGGCGCTAGGAGGGGTCCGGATGTCTTAATAACAGCTGTTCCCGGATCCCTCCTATTACAGGCGCAGAGTGGCATACCGTGTGGTTTTAGTCGGTCCGAGTCCGACACACCACCCCGCCGCAAACCCCGGAGGGGTGACGGTCCGAGGGGATTTCACACGTAAAAAAAAAAAACAGGGTTTGTGTCAAGATTTCCTTCTTTTTCTGCAGTGCTGGTGTCCTGCGTGGTTTTGCGTCCTTAGTCGGCTTTTACGATACCCACGGGATGAATGGGGGTAGTGACATTCCGTATTCTTAATCCGTCACTCATGTGAGTCATCAATTCATGTAAAAGCACTAAAGATATCGCAGTCCCCGACGAACAAAATCGTAATAGGAAAATAACAATTTTACAGGAGCAAATAAAAACTGAATATCTTGAATACTATCAAGACTAAAAAGAAGATTCTTTTATCAAAAATAAGGAAATATTTTTTTGCACTAGATTTTTACTTAATTTTTATCATAAATTTTCTTTATCAGTAAGAAAATTGTGAAAATGTCCATTACTGAAATAAGCTATGGAAAAAATGAACGCAAACTAACTTTACGATAGTGTTCGACTGTAATCACAAATCGGTGTTGCTGTAGTAATCGTTCATTATGATATTGTTCCTTGGTAAATATGAATATACTTTATATTCGTAAAATGACATTGCAATCGTATTCGATGATATAACTGACTTTAATATTACGGTAAACATAAATTACATGCTTATTCGATGATCATTTTTAGGTGTTATAACCATTTCGGTACCTATGTATAAATTCTGATTCTGATTCTGTCATTTTTCCCTCGAACAATATGGTAATAGCCGCTTACTCTAAAATGTTGACTTTTGAGATTTGGTAATAGGTTTTTGCGTTATTGATCGTGTAAATTTTTCACTTATGTTATACGTTGAACAAAAACATAAAGATCATTATTGAATGGATAAATCCAAAAGTATTCATCGCCCGATCATAAAAAAAATTCAATGATTGTAATAGGGTGTGTAGATAACGAATATCTAATAAACCCGATTCTATCGTAATAGCGATTACCATAGTGTTCGTCGGGGACTGCGATATGCAAAATCTGAAATCCAAATCGGTAATTAAAATAATAAATATGAAGAGACTAGCTGACGACCGAAGATTGGACATTTAAGCGTTACACAGGTCGTTATAGAGCTACCCAATTTACACTTTATCACCTGTTAATAAGAGCTTTTTTCGCTTTTCTTTCTACTGTCTGTACGAAACAATATTATATACTCTATGTTATGATACATATAAGGATTAAAATATATGTTAACTACCGATTTCCTGCGCTGATTCGTGTGTTCTTTCATTATTCAACTCGGCTTTAGCGACCAATATTGTCAAGTTCTGCATCAACTCTTCTCGCGTGGCATCCAGGACATCCCTGAAAGAAACCCCCATATCAATGTATTACTACCTATTGCTCCGTATAAAATACAACCCTTACTTTACCCCCTTAGGGGTGAAATTACCCAAAGACATCTTAGTGGGTACTTACAAAATAAAAATTGTCAGCTGCCAAAACTTCAAGTTTGTAGTCCCAGCAGTTTACGCCATGTGTTGATGATGATGATTTATAAGCATTGTGATGGTTAAAGAGAGTCTAGGAACAGCTGACATTACCAGGGAATGCGCACAACCTGGCTGATAGGAAAAATCTGTGCCCGTTTTAAGAATTTTCTGCTTAAGTCCTTTATCGTTTAATACAATCAGGATACATAATCACTTTTATAGCGCACTAGCTTTAAATAGCAAAGCCCTATGTCCTTATCAAGAATCAAACTATCTCCATACCATATTCTACCTAAATCGGTTCAGCAGTTATTGATTCAACATACAAACTAAACCCCCTCCCCCTTTTTGACCGCCTTCAAGGACGATTTCTGGGATGAACACTATCCTATGTCCTTTCCGGAACTCAAATTATCTCTATACCAAATTTCATCTGAATCGGCTCAGCGGTTTAAGCGTGTAGAGGTAACAGACAGACAGACACACTTTCGCATTTATAATATTAGTATGGATATACAATCTCTTTGTGAGTTTGGAGAGACATTATATCAAATTACAGCTTAGCTACGTAAACGTAACGAAAATTATTTAAACAAATATGGCGCACGAAAACATGTCAAACACTTAATGTATAAAGCTACAATTTTGAATCAATATGTGGATAAGTTAACATAAAGCTATAAAGGTCCAGAACATATCTTCACTTGTCAGAGTACAAAAGTCGATACAATGTTACAGGTAAATTAGCTTGGAGAAATTTTTGGTACGGACAGCGTAAACTGGTTCATTCTGGTTTTGTGCGTGTTTCCACTTTCCACTATCAAGTGACGATTTTTTGCTTTAGATTGAAATATCTCGGAAACGGTGCGTCCTAGGCCAAAAATAACAAAAATTTTGACCCCCCCGTAAACCCCCCGGAGTTTTAAAAACCTAGATGAAAGGAAAAAAAAAAAAATTTAAATATCGGTCTCTCCTCTTTGAAGTTTCACTTCTATCGTGTGTGAATCGCACACACACCTTTTTTTTTATAAAGTCAAAACCTTTTTCTTTAAAATAAAAACTTGTTTTTATTGAAAACAAAAATCAGAGTGTTGCTAGGGATAAGTATAAAATTAAATAGTAATGTTAGGATATCGAAACATTTTTGTACAGGCCAGAACGATATAGTGGAAACGCGCTCTAAGATCTGAGTAATATACACACCACTACATATGCAAAAATTTCTCGAGACTAATTTCACTGTAGTGCTAGTTATAATGGTCCATGAAATAAAACAATACAATTAAAATGGATGAAAATCGATCGTCAGGAGATTTCTAGATTATTATAACAAGCATTAAACTCATCTCTACCTGTCCCAAATAAACACCTGCCACACACAGCTTTGCAACACCCAAAGGTTTGACTGGAAGAAAATGCCTGAGGCATTAAGTCCGCCTTATGCCATATGTTTGCAGGAAGGCTCAATAAATAAAATTAAAGAAACATTTGTACGTTATAATACTTACTGCAGTTCTGGATGTGTCACTTTCTCAGGCTCGCTCTCTGCGAGGGCTGACGCAGTGGATATTCCTTCGATTGGTTGTGAGGGAGCCTCCAAAGCTTCGCCGAGAGACTGCAATAAAATATCACATCATCAGTGACGGATTAAGAATACGAAATGTCACTACCCCAATTCATCCCGTGGGTGTCGTAAACAACGCAGGACACCAGCACTGCAAAAAGAAGGAAAACTTGACACAAACCCTGTACCAACTCGTCTGGCTAGCGTGGTATAGTAGGCCAAAACTTCCTTTTTAAGGAGGTTCCAGCAGCTGTTGAATAAAATATAGGTAGGATTTAACTAATTGTAGGCCAAAGCAAGCAGAATATGGCTCACATTTTGTATCTTAGATATCATTTATCATATGTATAACTGTGCTCAAGAATAAATAGTTCGCTAGCTAGTTCGTTAATCTATTGTCATTAATCAAAAAATAAATATCAGTAATAAAAAAACATGTTAATGTTTTGATCGGTCAACGCATAAGCTGCCTCCGCTGGGTCCAGAGCATTAAATTTTGCACAAACGTTGCTTAGGTAACGTAGGTCAATTTCACGCCTGAGGGTGCAAAGTGGGGGTTGGAAATTTACATGAAATTTCATTATTTTTGGGTATCCTCTACGATGTGTGATTTTGACCACCACTCGGACGACGTCACTGGCAAAAGCTAGTGTAATTATACTTTTGTAGCTCTTACAGTCTTATGAGAAAAAGCTTGCTTCTGGTACAAGATGAGACTTCAGTAGTCCCCTACTGCAGCCTCATCTTGTATTATCCAACTCTAAAACAATACTTTCTGTAGGTGATAGGTACAGTACAAATACTAGTGTAATTAAATCAGATGAAAGTGGTAATCCATGGAGGTAATGTATTATCCAGTTTATGCTCCTAACAGTAGTTTGATGAGTTTAATGATTGAGCTACATAAGTCACCTAAACTTACCTCAGGATCAGCGCCAAGCGCTAACTTCTGCATATCCTCTTGAATCATTGCGATTGTTTCAGCCACTTCTGGTGGCAGAGCCCCTGACAAAGCCAACAGGGTTAACACCTCAGCCATCTTAGTGATGACCTTTTCAGCAGTTTCTACTCGCTCACTCACCTATTGCAAAATAATACATAATGAACCAACAGAAGCAGTGTTTCACAAGTCCGTTACTAACGGATAAACTACTAGGCCGACTCCACATCAGGACGACACGATAACGGTACGAGTCCGAATCGAATTCAGGTCGTGAGAAACTACAAATTGAATCTCTGAAATTGACGAAACGAATTCGGGTCATTCTTAGTTACTCGGAACGAAAGTGCCGATGAAAAGCCGTGACGAAGTCATCTTAAAAGATAGATTAACACGAAGGTCACCTCTTTGAGGAGTCTCAACTGCGAGGGTGGGGGATATTTATTTATAACTTAGAGGACCGACAGCTTTGACAAATTTGATTAAAATGGAAGATTGCATTGGTAAGCCAATTATAGATACGTTTATAAATTGAGCAGCTCAATGCACGCTTGACAATATAAATAATCTGAGCATTCAGAGGGGTTTAGGTGTAACTTGTTTATGTGTCAATAATAATCGTAGATCGTACTTGCAAGAAGCCATGCTAAAAAAGATTAAAACAACTCTTGAGTGCGGAGTATAGTTTTTCATGAACCAGTTTCTCGAGTACTTTTGGTATTACGCAGACGCGTTCCGTTTTAATAACTTTCTTGTGGATGTGTTAATTTAAGCCGATTTACATATTTGTGAAACCCATCCATGGATAAACCATCCATGTTATCCACCCACCACCAGCACTCGTTGCAAAACATGAAGCAACTTTTTAAGTTCTTGTCCTAAGTGGTTTGCAATACCTGCATAGCCTCCATAGTGTCAGTAAGCGAAGCAGTGCCTTTAGCCAACTCAGCCAACAGATCCTCATTAGATGGCATGGTGGGTAGCGGCGCATCTCCCATTCTATTCAATAATTCTTCAACTAAATTCTGCAAGGTTTGGAATTTGGCAGGTGTCACGACTTCGATACTACCGATACGAGTGACAGAACCTTCCGCTGGTGAAACAGTAAGAAGAATTAAAATATAATCTACTGTAAGGAATATTTGTGTATGTATCTGGGATCATCAAACCTTTCTCCTCTTCTGCGTCGACTTGACCTTGAGATGCAGTAGTGGCTGAAACATAATTTATATTTATAATTGACACAGACTGAACATGTGAAACTAATGCCCCGTTGATCTGTGCATTTGTCTTAGCTTTGAATTTCTGGTTATTGTGAAAAGGGATTAAAACATACTCGTAAAAGGAATGAGGAAAAAATCATTGATTTCATATGTAGTTATCCTTTATCAGAATATTAAAAGACAGATTTACGGTGGAACAGCTTGTAACACAAAGTCATACAAGAAACTAGGATATAATTGGCGAGATATATTCAACATCAGCGTGGTATAGTAGGCCAAAGCCCCCTTTCTAAGGAGATGCCGATGTCCAGCAGTGGTCTCCTAAGTGTGTTCAGGATGATGATGATGAATCAACAGCAAAAGCTTGGAATAAATCTCAACATTTACATTTCATCAAAATAATCATCAACGACCTTTGGACTACTAAAGGCCGTTGATGATTATGCTATTGCTAGACTATTGCTAGGCTATTGCTGGACATATGTCTCTCCTTAGAAAGGAGGTTTTGACCTACTATACCACGCAGGCCAGACGTGTTAGTATAGGATTTGTGTCAAGTTTTCCTTCTCTTTGCTATTGTGTCCTGCGTAGTCTGCTCCGCTATTCGGCTCTGATGACATGCACAGGATGAATAGGGGTGGCAACACTCCGTATTCTTAATCCTTCACCACACGGACATAATTTACTTTTAAATATTAATATTTTCTTAAATATAATTATTAATGTACGCAGTAATTAAATAACTTTTCTACCTGGCGTATCTATAGATATTCTAATAGGCTCAGGTTTATCTTGCGATGCCTGAAAAAAACGGAATAGATAGTATTTATTTATTAAGTATATATTTGTGTCTTATGAAGACAGAAAAGGATTTATTTTAAAGACAACTCAGACATTACGAATCTATCCTGTCGCGAGGGACTTTACGTACATACATGAAACGGTTACAAGGAACACTCAGAACCAGAACAACAATTTATGGAGCACATAAAGTGTCGTCCTATGTGGGTATCAAACACACAACACTCAGCACAGTAGGAAGCGTCGCGGCGTGGCGACTGCTTAAACCACTACGCCATCCGTGCATCCAAAACTGTATGCCATGACAGGATATACCACTCTTACAATATATCTTTGGAGGGGAATTTGTTTTCTGTACTACTGGTTGGTATTTTAGCAATAAATTTCTTGTAAATAATATTGTCAGTCTTGAAAAAACACTATAGAAAACCATAAAACAGGCGTAGTATTACTCCGCCTGTCTTTTACTAAATAAACAGCTAATCTAACTATTTTGGCGAGTTAACTAATATTTTTCTGGCCCCTATCTACCAATTATTTTGCATCTATAATATTCGTGATGTGGCAATCCATTACCGATAATCGAAATCCCTCGAAGTTTTATAGGTCTTGTGGTGAATACGTTATTGTTGGTGTACTGTGTGATTTTTTTATTATCTTCAACATTTAATACCCAGCTAATTTTATACTCTACGAGGCAGATTGTGTCGACATTAAAAACCTCATAGAGGAGCTAAATACCCAGCTCCCAGGGTGGTTCATTCTTTTCTGCCTACAGAGACATACCGTCATTCACTGTTAAATAAACACTTACCACAGGTTTTAATAAATCCGATGATCCTTTTTTATCCTTTGTCTTTCCATTTTTCTCCTCTTTTGCTTGTTTATCACCTTTCAAACTCAGTCTACGTTTATCTAGTTCTTCCTCTCTTTCTTCTTCCTCCACTTCAACGTTCCCTTCTTCTTCATCTTTGATGCCATACAGCTCTTTTAATTTCATTAATATATCATCCTCTTCGGAGAATCTAATTTCAACATCTTGCTCCAGGAGTCGCATCTGAGTTGCTAATATGTATAGAATGTGACGTAACATTGTGAAGTTGACGGTATTTGACTAAAACAAAGAACGCAATATTTGATGGATCTGACACAAGAGCGAAAGGAAGATGAGATTAAAAAATTGAAAGTGTTTTCGAATAATTTAAAATAGCAGTTAGTCGAAGTCCGTCGTGAATATAGATACTTATTTCGGCGCAGAATAACTCACCTATATACTATGGTATGGCTGCTACTGTGTGGAAAAAAAGGACAAAATACTACTAGGCTATCATACCATTTGATATGAGCCCTTTTCTTCGATAATTGTCGCAATCCTGTACACTCCTTGATTTAAAGATGGGTACAAGTGAACTTAGACACCATTTATTCGGCATTATCTCTTCTTGCAGTAACTTATTGATGAACAAAATTAATCACTGATGTCCGTCCTCTTTCAGTTACTTCCATACTTTAACTGATATATCCTTGGAGGCAACACCTTTTTCATTCTTCGTACTACCATTCTAAATTCGTCTATACTAATCTCATTCATATACACATGGCTATCGTTCAACACTGCTCCATTCATTCTCCTTGGGTTCCACCTTCATTCGAAGTGGGCACGGAGACACCCCTAATATACGCCTATGTCTGCTAACCTCCAAAATCCATTTCTAAGTACTTCTAGTTTCTAGTAATTATTTAGATCTGTTTTAGCCGATTGTCTGTTTTTAGATTACCTATAGTTATCAGTGAAATACTAACAGCAAGTTTTCCGAAAGCAACAGCGATGAAGTCTTCGACCTTAAGCAGGAGCGTGGCATCGCTCATGGTCGGCTCATCCACAGTCTTGCGGAATTTCTTGTCCGTGCCCTTCATCTTGATTAAATAAATATTATAAACTTGTAAATAAAATTAACTTTCAAAAGCCTTTTCCCAAAAACTCTGCTGTGATCACAGGCTGTGATTATGTAACTGTCATATTCTTTGATGTCAACGTTAATCACTTCATGCATATTTTGAGCCAGTACTACTCACAAAGCGACATTACAGCTCTAATAATATAACTGTACTCTGTGTATTATAGTACAATAATTTCTACGCTTTGATATATCTTTAAAAACCAAACTTATGCATATAAAAATCGCTTGATGAAAAAAATAGATTGATCCACATTGCTTCAATAAAAGATGACCGATGGGATCAAAGAGTTCTCGAGTTGATACCGCGTACCGGAAGACGGAGCGTAGGTAGACCGTGGGTTTGACGACCGGTCGCGGGAAGCGGTTAATAATCATCATAATACGTTTTTATTTATCTCCACAAATTACACAAGTCTTAATATCTAAGTTGACCAAAGTTAGGCTTATTAGATTACTTTGGATACGCTTTGTTTGGATTATGGACACAGTCTTCAAGAATCCAGGAAAAAAGAAATAATCGAGATGGGTTAAAATTTAAGTAATTGGGGAGAGAAGGATTGAAAAAATCGGCATCTAGGGAATACTTGATTACATGAGCGATGGCAGGTAAGCGCTAATTCATAATACGAGTAGTAGTTACCACATGGCGGCTTATTTCGATTTAGGGTTCTTGAACCTTGTCTCAGACACCTTTTGACCCTTATACCACGAACAATAAAAGAGGATTTTAAACTCGGTCCAACCGTAAAACAGTAGGAGAGCCATGCTTCAGCACTTGACAATGGGCCGGCTCGCAGACAACCCGAGTTAAGTAATTATTTCGTTACTTTCCGTTACCGGGTAATCCCATGATTATATCCCATGACTGCACAGATGGCGTAGTGGTTTAAGCGGTCGCCACGCCGCTTCCTATTACGTCGAGTGTTGTGGGTTCAAACCCCACATGGGACAACACTTTGTGTGATCCACAAATTGTTGTTCTGAGTCTGGGTGTACTTTGTGTCCGTTTCATGTATGTTTGTAAAGTCCCCCGCGACACAGGATTTATTCCTAGTGAGGGAGTTGTCTTTAAAAAATTATAGGGGGAGGACCAGGGACATCCTTTGCACCAGGGACTTCCTTTCTAGGGTATACCTAGTTCCCCGGCTATTAGTACCCGAGAAGGCGTGCGGTTTTAGTCGATTCGAGTCCGACATGCCACCGATAGGTGATATCCGAGGGGATTTCCGCACGGAAAAAACAAAAAAAAAAAGGGATTTCCGCACGGAAAAAAGGAGCGGAATCTAAGGTGGCAAAGCACTTGTGACTCCTCAGTTGCAGGTCACCCAAGGGCGACAATAGTTACTTACCATCTGGTAACCCGTCTGCTCGTTTGCCCCCCTAAACCGTAAATGTTACGATGTAGGGGGGCAAATGAGTCTACAGTACTGTCTCTAACAAGTTTTCTTTGTTATCAGGATGAAAAATATTCGAGGAAGGCTTGAGGTGGATTAGTGGATTTACTGTGGGAGAGCTGCTTCAGGAGTTACAGTGATGGACCTATGGGAGGCTTAAGTCCCATCTCACTTGCACACCTTGTTCATCCATTACGTTGGGAATTTGTTTTTATCACGTCTGTGAGCTGATTTTCTTGCGTCAGTGTTAAGTAGGTAGGTATCAGTAAAAAAATGTTATCAGTTTTTCCTTATCTATACTAATATTATAAAGCTGAAGAGTTTGTTTGTTTGTTTGTTTGTTTGAACGCGCTAATCTCAGGAACTACTGGTCCGATTTGAAAAATTCTTTCAGTGTTAGATAGCCCATTTATCGAGGAAGGCTATAGGCTATATATCATCACGCTAAGACCAATAGGAGCGGAGCACCAATGAAGAATGTTTCGAAAACGGAGAAAATTTATTACTATTGAGAGACGCAGACGAAGTTGCGCGGGTCAGCTAGTCTTTAATGGACCTTGATTTTGATTGTTATCAATAACTAGGTATCGCTGCGCTCGTGTGATTATGTCTTGTTATAAATGACGTACTTCCATACATCACTTAGAGGTGAAATTTTTAATTATTTTTTTTAAAGACAACTCCCGCACTAGGAATAAATCCTGTGTCGCGGGGGACTTTACAAACATACATGAAACGGACACAAAGTACACCCAGACACAGAACAACAATTTGTGGATCACACAAAGTGTTATTCCATGTGGGGTTTGAACCCACAACACTCGGCGCAATAGGAAGCGGCGTGGCGACCGCTTAAACCACTACGCCATCCGTGCAGTCACGTGCAATTACACGCTTTATATTAGCTTCACTTGTATGTTTGTAATAGACTCCTTGATTTTGACTGACTTTAAACGGTCAGAATTCGTTCAAACTTTGTAGATATATTGAGGACCGATGACAATACACTAATTTAAAAAAAAAATAGTTTTCAAAAACTAAAAAACATGCTTTCTATAGAAAACTAAACTAAAAAATAGAATATAAATTTGAAAAAAGCGTGGGGTGCTTTTTACTATTGACAACAGGCACCCAACGCTTTTTTTAAAATTTATTTTCTATTTTTTAGTTTGGTTTTCTATAGAAAGCGTGTTTTTTAGTTTTTTAAAACTATATTTTTTTTCTAAAAAAACCTTGCTTATTGTTGCATCACCTGCCAATAGATTGCGTAACGACCCTAAATCCATCTTTAATCATTAAAAAAATTCAAATATGACCAATCTGTTGCGTTGTGTGCTATTTGTTTTACCGAGTGGAATAAAATGTAAAGGCAACACAATAAAAACAACCAATATACACTTTATATGTAATTATTTATTTATAACTTTCATCTCCTCAACACGTAACGTCACAAAAGTTCAAACAGCAAGTAATATATGTTATTATTGCGCATGATTTATATTTATTTATATATTTTATATATATTTGTACAAGACGTCCGCCATCGCGGGCGGGTCCGTGTGCACTAACATAATACTGTACTCTTATACAAATCCCATATATTTGAACGTCGGCAACACTGACAATATCGAGATAAAGCTTTAAAAAAAAACTGCCGTGTTTATTTTATAACAAAATGTTATATGTTTTAATCTAAAAATAACGTGGAATGCAAATGGGTACTCTCGATATAATGACTTTAAAAAAAAAACACGCAATATATAAACGGGCGTAAAATAATTCATTTTTAGTGTATAAATATCATATATTTTATATAAATAACAACTAATTAACTGCGGGCCCGTCGACCAGCCGCGGCGCTTCCGTGTCATATGTACAGCGTGGGGGGGGGGGGATTGAGGGGGGGGGCTTTTAAAGCTGCGACGGGCCCTTTAATTTCAACAATTGGAATCACGAATATGTATTGAAACACTAGTATTACAATTAAACCTACATACACTACGTAGACCATGATTAAACACATAATTACGTTTAATTATAGTGTATTACAATACATGGGCCGGGCGGCGGCTTGCTCTGGTACCACTCTCCCCCCCCCCCCAGGGTGGGGTGCGCTTAGTCTTCGAGGTTGCGGAAGGCGGCGGACATGTCCTCTAGCAGTTGGTCGAATTCTGCCTTGATCTTAGCTTCTCCGTCTTTTACGGGGTCCTAGGAGTTACAAAACTATATTTAGTAATATTCATGTGTAAAGAATGGTATCCGTGTGGTGACGGATTAAGAATACGGAATGTCACCACCCCTATTCATCCCGTGGGTGTCGTAAGAGCCGACTAAGGGAGCAAACTAGGCAGGACAACGGCACTGCAAAGAGAAGGAAAACTTGAAACAAACCGTACACCAACCCGTCTGGCCAACCTCCTTTGAGGCCTATGTCCAGCAGTGGAATATTATAGACTGCTGATTGATTGATTGATGTTGTAAAGAATTATATTAAAATACAAAATTAAAGTTGACACCTCTACCTACCCCTTGGGAATCTAGGAATAAGTGTACACACTTATTCCTAGATTCCCAATGGAACAGTTGGAAATGAAACAGTTATGATTGGAATGCCTGACCGACTGCTGCGCCAGAGGACGTGGGGGCAATTCCCACCAAATACCTGTGTGATGATCTGTGTCTGGGTGTGATTTATTTATAATATATATACATTTAGTAATATATAAGTTTGTTTATCAGCAGTCTGGTTACCATAGCACGGACTACTTAGTTTGGGATCTGATGTTTACAAATGACCACTCAGAGGAGTTCAGAATCTCATGGCCTGAATATATAATATATATTCTACCACATACACACAATGCCATCTAGTCCCAAACTAAGCAGAGTTTGTACTACGGGTACTAGACAACTGATATAAATACATATATACTTTTTTTATAAATACATACATATTATACATAGAAACACCCAGACCAAATCAAACATTAAATGTTCATGCACACAAATATTTGACTTGAGCGGGAATCGAACCCGCGACCTTTGGAATAGCAGTCCGTTACACAAACCACTACGCCATCCAGTCGTATAATTTCTTTCTATTAATTATTTAAAGAAAGACACCCAAATTCATTACAGTATTATTTGTAGAAAGGACCTATGCTTACAAGTAACAATAACAACATCTCACAAATGGCAGTGTGATCCCAAATAAGGCAGCCTGTATTAGGGTAACTAGACCACTGATAAACATACTTAAATGTTTCTAAATACCTACATATTTTAGATAAATTAAAACCGGACACAGAACAAATGACCGTGCTCATCATACAATTATTTGTCCTGGGTGGGAATCAAACCCACGAGCTCCAGCTCAGCAGTCAGAGTCTGTAGCCACTAGTTTGACGGGCCTGTTGGTCTAGTGGTTAGTGGCCCTGACTGCTAAGCCGGGAGGTCGTGGGTTCGATTCCCACCCAGGACAAATATTGTGTGATGATCACGGTCATTTGTTCTGTGTCTGGGTGTAATTTATTTATAATATGTATGTATTTAAAAATATATAAGTATGTTTATCAGCAGTCTGGTTACCATAGTACAGGCTCTGCCTAGTTTGGGATCAGACGGCCGTGTGTGAGATGTGTGAGGTTATTATTATTATCTTTATTTCATTCTTTATACATATAAATTACATTTTTAAATATATTTATATACAAAAACAAAAAAAATACATTTAAAAATATAAAAAATAGTATCCCATCGGTATTGGATACAGAGACCAAGATATCGGTGGTTAGGACTCCAGAGACAGAAACTTCCTCACAATCCGTGCCGTATCGAGAAGAACTGCTTTCTGCATCAGACCCTTAATCCAACTGCCTAACGCGAGCCTCTGAAGATGTTGGTGGTACAACGATTGCCGAATCAACATCCCACATGTCGACAATCTCGTGGGCTAAATCCAAATACTTCACTTGTTTATCTTTTTCAGCTTTCAAGAGATTGTCGTCATGTGGAATGGTAATGTCAACAATCATTGCTCGGCGCTCCAATCGGTCTATTACCACTATATCAGGTTTATTGGCAACTATAGTCCTGTCAGTGATAACAGGGCGATCCCAGTACAACGTTGCACGACCATTTTCAAGAACTGGGTCGGGCACATATTTGTAGTACGGTAACTCTACAGTCACAAGGTTATACTTAAGAGCAAGTTGCTGATGGACAATCCTGGCCACTTGGTTATGTCTATGCAAGTACTCGCCGTTGGCAAGACGAGAACAACCATATATATATATTATTATTATTATTATTACAGCAGGCCAGTGAATGTTGATACGTATGTAACGCACTCACCCTGAACTTCATGGAGGAGAGCTGGTAGAGCACGTTGCCCATGGCGTCGCGGATGACGTTCCAGGTGACCTTGTTGTCAGACTGCGCCGTGGACTCGACGGCGTGACGCGACATGTCGTAGAACGAGATGATGTTCTTCAACATGCCGCATGTCTTGTAGAACGGACAGAATCTGTCGTATGCTGAGTAGCTGTAACACAATATTCATTGTATTAACGACTGGCTGGTTAAGTGTTACCTTAGTGGGTTCGATTCCCGGACCGGGCAAAATTTTATAGGGTTCTTAAGTTCAGTAGCCTAAGTTATGAAGATTACCCAGAACAAACAGACAAACAGGCAAAAAAACTACTACTAAAATAACCGTGTAAACAAGAAAAAAAATTGTTAAAAAAACTAAAAAACAAGCTTTCAAGAAAACTAATTTGAAAAAAAGCGTTGGGTGCCTGTTGTCAATAGTAAAAAGCACCCCACGCTTTTTTTCAAATTTATTAAAAATTATTTTCTATTTTTTACTTTGGTTTTCTATAAAAAAGCGTGTTTTTTAGTTTTTTTAAACTATTTTTTTTTAATTAGTTTATTGTCATCAGTCCTCGATATATTTACAAAGTTTGAACGAATTCTGACAGTTTAAAGTCAGTCAAAATTACGTCAGTCAAAAAAAGGAGTCGGTTACAAACAAACATACAAGTGAAGCTAATATAAAGCGTGTAAAAATGCAACTCCGATGCGGCAGTCCAAACCGCCTTCAAAGAGTTTATTGACTCTCCCCATGGTTTTTTTAGTAAAGGGATCAATGAACTACCTATGAGATGGCAAAAGTGCATAGATAACAACGGTGCACACTTTGATTAATTAAATATTAGGTCTTTACCTATGAAATTGCCGTTTTGTATGCAATAAGTGAAAGTACTTATTTTTTCAAACTTTTTTATTTCTGTTATTCGAAGTAATCACCCATGCAATCGACGCATCTTTGCCAACGCATTGGCAGTTTATTGATGCCCTTCTTGTAAAAATCAGCTGGACGGGAGGCAACAAACTCTTCAAAGGCATTTTGTACTGCCTCTCGGGAATTGAATTTTTTACCCACTAAAGAGTTGTCTAAATTTTGGAAAAAGTAATAGTCGGTAGGTGCAAGGTCAATAAACTGCCAATGCGTTGGCAAAGACCTATTATATTTTACAAAAAAAAATTGACTTTATATTCCACCCGTACAAAACGCCAATTTCATATGTAAAGACCTAATATAAACAACATTTAAACAATTATTTACGATAAATTATACGGTAGTTAACTGAGAACTCAAATAATTTCCCTACATTAAAAGTAAAATGAATGTCGCATGAAAATATTAATTAATTACAACTAGTGACGCCATTTTTTTCTAAATCATTTAATATCCAAGGCAGGGTAATCACAATTTTATATATTTTAAGTGCCTGGTACCTTGGGACCTAACTGTAGTCTGCAAATGTAAAAAAAATACTCGTCTATCCATTTGAAGACAGCATAACTAATTGTGTAAATATTAGACTGCACGCATGGCGAAGTGGTTTAAGTGGTCGCCACGCCGCTTACTAAGACAACACTTTGTGTGATCCACAAATTGTTGTTCTGAGTCTGGGTGTTTTTTGTGTCCGTTTCATGTATGTTTGCAAAGTCCCCGCGACACAGGATATATTCCTAATGCTGAAGTTGTTTTAAAAATATATATACATATAATAAATATATACAGCTTGTGTTTACCTGTTCTGTTGTAGGAAGTCGTCCTTGAGTAGCTTGGCGACCTCGAGGGTGATCTTGTCAGTCTCGGCCAGGGAAGCCTTACCGACCAACTGCACGATTTCTGACAAGTCTTCTTCTTCTTGGAGGATCTCCTTGACCTGAACACAAATATTGTTTTACCTTCAATTAAATATTCCTTAACATGTTATTTTAAATCTGAGGAAACTTATGATCCTCTATTGACTACACAACTAAGCAATTCATGATTTAAAACAACATACAACAAACCATACTTTATATCATAAACTAGCTGGTACCCGAGACGTTCAAGTGGAATTTAAAAAACCCTGCCTTAGTCGGTTCAAGGCCCAGACTTGGAAAAACAGCTTAAGTTATTCCTTATGTAGACAGTACCTGGTGGTACAATATTATTGAAATCGGTCCCGCCGTTTAAAAGATTACCCGGAACAAACCAGACAAACAAAAAAACTGGTTTTTAGGCATAGGTATCATGCAAATAACCGTGTAAGGAAAAAAAAAACCTATTATTTTGACATTACAAACAGACACTTCAATTTTATTTATTTGTATAGATAATATATACAACTTCCCGACATCAACCGGTGAGCACCGCTCCACCAGGTACGGTCACTCATTTTAGATTCAACGGATGAGTGATTTATAAAGAAAAATATAATTAATTATGTGTCATCATCCCTTCAGGCAATTGGTTACTGACCTTGGTTCGGAGAGGTACGAACTCGGGGTAGTTTTTGTCATAGAAGTCATCAAGCGCACGCATGTACTTGCTGTAGGAGATGAGCCAGTTGATGGAGGGGAAGTGCTTCCTCTGGGCCAGCTTCTTGTCCAAGCCCCAGAACACTTGCACGATACCCAGGGTGGCGGCAGTTACAGGGTCGGAGAAGTCACCACCAGGGGGCGATACGGCACCCACGATGGATACGGAACCTGACGAGTGAACAGATATATAGTCCACAACTCACTATTTAGAGATCAGGATATTTAATGTGTTTAGATTCTAAGATATCTCGAATATTAATAACAATATTATAATATTTGGACATCTAACACACAACGCCATCTAGTTTCAAACTAAGCATACCTTGTACTATGAAAGCTAGATTGACTGATAGAATACTTATATACTTTTTTTGTAAATACACACATGATATACACAGAAAACACCCAAACTCCGAAACAAATATTTGTAGATCATACAAACATTTGGTTCGACCTGGGAATCGAACCCAATATATCTTAGTTTTTTCAATTATTTGATATAACGACTATAATTATAACTAGCACATTATTTCGTCTTATCTTTAACTATTTAAGCAGCGCAAGCGAGAAAGGATTTTTTAAAAGACGATTTTTTACACCAATAATAACCTATTTTTTTTGCACGTCTAAGTTTTTTAGAAATAAATTATAGCCTATGTTACTTACCAAAAATGTAGCTTTCTATTAGTGAAAAAATGGTTTAAATCGGTCCAGTAGTTTTGGAGCCTATTCGATACAAACAAAAACTCTTTCCTCTTTTTAATATTATAATTATATAATTATAATAACTCCTTTCTAAGGAGAGGCTTATGTCCAGCAGTGGACTATTAAAGGCTGTTGATGATGATGATGATGAATTATAATAACTAATGGCATATTACTCATCTTTATTTCATTTATATAAAAGAGCCTAAACTAAAATAAATATAAGTTTATCACTGGTTAAGATTCTGTTTATGAAACATAATGAAATCCGAATTTATTCTACGTTAACTTCGAAAAAAAATCTGCTTTATAATGTTTCCTTAAAGATACTTTTTCAAGACATTACTCATATATAATTTTAACAGTAAACAGCTTTGTTATAATTTATACAGATTGTGGATGAGCTCGCTTCTCAATTTAAAACAAGCTAATTATTGAAAAACAAAACAACCGACTGCGTGAATAAATCTATTGAGCCGTTCAGGCTGAAAAGCGTGTTAAACATTTGAATGTGGCGCCAAAAATCCACCATTTTGTTTTTTATTTTATTTTGATATATCCAGTGTCACTCTCACAGTAAATACGAATCTAACATCTCTCAAGCTAAAATCTATTCAGCCGTTCAAGCTCAGAGCGTGTCAAACAATTATACATACTCTCAAAAACATAACCCTCCTTCTAAATACTCAGCCTTAAAATTGAATGTAGGATAACAAAAAAACGTTACAAACCTTCCCTGTCGGGGTTGCCCAAACACTTGACGCGTCCAGCTCGCTCGTAGAAGGAGGCGAGCCTAGCGCCCAGGTACGCGGGGTACCCGGAGTCGGCCGGCATCTCAGCCAGACGACCCGAGATCTCACGCAGAGCCTCGGCCCAACGGGACGTGGAGTCAGCCATCATGGACACGTGGTAACCCATGTCACGGAAGTACTCGGATAGGGTGATACCTGGAATCACAAACATATATTAACAGAGATTAAACAGAAACAAGTGTCAAAGTTTTCCTATAGATGCTGTTGGTGCCTCTGTGTATTTACTCGGTGGAATGTTGTATACGCTATGTTGTACATGTAACTGTTTTATATTACACAAAAGTAAGTAACAATCTTTGGTTTATTACCCAAAAAGATCACAAATCGTTCTTGAGTCTTAGAAACACATAATTTTATTCAAAGTTCTACAAAAGGAAAAAGTAGAAAAATGTGAGTAAAAATTTAGTGTTGCTCATAAAACACTCAACAATCGACTTTATTGCAGAAATAATGCAATTACACATCAATGAAATTACATTATTGGGTCTGAACCCCACATGGGATGACACTTTGTGTGATCCACAAATTGTTGTTCTGATTCTAGGTGTTCTTTGTGTCCGTTTCATGTATCTTGTAAAGTCCCCCGCGACATAGGATATATTCCTAATGAGGGAGTTGTCTTTAAAAAAAAAAACAATTTGAAAATCCAAAAAAAAATTGCATCTATTGTATTGTGTTCAATTGCTTTTAGACCAATGAACTTTAAGGTGTCTTGCTTTATAAATTTTGGTATTTTGTTACAAATCTGTATTTGCAACCAGAACATGTAGGCTAATACAACATAAGTATATATTATATTCGTACTTTTATGTTTAAATATGTAGATGGGTGTAATGTATGTACCGTTGCTGATTTGTAATACAGCATTGCATTTACAAAAGTACAAATCATAGGTATATTTACAGTCAGGCCTGGGGGTGACAGGTGAGGCCATCTGTCACCCTAGCAGAAGCAGGCCGGGGTGGCGGCGAGCGCGTTGCGCAGCGCGCTCGCTTCCAGGGAGCACAGGGAACATGGGGTTCCCACACGGGGGGGTCGTCTACCTGTGGTCGGGGCACCAGGGACTACCTTTCTAGGGTATACCTGGTTCCCCGGCTATTGGTACCCGAGACGGCGTGCGGTTTTAGTCGGTTCGAGTCCGACATGCCACCGATAGGTGGTATCCGAGGGGATTTCCGCACGAAAAAAAAAAACAAAAAGGTATATTTACAGTTTTGAATAATAAAGAGTTATGATTCACTTAATGGGTGTATGGTGTACAGCCAAATGAAAATGTCCACTGGCCGGTGTACGTGTACATTTCTTCGACAGGTGTAGGTGTATTGTATACTACTGACAAAGGTTATGATCCACCGGTGTAGGTGTATAGCACACTGACCGGTATAGATGGAAGCCTCTCGGGCGGCTACAGGCATGTTGGAGGTGTTGGCGACCAGCGCAGTACGCTTCATGATGGACTCTGTAACTCCTTCGATCTCCACCGTCAGCTCGGGGAAGTCCCGCAATACTTCAGACATCTCGTTACCTGGTTACAAGAACATGTGTTACTTACAATTCTACTGTTACACTTAATCTGGCAAATTTTGTGGAAAATAGTGTTACGTCTCTCTGACACCAATACAATATCTTTCGACTCATTTAGAAGTTGTGTCTTTACTACTGTACTAATCGGTGCGAGAACTTGTATTGCGCGATGTAGGATTTTATGAAATTTAAGTGTATTTTCGCTAAAGGTGAATGTTGCTACAAGTATCTGAACTTGTGCCAACATCTATCTATAGCCAAGTAAAGATTCATCCAGTCTTCATACAATGAGTTTCTCTAGTGAGGGATACACACCACGCTCGCCGCATCCGACGTAGATGATGACATCAGAGTTGGAGTACTTGGACAGAGCCTGTGAGATGACAGTCTTGCCGCAACCGAAGGCTCCGGGGATGGCTGTGGTACCACCCTGCACACACCTGGGAGGGGAAACAAGATTAAGTGTTACTATCATTGTGATTTAAAAAAATTGTTTATAGCTTATAATAATAAATTTATGTAGCGCTATGCATTAATATGTTAAATCAGGTAGACAAGTGTTTTTGTTTGTATAATAACTACATATATCAAAAAAGTAAGAAAAATTACGCAGTTGTCTAATATTCTTCAGAACGCCGTAAATAAACCACATATAATATAGTAATTTCTACGTAACACGGCGATTTTCGACCAAAAATTAATATCGTTTTGCCTAAAGACAAAATTTAATTTACTAAAAACAAGACTGTGAGAAGTACTAGATAATGTTGTGTGTAAACCCATGTGAATAAATACATTTTAAAACTAATAAATTTTTTTATGGAGTCATCTATGTATATCTGATTGATGGATAAAGGGACCTGTTGGGCTGTCAGCTTCAATTCTCACACAGGACAAATTTGTGTAATTTATCTATAAATGTAAGTATTTAGAAATATATATGTGTTTATTAGAGGCTTGTAATGCGCGCGATAGTAATTTTATATCATTTTAAATAAATATATTGTTATATAAGAGTGGAGGAACGGGTGTCATGTCCCTCCAACACAAAGGGGGGATCCTCCGACCGGGCGAGGTGATCATGCCTGGCGGGCCGCGGCCCAATTCTTTATATCGCGATACAGGATTAGCAATTCTTATTTTAGTAGTTACTCCGTAGTTCGGTGTGTCTTCATTAGATGGCGCTGTAGTATGTTTCTGTTTCTTTGTATGTGGGAGTCGCCACATAAGAAACACTAAGTATTAATACTTAGGGTTTCTTTTATTTCAACATAGTTATTATATTACAATATATTTCTTTACAAGTAGCGCCACTGGATGAAAAGTTAAGAAGTAATAGGTTATCTCGGTATGGACATGTCATGCGGAGGGATGAGGAAAATGTGGCGAAGAAAGTTTTAGGTATGAGAGTTGAAGGGTACAAGAGTAGAGGCAGACCGAAGAAGAGGTGGATGGACTGCGTCAGGGAGGATATGGCTAGGAAGGGAGTAAACAGTGAGATGACGCATGACAGAGTAGAATGGAAAAATCATACATACTGCGCCGACACCAAAAAAAATTGGGAAAAGGGTAGGCAGATGATGATATTTCTTTACAAGATAAATAAATATTAAAGTATAAGCTAGGGGCGGGGCTAGGGTGGGAGTACTGACGGGAAGAGCGAGTCGAGCACGCGCTGTCCGGTGAGCAGCGGGTGGTTGGCCGGCATCTTCTCCGTGACGGGCCGCGGCTGCCGCACCGGCCACACCTGCAGCATCGTGTACGACGCCTTCTCGCCGTCGAACTCCGTCTCCAGCACCACGTCCTGCGCACACCACCTTACTTAACTCTCTTTCCTTCCCAGTCCGTCAAAAACTTATAAACGTTATTCATAACTCTCTTACTTTCATTTTTTTTTTCATTTGTCATTTAATTGTTTATAATTTAAAAGGCAAGCGAGTAGACCGGTCACACGACTACCACCACTCATGAACACCCTGTGAAGAATGTTTCCAGCCCTCAATATGGACGTATAATCTTTTCTTTAAGATTTAAATTAGACAATCTTCTATCTAAAATTATTCGAAACTTTTTACAATAAACTAGGTAATATATATTTATTTCTAAATAATAAGATTCGATATGCTTACAGTGCATTTGTAGTTGCCTGAGGGCGCCACGTATGTGACGGTACCCTTAGCCTTGGGCGGCACCAACATCTTGTGTTTCACCAAAGTGTTCTCGTGGACGATACCGTACAGATCTCCTCCGGTGATGTGAGACCCGACCTGGGGGAAAAGTTTACAATTTTATTTATCTGCTACCTGACAATACACTGTTAACACTATTTGCTAATTAATATTTTTAAGATATTTTTTTTATAATTAATCAAAAATTCTCAATTATAATACAGAAGCAGTTCTTTAAAATTATTAAATTACATCATAAGCTCGTCCCGTTGGTGATGAGATATTACAGCACCACTGATTACACTTGAGGATTTCCAAAACCCTTACTTATCTGGTGAGAAACCTACTACTACTTTCATGAAGTACAATTAAAACAAGAATTAATAATACTACTACTGGTATCTATTAATTTTATATCCTTACTTAAACGGATGAACCGAGAATCGATTTTTTGGGGTCAAAAATAATCGATGTGATTGCGCATGACCCAAAAACGCTAATTTGGAAGACTAACTTAAGGGAATAGATGTTTAATACATACATTAATAATCATCATCATCTGCCTACCCTTTTCCCAATTTTATTTGGGGTCGGCGCAGTATGTATGATATTTCCATTCTACTCTGTCATGCGTCATCTCACTGTTTACTCCCTTCCTAGCCATATCCTCCCTCATGCAGTCCATCCACCTTTTCTTCGGTCTGCCTCTTCTCTTGTACCCTTCAACTCCCTTACCTAAAACTTTCTTCGCCACATTTTCCTCATCCCTCCATACATTAATAATCATTTTAATATATTTATATACATAGATTCAATAAAATTATTCCGATACTCACTTTGACGTGCAGTGGGTTAAATTCCCAGTTGACATCACGAGCTAAAGAAGGCACGTTCACACCCTTTGGGATGTAGATAGACTGGGTAAGCTCGTTGATGTCCTTCAGGGGACGCTGGATACCGTCAAAGATGGAGCCCAAGATACCGGGACCCAGCTCTACGGACAAGGGTTTGCCGGTACGGAGTACGGGGTCACCGACTGTTACACCTGATGTTTCTTCGTATACCTATAGAAGAAAAACTTTTTATTTCTACCATAAAAAAACACTAAATTAATTTTTTAGAAGGGTTTCATTCAGTAGTATCATTAAACTAAGATCTCTCAAATGCCTGAGTCAGATATTTAAGTGAAATGTTTAAATAAATACATGAAACAAATATTTGATGAGAAAAAGGAATTTCAGGAGACAAAAGACTGATGTCTCTCTGTCCCAGCTTAACATTGATTGCCAGACATACTAAAAGAATTTCTAAATAATACACCAATAGCAAGCTAATCTATTATTACCAATATTAATATATTTATTTAGTATACATCTGCCTATCCCTTAGAGAGGTTGGAGACAGGTTACTAACCTGGATGGTGGCCATGTCACCTTCAAGACGAATGATCTCTCCTACCAGCTCATTGTAACCTACACGCACCAACTCGTACATAGCTGATCCGGACATTTTCTCTGCCGTTACGACTGTCAAACACAATATTTAATAATATTAATATGGTATACAAAAAAAAAAAAATCTGCATGTGGCAACACATTGTACGACATATATCCAATAGACAATATTCTAGGGACTATGTGTTGTTGGAACTCGTCAAATTGTTTTCAAACTGTCACAACTTGTAAAAATACATGGATTTGGAACATATAGCCTAGTGGTTAAGGCATTGGACTTGTGATCAAGAGGTCGTGGGTTCGAATCCTGACCAGTACACTACCGATGTGAACCCACTCCTAACACAAGCAATTTAGCTTTGCTGGAGGAGTTAACGGGAATACTAGTAACTTAGGTTGCTAGTAAGCCTTTAAAAAAATTATTATAAGGTACCCTTAAAGTCAGTACTTTATTATGCATGAAGGGTACTACCACAATGTGTATGTAAAATCATGGTGATTGCACGAAAGGGCAACACATAAAATAGTAACAAACAGATTTTTGTATACCAAAATTTAACTTTTTTGTTAACAGAATGACACTATCTAAGTCATATGTGAACCGTCCAGTTACGAACACAATCTGTTAAATTTGAAGGAATTAAGTAGCTATTCATAGATCTATGAGTTCTATAATAACATTATTAAACCATCAAATGCATCACGATCGAAGAGTTTTTTGGAGTTTACTCTTTAAGAATCGATAAGGCGCCCGATATGAAAAAGAAATATATGACGAGTAAAATTAAGTGATTGAATGACCTCATTACATTTTTTAGTTCTAAATGTAATTTATTGATTGCGGTTCAACTATTTACTTTTACGTGTAATAATATTTTTTGTTGGTTTGTTATTAGTGCTATGATTGCAATTTGTTTTAGTTTAGTGAGTAGTCCACTACAAATTTAAAATTGTTTTTAAAACGGAATAAACAGCGATTAATACGTGACTTCTAATGATCTTAAGTGTGTCGAAGCTGACACACACTTTTTTTTCTTCCTCTAAAAAACTCTAAAAATTATCATAATGATACATAAATTAGAATTCACACTTCTGTGCTGTCTACTAGAAACCTTCTATGGCGTCAAAACTGTTTATAGCACTTAGCTGTGTAGTACAGTCATTCCCGAAGTGGTTGATATCACACAAACTCTCCGTTCAGTCGTCTTATGCGTGACGCGCTAATAAATGTGTTCTTGGTGTAATATTTAACTGTTTTACTATTTTTACCAATGTTGCAATTATTGTCCCATATTTACCACATAAGGTCCATCGTATATTTACAAAAAATGTAAACTAATGAGGCTGTGGAAGTGTATTACTGTCTTATTAGTCAAAATTTCTTGTATTCATTTCATTGACGATTCTTATTGAATATATAAAAATCAATAAAATAGAAAAAAAGACTACTAGTTTGCTTTAGAAAGCATTCCCATTAACAATAAAAAAAAAAGTAAATATGACTGCAATTGAACAAGCACTATTATCTGATTACGTAAGTCCCTTATTGCATCACAATTTCTTTGTAAGAAAACTGGAATTCAAATTATTTGTGTCCTATTACATTATTGTATGTAGATTTTTTTAAATATCAAAAATCATAGAATATTCTATCTAATTCAATAAAATATAACTAAATAAAACAACTAAAAGGAACAAAGATATAGAAAATCAGCTAGTTCCCCAAAATTAAAAAAGTGAAGAGCTATCTAAATGACCATTGGGCTTTTTAGCAGAAAGAATATTAGTAATAGTATTGTTTAGCAGAAATGATTCAATCCACAATCTGGTTAAATTCATAATGACAACAAACTGTCCTAAAATTTTCTGTATCATCAGCAACAGAACAGAGCTCTAGAATTCCACTGCTGGACATAGGCATCTCCTTAGAAAAGAGATTCTGGCCTACTGTACCACGCTGGCGTGACAGGTATGTATAGGGTTTGTTTCAAGTTTTCCTTCTCTTTCCAGTGCTGTTATCAAAAATTTGTTCCCTTAGTCAACTGTTACAACACTCACGGGACGAATAAGGGTAGTGGCACACCGTATTCTTAATCCATGAACTTGTGATGAATTTATTTAAATTCAGGACAGAGTATACTAGTATCTATACCGTAAATTTGGCCTCTGTGGATTAGATAATTTCGGCACAACATTAACAACTACAGATTATTTTATTACACTACAATAAGTTACACTACAACGTATACATACCAGGACCAGATACAGCAAAGACGTATCCAAACCGTTCCTCATTCTCCTCGTTGGCGATGGTCTGGTACTCCGCCATCTTGAATAATTTATTCTTTTACCTGCCACCAGAAGATGTGAAATTTAAATAACAGTTTTTGGTACATTTGTTGCATTCTTGACCTGATGGCACAGCTAAATATAAATTTATTCCCGCAACACAATTAAGCTCAAGTAAAATAGAGATTGATTCACTTAAATGACATTTCCTTCTTCAACAGCTTTTAATAGTCCACTGCTGGACATAGGCCTCTCCTTAGAAAGGAGGTTTTGGACTACCATTGACAATGTAATTTCCTAACAATGAAATTTAAAAAAAAAATTTAGACCTGTGTCCTAGCCACTCTGCTATTAAAGAGGAAAGCATGAAATTACATAGCAAAACTAGTTATTGCAAGAGAAGTTTAAAAAACATAAGATTGTTCTTGACACTCAATTTTACATCATAACACTTACCAACACAAAACTAATAACTTTATTTTAAATAACAACCAAATCAAGGATCTTTTTTTATTCAATCATTTAATAATATTATAGAATTCTAATGTGGTTGGAGTCTGACCATAGACTGGCACATCAGCTGACCTGAGATTTATCAATGAGCACTGATAAACACTCAGATCCATCAATGTCATCTATTAAAAAATGTATGTATGTATGTGGAGGACACAAAAAGAATGTAACACTTAAAAAAGGATGCTACATTAATTGATGGTACCAGTAAATTAATTTAAACAAATTATAGAGTGGAAGGATCTTTGCTCATATGTAACAAGTCATCTATCATGTGACTTAATTTCACTTAAGTTGGTGCATAATAAGACCTTTTTTAAGAGTATTTAGTGATGATGGCAAAAAAAAAACATAGAAGTAGCAATGGGCATGACTTGGGTATGCCTTGTCATTTCTTTATAGGAGTAAAAATTACTAATTTGACTATATAAATAGGGAACTTGTGGTAGTTTTACAACAAGTAAGGGAAATCTATTTCCTAGATTTATTATCTAATCCACAAAAGTATCTTTCATCTTAAATGTACATATTTAAGGAACAGAATTAAGGTTTATAATAATCATAGTAAAATTAAAATTCTCTGATCTGGTCATAGTGACTTAGCTAAATCAAACTAATTTTATGGATTACTTTTTTTATAACTGTATAATTATTTTTTATTACTTTGATGAAAACTTGAGTCTACTGAAAAAGTAAGCTATATGGGTGTGTAATCTACTTATTTTCTAATAGAAACAAACTCATAAGTAGTGTTACTAGAAAGATGGTATATACACAATATAATTGCAGTAGAACTGAAGTGGTGAACTATTGTATTCACGTCTTAAACATTAATTGGCTAAAAAAGTATATAGTCTTCATCTTACACACCTATTACCATTTTTCTAATAGGAGTCGAACACAGTCACATGATAAATGGGTTGCAGGACATTTGACATTAATAACAAAGGTTTTATATACTTTAAATGAAAATTAATGAAGCAATACACGCCCGAATTGCTTTGCCAAAAAGATTTAACGAATATATATACCAAAAAAGCCATATTATTACTGACATTACGAGTTTCTCACAAAAATTTGTCTAAGGCAGGATCAAGAACAATCTTACCAATAATTTAAAAGCAAAAACTATTATTCACAGCAAAGAACACATACACCGACAGTAACAAACCTGATAATATACAAATAAAAGAATTCTATTCAATAAAATTCAACTCACTGACGAGAAAGACGGAATAGTTGGACCGAGAATGGCGGAGGTCCACGATTATCACAAGACCAATGATAAAAATGAAGTCAGCTGACCCTTGCTCTATGCTTCTTTGTCTATACCACACATTTCATTGATTTTCTTTACACCTCTCCAGTAGTCATTGGCATAAAAATATTTAGTAACACGGCATTTTAGGCTTTCACTACGAAGGAATAAGAAGCTAAATAGCAAACAAAGAAATATTTATTACTAAAACATCTTCACGTTATTAGTGGGAACAGTATATTATTAACATTTTTATATTTATTGTTTACACTTTAAAAATTGTTATGTTTTAAATTTAGTTATTTTTTATTTAGATTTTTTCTTTGGGTTTTTCTTAATATCATTATTTATATTGATACAAAATCCAAGCAACTTCAACCCATTTCGCTTCTAGTTGGGCTTTCATCTTTTTGAAGTTAATGGAGCCATGCTTCTGCACAAATGGGCTAGCTCGGGTGGAATAATATCACGGCCTCGCATATAACTGCTCTTAAGCAATTCTTTAATTGATTTTAAACAAGTGAGTAAGGTTTCCGGAGTTCGAACCCTGGCTACTCCTAATTCTGAGAGCAGACTCAAAGGGTCAACGCACTTGTGTCTCTTTTGTTAAAGTTGGCCGTGGATAGTTACTTAAAATCAAGTGACCCGTGTGCTAGTTTGACTATAAAAAATAATTACTGGGAAACTAAATTTGTTATGCATAATGAATGCGTATTTTAAAATATTTAATAATGTTAAAATACGGAATAATAATTTTCCTTGTGATTTCTTCTATGAACCTTTATCTTATTTAAAAGATTACACATGCATTAGTGCATAATATGTCAGAATAATTAACATCTTCTTATGCAAGTTAAAGTATTTAAGGCAAGTCTGTCATTTAAATTCTATAGTGCTAATTAACTAATAAAAAAAAACACAACTTTTTTAGACGGACAGACGGACAAGAAAGTGATCTTATAAGGGTTCCTTTTTTATCTTTTGACGTACGGCGCCCTAAAAATCTAGTAAACTTACCTATTGTGCATTGTACACATAGAGAAAATTAAAGAATAGAGCACGTCAATCCCACCTAACCCGATGCTTCAGAGATTGCTGAAAGCAGAGGCCTTCTCTATGTCTCTCTCACTGCATGTATATAGGGTTTTTTTTTTTATTAGCGGGGACAGACGAGCAGACGGGTCACCTGATGGAAAGTGACCATCGCCGCCCATGAACGTTTACAACTCAGAAGTCACAAAGGTGTTGCCGGCTTTTTAGTAAGGAGTACACTCTTTTCTCTTTTGTTAAGAAACAGATAGAGTGGGCCTCAGCATACAACGATCTCTCTCGCACTGTATGACACGGTGAGGCTTCCCTTGAGAGCTCTGTTCTTAAAGTATATCTATGATTGTACACTGTAACCTATTGTTTTGATGACATTGTAGTGGTGGAACTAGGTTATGATTTCTATAACTAGCATTTTTTTCAGTGGTACCACTTATCGCTATTCAATTAGGTAGAGTTACTGAAAATAAACAAAACTCTTCCTAATTGTGTGCCGGATAAAAATAACAGTGGTTTTAAGACACAAATTCATGAATGAAGAATATTTTTGCTTGTAATTTATTCTATGAACCTTTATCTTATTTAAAAGATTACACATGCATAAGCGCATAATATGTCAGAATAATTAACAGTTTCTCATCCAAGTTAAAGTATTTAAGTCAAGTCTCTCATTTAGATTCTATAGTGCCCATAAACCACAAAAAAAATCTTTTTTTTATTGAACCGATAAGACCCATCAAATGTTACATTTTCAAATTTCGCGCGTAATTTGACGACATTACTATTCTACTTATCGTTAGTGTTGTTATTGTTTAGGCATGGCACAAAAAAACGGTGAACTGTGAAAGACCGGTGATTTATCAATCAATTTTTTCGACGTAGGTTAGGGTTTCTACTTACTCACGCGTTGTTGCCAATAAGCTGTTTTCATACGATGTATAAAGACCCTATTTAACCGTAAATATAGTAATTATTTTGTTACAAATAGCTACCATTCCGTTCATAATAATTAAAAAATACTAGATTTACTGTTACAGAGCGTCTAACCTAAGTACCTACCTTTTTTTTTTTTCACTTGTGGAAATCCCCTCGGACCGTCACCCCGCCGGAGCTTTCTATTCGGCGGGGCGGTGTATCGGACTCGAACCGACTAAAACCACACGGTCTGCCCTCTTTGCGCTTCCATTTTGGGAGGGGTCCAGGGAGTTATAGCCTTCTGGACCCCCCCCCCCCCAGCGTCTGGACCCCCCCTACCAACCCTAACCTACATATGTACGCAAAAATCGAATGATAAATCCACAGACCTATATAAGTCTGTGGTTAAATCACAGTTTACTATGATTTTGTCCCATGTCTAGTGCTGTTGCTAACATAGGTTCCTAAAAACAAGACTACTAAAGTTCATAGAGATTTAAGCATAGAGTGAACAAGAGCCCCAATCTTAAAATATAGGTAATAATAGAAAGATGGATAATAGCTTTCTCTCTCTTTCCAGTCGGGCTATGTGATTGCCTGGTATTAGGCTTCCATCTCTCTCTTTGCCTTTATCGCTTCCACTTACGTACTATATGCTTCATCATCAGCCTATCGCAGTCCACTGCTGGACAAAGGCCTCTCCCATTGCACGCCACTTAGATCGATTTTGGGCTTCTCGCATCCAGCTCCTGACAGCCATCTTGCGCAAATCGTCACTTCACCTGGTCTTTGTTCTCTCTATGCTTATATTGTTGTTATATTGTATAATGTTCTTGACTCTTGTCTATGCACGAGTCGTACTCTGTGTTCAATCAAAGACAGACCAGTGACCACCACATCCTTTGTTTTGGAGTTACCTGTTATTAAACTTAATTTGCAAATTTTCAAGTCTTAGACTTGATATTCAAAATAAAACATAGTAAAGCATTGGTGTTTAAAAAAACTGTAGTTATTCCGTTTTAGATATTAAATTTGTTGACAAATTAGATGTACGTATTCGAACATATAGACGCCACATTTTGTTGATTTTACAATTTTTATTCAAGAAACGTTAACGTCTTGCAGGTTTCATAAAGATTTTCACTTGAGCAAATCTTTGAGTTGGTTGCTCAGGCACGGAGCATGCGAAGAAGGCTTCGAGCTGAGGTACTTACGAACATTAAATGGCAGTTGTGTACACATAAATAAATAAACGTTGTATGTATAGCATTGCCGTTTCGACCGAAACAAGATGCCAGTGTACAACTATAGTGACTTTGAATCCTGTAATTTATCAACGCGTTAGAAGTGGTTTTTTGTTTAGAGTCCAATAATTGCACTATATAAAATAACAGCATATTTAGTGACGATTATTATTATTTTAAGAATTCATAAGTTTCTGTAACATATGTAGGGAACCAATAATTTAATTTTATAGCCAAGAGTAACTTGAAATACTGCTTACTTGCATCTGCCAGATCTATCTTGACTAGTAGAGATTCTGACACCAGAACTAAGCATGAATAGTAATTGTACTGGAGGATAATTCTGACTTGACTGGCCTGATGGTCTAGTGATCCTGACTGCCCAGTAGTGCCCAGCTAGCTCAGTAGTGGGTAGTAACTTGAATTCTAACCTCAAACAAAACATGAGTATGTTTGTTAGTCTGTTATTTGGAATACAACCATGTGTAAGGCAGTTGTAATTACTATTATTATTAAATACAAACAAAACTAAGTAATGTACTGTTTCTTTTTCAGTCCAGAAGGATATTTAGAAGTTTGTAAGATACTACAGCACCCATTGTTCCAGTCCAGGTATCAACTTTCAGACGTAGTAAGGGTAGTTAGACAAGATGCTAAGCAACGGTTCAACTTGAGACAAAGCCCCTCCACTGGTAACTTAGAGATCAAAGCCAACCAGGGACACAGTATCCCAACTGTGTCTGATGACGGACTCACACCTATTCTCACGGTTAGTTAATTTATTAGTTGTTTTCGATAGTGACAAGTTGAGTAACAGAAGGTTATCTTGGTCAGAGATGGATTAAGTATCCAGAGCACTCTAGGCAACATCCCCCCCGCACCTCTCTATCGCCCATAAAAGTTTAGTTGTCTTATACTAGAACTTTTATTGTTTTACGTGTGGGAACATAGGCTGTCACCGCACTGGGGTTTGCGTTGGGGCAATGTAGCAACTGCATTTTATGTACACTCAATCTTCATAGGTATCACAAAATGAAAGTTAAGAAGTAGTGGCAATTACTGGCGAAAAATATCAATCCTAGATTTCAACCTTAAGCATCTGTATAGAAAGAAGGATTTTGTGTAAGTATGTGCAAAGAGAAGGAAAACTTGACACAAACTCTATACCAACCCGTCTGACCAGCAGTGGACTACCAAAGGCTGTTGATGTGATGTGTGATGTTTGTATGAACTAGAGTTTGTGACACATTGTTGTGTGACAGTATACATCAATACCTAAATTTACTAGTGGATAATAGTGGATATATGCCTTGGCAAATGTATATACTATTTGGTCCCTCTACTCCGTTTCCACCTCAAGGTTGTGAATTATGATGCAAAATATACAAATGTAGCAGATGCAAGAAATAAACAACTCTTTCTTCATTGAAATACAATATTTGATTCATGTGTTTTAAATTTAAGTTATCACAGCTCAAAGATAAGCTATTGCTTACATTTCAGCCTAAATACAGTACAGTGGTCCACGGTACCTACTACAAATGGTGGTCATCAATAGAACGTGACGGCCTGAATCGTATGTCCCGAAACCACATACACTTCGCCAAAGGGACATTGGATGACCCCAAAGTCATCAGCGGTCTGCGAGAGAGTGCAGAAATACTTATATACATAAACCTGCCCAAAGCATTGGCCGATGGCTACAAGTTCTTCGAGTCTGAGAATGGTGTTATTTTAACCAGCGGCAACCATAGAGGATTTTTGAAACCAGAGTATTTTTTGAGGGCAGTTTGTTTAAAAACAGGTAAGGATACCTTTTAAACCTATGTTGTACTAATTATTTACTGCGGTTTCACTCGCTTGGTTATTTGTTATTTCTAAATTTGAAAAAGATAAACTTCAATTCATACAACGGTTGTTTTCGTTAGTTGCCAGTTTCTTTTTAATGCTAGAGTATTGCGTTTTATTGTTTATGAATCCCCAAAACTATTTCCTTTGTATCCCAAATGCTCAAAAAATCAGAATGCAGATACTTTCAACAAAAAAATTGTTTATAATAAAATGTTTTGACTGAACATATAATATTCTGTTCTCTTTGTCATTACGTCTATTTACACGCGTAACTATCGCTCAAAATGACTTTAGTTATTTTGTGTAAAACTTAATCAAATCACAAAGTATTATGAGTGATCAAATCCCATGTAATTCTTCATCAATAGGTTTTAATATTATAGACATAAAAGGTGGTGCATTTCTTTTATAAAATGCTCATCAATAGTATATTACAATAAAAATAAGAGTTCTATATTGAGATACAAAAACCACAGTTAAAAAAATGCAAAGGAATACTGACATATCTGGTTTGTACAATTTTTTTTTTGTCAACATTTTTTGATGTTTGATAAAGGTAAATCTCTTGTATAAATTGTTCGGAATAGTTGTCATGTTGTTGCAACATGGGATTTAATGGACATGGCAAATGGGACCCATCGTTAACACCTAAAAAAAGGGATCTAAAACTAGGATCAAACGAAAATAAATCCCACCGTTCCCTTATTTTACACCCTTTGTGGCATTGCTAAAAATCCTTTCAAAGTGCGGGCTAGCTCACGAAATTTCAAGTTTGTAGCCCCAGAGGTTTAGTTTAGCTCTGCAGTGATATATTTATTTATTTATTATTATTTATATATTTTACCCCTAATTCAATTTATGCGTTTTTCTTGACGGCCTGCTGCATTGCCATAGCGGTGCGTTAGTCGTACTACGCACGGACAATCGTTTTTTTTTTTCAAACAAAGCGCGCGGTGCGGCAACAGCGGCGTGCGGCGGCGGTACCGCGAACGCTCGACAACAGAACGGCAACGTCGCAACTGTCGCAAGCACCACGTGTTCATTTCGGTGTTGAATAGTGCGGTGAATAGACGACAGAGCTAATTTCATCGAATTTCATTTACCTGCTTAAAATATATTATATAAACGTGGAAGATTTTATAAATGAAATCGAAATACGTCCTTCTAAATGGAACTCCAGAGTGACGAACAGAGAAAAAAATAAACAGACTGGTGACAGTTAGGCTTTGTTTACATCGAAAACTACAACTAAAAGTTCATCTGCTGACAATAAAAATGAAACCAACACGCTTTTAAAAATACTCGCAGAAAGATTACAAAACAAAAAAATCAAGTGAAGATATTTCCAAAGATTAGGACAGGTATTTTTTGTTTTCTTTGTTAAACGATTACAAAGGATCCCAGAAAGTCGTAAAATGTATGCCAAATATTACATTATTGGAATTATCCGAAAATACGCGATGCCACAATCGTATGTATACTCGAGATTATTATAACTTAGATTCGGAATTTTATGGACAAAGCGGCTATTTTATAAATCAATCTCCAGGATTTCAGACACAGACATCTAATAATCAGCTTCAGACAACATCAGACGAACTTTCTTTATAGGTTTTTTTTATTTTGTTAAAAAGACAACTCCCACATTATTGATGTATCCTGTGTCGCGGGAGACTTTACAAACATGAAACGGCCACAAAGAACACCCAGACTCAGAACAACAATTCGTGGATCACACAAAGTGTCGCTCCATGTGGGGATCGAACCCACAAAACTCAACTTAGTTGTAAGCGGCGTGACGAACGCCTAAACCACTACGCCACCCGTGCAGTCAAGCTTGCAGCAATCTTATCCGTATCTAATTTAAGTTGAGATTCTGAAGCTTACATACATAGTGATCTTTTTACAGGCGATATCCCTACATAATAATTTTTAATTATAATTTTCACAAAAATAAGGGGCGAAAAAGTTACAAGGCTGACCCACACCAAAGAGGACAAAATTTGTCAGGGATTTCTATATGGAAGTTGTTCGTAGTTAATTATTGAAAATACTTACTGTACTAATTATATATTGATTATACAGATTCTTCTTAAAAAAATATTTAATTTTTACTAAGATTAAAAAAAAATAACCATGAAAATAATTGTATTAATAAATAATATCCCGAATATAAAATATAAGTTGTTCACTTTATTTACCTTAATATTATCACCAGTCTTTCTTCAGCTGATATACTATATTTGAAAACAGTTTTACTTTAAACTAATTCAAGTAACTTATAGAAACATTCTCTAGACATTCTTAGATAATGATAAAAAATGCTTGGATCTTGTTTTAACCTACGGTAAAAATTATGGAAATCACCAGAATTACATGCTGCTTTTTACGGGGGGCGTCGGTTTTGTTCCTCTTTGATGATTTTCAACAACAACCATTACTGTTAAGTAATGTTTCTTCGTCAGAGTCTATGGCTTGACTCGTGTTACATCACTGGTATACAACGGCATTCAGATACGATTGCAATTTAGGCGTTTGGTGTCGAACTGCTACCGTTACCAGTGGCACGGTAAACGTGCGGCAGCGGTGCGACACGAAACGTATAAATTGAAAACGCCCAAGTTATAACTCCCATTGAGTAAGGAAGTAAAATAAGGGACGAACGGTTGTACGGAAGTTTAAAAACACGAAATGGAAAATAATCAAGCGAACTAAGAACCATAGTGTTATACTATTCATTAGTAAAATCAATTTGTTAATGTTTCTGGAGAGGGACTTCCCAGACCATAGACTGCATAAGTCATCTCTTTGACAAATGGTGCGCAGTTGATCACTTATATGTTGTAAGAGGTTAGTGTGCCTGTGCCTTAGCAAAAATGTATATTTAAATCAAAAGTGTGATTTAATTTAAAACATTAGTAGTGTAGTGTAGTGTATTTCGCGGTAAGTTTAATTTAGTGAGTTTTATCATATTCCACATGCAAGATGTGTATTGTGTTTTCATCTAAAGTTGTAAAATAATTGTATAAAGTAAACAAAATCAGTGAATCTGTCTGTATGGAAATTTAGTCTCTGCTCAGGTGTTTCCTGAGCGAAACATGAAACAGTAACATTCTGTTTAAAAAGTATTTCATTAACTGAAATACTTTTTGAAAATGAAAATAAAATGTTTTGAATTATAAAAATTAAAAATCAATTTTAATCGATTGATTAAAATTGATTTTTAATTTTTATTATTAATCAATCGATTAAAATTGATTTTTAATTAATTATACTATTAATAATTAATTAACACTAATTAATAATAATCTTGTTCCTGCTGTCTGATCCCAAACTAGGTACTGTGCTATGATAACCAGACTGCTGATAAACATACTTATATATTTTTAAATACATACATATTATAGATAATATAGTACACACAGAACAAATGATCCTGCTCATCACACAAATATTTATACTGGTTGAGAATTTACGACATCCGGTTTAGTAGTCAGGGTCACTAACCAATAGACATACATATTATATAGTTCTACAAATAATATTAATAATCAAATACAATGATAACTAATTTATTTATTTAATAATAATAATTATATTTATTTAAATAAGGAGTACAATAATTTATAATAAATGGTTCTCTAATTTATAAATAAAATTCTGTTGTTTTTTTTTTGTAGCTTGAACTAGGTTGAATCTGTGTGTGGGGCGAAGAAGTGCTTACAAACTATTTTATCAATATAAATCTACATAACTACAATTTAATTATAACATTCTAATAGCCTACATAAGCAAGTAGCAACATCAGTGATAAGTGGGTCATATTGCACTAAGACCATTCAGAAAATTTTAATATAAATATTTCAAGTAAATGCTCAGTTTGCTCATACGACAAAATTTGTAAATAATTATGTAATGTGTTTACATAATTTAATTTATAAATACTTTGCTCTCTGTTTAATCTATTGAAAATAATCTATTTGAATAAATGAACTTTGAGCCTAATTGTGAGGCACAGACTATATCTTTTCGTCTTTTGTTAGAAATATCAACGTGATAGGTAATGTATGTTGTTTTAGTACTGTGTGATATATGGAAAAATTAACACAACATGAAGTAAACCCTAAATCTATTTTGTTTAAGGGAAAGGGAAGGAATGATTTTATTTAAGGGGTGATCGTCCAGGGGTTGTAATACATCATTATCCAGATAATTAAATTTATTTGTTCTGTGTCTGGGTGTAATTTATCTATAGCTAGCGATCTGGCCCGGCTTCGTACAGGTGCAATGTAGATACTACTAATGTGGTGTTATTATGATAAGACTATATGCATTTTAAAACTCTAATATCTTCATAAATATTCATTTTAATTATATGTTGTAAGCAATTTTAATCTTAATTAAATACACAACGTATCTAACGCATTTAATTGGATAACGAATAATAATGTATTGTTTAAAATAGCTTCGTAAATAACCCTTTTTTTTGTAATATTTAAAAGATAAAAATGGTTAATGTGGTTTATCCTTAGGAGGTAAGACTTATACCGTCGGGGACTTTTTTTGTAGATATTTTGAAGATATACAATGCCGTAGTACATTATTTTGGGCTATCTCGTAAGGATTGGCCAGCATTTGCAATGTAAGCCCGCAAAACTATGTTTTTTTACGACTTTACATGACAAATCTTTGAAATTCAATTTCAATATGCATATATGATACATATAAACCCGCCGTTTGAAACACTCTCTCTATTAATGAAAATCGCATTAAAATCCGTTGCATAGATCTAAGCATACAAGAAAAAAGCGACTTTATACTATATACAGATAGAAATTTATAAGTATGTTTATTAGCTGTGTGATTACTATAGCACAGGCTCTGCCTGGTTTGGGATATTATTATATTTTATCATAGTATCCTGAAGAGAATAAGTCAAGTCCCAATTCAGCGCCGCTTTAATGCGACATGCACTATAAAAAATGACTAAAATAATATTTTGACGCATCGCACCGCGCCGTGCAGTGACGCGCATTGCCGTTCAAATGTGGTCCGACCTTAAAATACAAAAGTAATAATCCCAGCAAATATTTTTTGTTTACAGGAAGGATACTATATCCCTGAGGAATGGAGGCGACGGCGAGCACACCGATCGCCGTCGCGTCATCTTCAACATCCAACAACCCTAACAACAGGACAATCTATCCAAACCACACAATACCTATCCCCAATGATCCAATCATCCACCCTCTTAGCTGGCCTATCCTGACGCATGAACATCACAGTATGCCGATGCAACCACATAATAGACCCATTATTTCAGTATCCAATTCTATCAACATCCCTGTAGCCCCCAGACCTTCGAATTTAGCAGCTGACACTGTCAACATGGCTCCTTTTCCTCCTGTTAGACCTGTGAACTCAGCACCGGAGTCTAAGAATGCTAACCGAAATCAATCCCAGAATTCAGCTGATCCTAATGCCGGTCGCATTTCGTCACCACGACGTCGTAGGAGAGACCAGCACATGCAGAACCCACGAACTAACCAAAATGTCTCACAAAATGTTCAAAATTCTCAAAACGCAAGGACCCCGCAAAATGCGCAAACGGCGCCCCCTCCACAAGAACCAAAAGTTAGCAAAGTTCTTGTAACTGGTAAGGAACATAAATACACCTATCTAAATAAATATAAATTCTATAATAATAATAATATCTAAATACATATCATCACATCATCACATCAACAACCTTTATAATTATTTATATTGTAAAACCTCCTTTCTAAGGAGAGGCCTTTTTTTTTTTTTCGTGCGGAAATCCCCGCGGATACCACCTATCGGTGGCATGTCGGACTCGAACCGACTAAAACCGCACGCCGTCTCGGGTACTAATAGCCGGGGAACCAGGTATACCCTAGAAAGGAAGTCCCTGGTGCCCCGACATACCTCGGGCCATCTACAACGACAGGTAGACGACCCCCCCTCTAAGGAGAGGCCTATGTCCAGCAGTGGACTATTAAAGGCTGTTGATGATGATGGTGATGTATGCATTTAGAGATATATAAGTACACTTATCCAGCGGTCTGGTTCCCATAGTACAGGCTCTGCCTAGTTTGGGATCAGACGCCGTTTGTGGGATTTCTAAGGCTATTATTATTAATGTTAAGAAATAATATATATATCGTTTTCCAGGCTACCCAACATACACCCAACCTCACGACATACTCGAAGTGTTTACGAAATTCGGCAACGTACGCATAGACAAGTGCAACAGTTTCTCAGCGACCCTTACCTACCCCTCCGAAGACCAAGCATTGAAAGCCATAGCGGCCAACAAGCGCCTGCACATATACGGCCACTTCCTGTCCGTGAGGGCCTTCACTGCAAAGCCGAATGCCTTGGAAGGTCCAATGTCCCCTAAGAGAGAATTTCCTAAAAGTAAACAAAAAAGTAAGTGCAGTCTGCATCATTCTCCTGCATTTTTCCTGATTTTATTTGACCAGCAACCTTCTTGTTAGAAACCATTCTGGTGAATGTAATAGTTTGACTGCATCGGGCAGTGATTTAAATAGAGACCTCGCTCTACTGTTCTGAGTGTTGTGGGCTCGATACAAACCAGGACCACCATAAAAATTGTGTGTGTTATAAAAATTGTTGTTCTGAGTCTGGGTGTTCTTTGTTTGTATAAATATGTGTAAAATGCCCCTCGACACAGGATATAGTTATTCCTAATGAGGGAGTTGTCTAAAAGGTAATTAGGATGACTCCTAATGAGATACTCATTAAGAGTGGAATATTGTGGTTAATTACCACATTAGAAATGTAAAAAGTTTAAAGAAGTCTTGTGTTCTTGTTTTTACATGGAACTTGATCCTCAAGGTTGTATTTTTAAAATAATTTTGGCACATATTGACCGGGTATCAAGTGATACTGAGTATATACAAACAGTTTTTTAACGAATGAGATTGATTATAGGTACTACTTTATTCATTATATTTTTAAATATATTTTGGACATCTGACACACAACACCATTACTATACTGCTATAAAATGCGATAAGCGTTGTCTAATTACATTGTGTGTTTCAATTTCATCTCTTCTTTTCAGGTATGATTATAGAACCAGATAAAATAGATTTGTCAGGAGACTTCTACGCACAGTTGGATAATTTATTGGCCGCTATAAGACTCAATCAAGAGGATATCAATAAAATAAGCATATTATATAGAGATCTGGAGTATGCGTTCCAGGTGCAATGGCCAGGTTAGTGTCGATTATGATAGATTGTAGCTTCAACATTATTAAAGGTACCAATAACGGCTGTTGCTGTGCCAAAAGAACGAGTTTAGATTAAAAAAGATAAAATACCCAGACTGCTTGCTTAGTTATAATTAAATTTTAAAGTTTATTAGTGACTAGCTGACCCGCGCAACTTCGTCTGCGTCTCTCAATAGTAATAAATTTTCTCCGTTTTTGAAACATTCTTCATTGGTGCTCCGCTCCTATTGGTCTTAGCGTGATGATATATAGCCTATAGCCTTCCTCGATAAATGGGCTATCATACACTGAAAGAATTTTTCAAATCGGACCAGTAGTTCCTGAGATTAGCGCGTTCAAACAAACTCTTCAGCTTTATAATATTAGTATAGATTAAATACTTCAGGTTTGGTTACCAGTGACTAAAAGACTGCATCAAGAGGACCATTGCATCTACCTAAAGTTCAGTTCAGTTCATTAACATTTATAAGCGCTAATAAAGTGATATATTGACACCACAGGTTGCAAGGCCATCCCCTTCGGGTCGATAACGACAGGTCTGGGCATCAAGACAAGCGACGCGGACTGCTTCATGAGCCTCCCCCTCCAGTTCCGGACTGTAAACGCCAACCACGTCAACCGCGCTCGACGTTTGCTCATGCAGCACCCGCATATCTTCGCGGAGATCCTGGCCATCCCCCGCGCCAACACTCCCATCGTCAAGTTCTACCACGTCCCCACCGACACCAACTGCGACCTCACCTTCAAGACCCCACTGGGGGCCCAGAACAGCCGCCTCGTAGCCTTCCTCTTGAACGCAGACCCTCGAATCACTCCCATGGCCGTCGTCATCAAGTACTGGGCCAAGGTGCACGAGCTCTCTGGGACGGGTAAACTGACCAATTACGCTCTCACGTGGATGATTATCTTCTATCTGCAGCAGCCCCCCCTGTCTATTTTGCCGTCTGTGGCGATGCTCCAAAGGGACCGGGCGAACGACGTCATCGTGGACTGCTGGAACACAGGCTACACGAGCAATGCTGATTCTCTCCCGCGATCTTCGGATAAGTCCACAATTGCCGAGTTGCTAGGCGGATTCTTCGAGTACTACGCGAACTTCAACTTCGACGAAATGATGGTCTGCCCGTATTTAGGTACCAAGATAAAGAAGTCTGTGTTCGCGGACACGGCGACGCTTCCCGAAGAGTTTAGCCTGTACAAAAATAACGTTTTGTCAAATTATGTATTGCCACTCCGGCACCAGAGGTCGTTCTGCGTCCAGGATCCCTTCGAGCAATGCCACAACGTCGCATCCACAATAACTTCTAAACTGGCGTTGGATATAAGGTGTTACTTCAAGTTCGCGGCCGCCGCCTACAAGAAAGAGAAAGAGAAGAACTGCGCGGGATTCCTCAAGACGATATTAGTCGAAAAGCCAAAACTGCTTCGTGGAAAGACGCACCCGGAGTACAGAGTCAATTTGTTCCCCAGAATCGTAAACACGATCATTAGCTTCGATTGGAAAACGGTCGTCAGAAATTTGGTTAAAACGATTTTCGAAAATATGATGAAAATAAAGTTAGGCAAGGTGGAGGAGAAAATGAATCCCGATTCTAAGAAGGATAAGGAGAAGTACACGTGCAACGTGACCAAGCCGATATGGAAAAGGAAAAAGTACAACAGTTTGTATGTCGACCCCGAGATGGGGTTCGAGGAGAAGCAGACTTTGATCTCAGAAGAGCTCATCAAGAAGGAAGTTCAAGAAGTCAGTTTACAATTCCAATTGATGCTGACGTTCTGTCACGAACCCAAAAGTGCTGTAGTCACAATAAGGATGAGCGGCGGGGATTTAGACGCCTTCCGGGAATATGGGAAATTCTTTATATCAGTGATGCAGAGCTGGTTTACACAGCTCCTAAAGCCTTTTTCTATGCCTAACTGTAAGGACACGGCAGCTAAGATAGCCGAAGCGACTGACGATGGTAACGTCTTGAACGATCTGGATTCTGATGACGAGGACAGTGAAGTTGTTTTAACTTCAAGTACAAATCGTTCAAAAGAACAAACGACACAAAAGAAACCATCTGCAAACATGTCGGAGTGCTCCGGAGCAGACGCGGACGTACCGCGCAATGGCGGCGGCGAGGAAACAAAGTGACATAATCACGTCACACCTATTTTAAGTTTTGAGAGAATTCAGTTTTTTTACTTAGTGTAAAAATCGTTCTATCAATAGAAATACAATTTATTTTAATATTAAGCTAAGACATTTTAAATATTTTTATGGGGTTTGTAGAAATTTTGATTTGAATTTTTACTATTTTTTAATTTCATTTTTTTTTATTGACGGGGTAGTTGGATCCTTACTGCACCAGTAAGTTGATGATATGTCTGTTGGATATTCTCGTAAATTCTACATAAATATTAGCTGTTGACAGGCTCGACGCCGATGCATGTAATTAGAAAAAAAGATTAGATAACGTTATCTATGTTTACCAATTTCTCGACATCCCTGCTGTATCCACTTATTGAACTTTTCAATATTAAACACAGACTAAGCCATGCATTTTAGTTTTAATCGTTTACCTAATTCAAATCCTTGAACTTAATTTGACCGACCGACCTTCAATCGTAAGCCACATAGCTGCGCTGTAGGTAAGCGCTTAACGTTTGAACGCCATTGTCACTAACTGACAAATCAAACGATGTGACGCCACCTTCAGCAATGATCGACAAAACAACATAAACATATAAAAATTACTTGCTTTTTTCGCTAGTATTCAAAATTGCGATGATTTATTATTATTAAAAAAAAAAAGTAAAAATAGAAAATTGCTAATGTATTCAAACTTACAAATTACACAAAAGAAAAAATATAGGCAGTAGGTCTAATGTACGTTATAACATTTTATTTCCTGTTCAGCCATCAACTCGGGTCCATTTAACTGTTTCTATACGAATAAAGTTTTAAGATTAATTGAAACTGGCAACACAAATTATATAATATTGGTTATATTTTACAACGTTGAAATCAATGAATCATGCCACTTAGTTAATTAAGCATAGATAAACAATTTTACATTAATTAAACCTATGACATCATACCGGAACGAAAAAATATTTTATATAATTTGTATTATTGATCTAACCTGTGATGATGTTATGAATATATCAAGTAGGATTGTTAAATGTAGTAAAAATAAATTAAAAAAATATGTCAAAATTAATAGATATATAAGAAAAACACAAAAGTTGGTAAATAGGCAAAAAAATTTCATTAAAAATGTCAAATTGAATAGAGAGAGGCTGTCATTGCTTGGAAAATTAGATATGTATTCAGAAAAATTAAAAAATTGTTACTTGAACCATGACTATGAAACACAACACCTTCATTCTCAGTTAGATAGTCTTAATGAGAAGTTAGTATCTATGATCAACAAATATGAGAGTTCCGAAAAGCAAATGAGGGAGTACATGCTGGCAATGAATGAGCTGGTGAATTCTGATTCGTGTAACTGTAACCATGCTCAATTGTTGATAGAAAATGACTCATTTAGTAGTCGGCACTCCCCGGTTCACTCTGACCTGGCTTGTGACACCCCCATGTTGTTAGCAAATAATAATAAGACATCCCTTATAACAAAGAACAACTCAGAAGCTAAAAGAAATAAAATTGTAATATTCAGTGATGAGATTGGGAAGGGTATGGGTCAGTTGCTGGGAAATATGTGCAGTGATTTATTAATAACTATTTTCTGTATGCCTGGTTTAGATTATTGTCAAATATTAACAAAAATTTCCAGTCTTAAGTTCAGCCAGGATACAATTTTGATAGTTTTAATTGGAAATAGAGGCAATTTAGATAGGCAGAGTTTGCTGCATTATTATAATAAACTGCATTTAATTTGAAACAGACAATCATATTTACACTGCCATATAGTAAAGGCTTGCCAGAGGAAGAAAATAACCTTAGGTATAAGTTAAATATGCAGTTACACAACATGTCAAATTACAATATGAAGTTTCATATAATTGACACTAACAATTATGTTAGACAATATTTATATATGACGAAAGATAGGTGTTATCTTTCATTGTTTTGTAAACGACAGTTAGCAATATCGCTATCTTATTTTATTGATATAACAGCCAAAAACTTGGCTATTAAACCAGTTGCACAAGCAACATATTGATCCAGCCAAGGGTTTGGCTATGAATTCACATATTTTAAACTAGATGTAGGGACAAAGGAGGTAACCTCTAGCTTAAATTTACCATACAGAATGGTATCAAATAAATGTACAACCAACACTTTCACTGTAGCGCATCAAAATATTCAAGGAATGTCTAGTAAGCACCTAGAAATTGAATTGTTCATGAGCTGTGACAAAATTGATATTCTTTGTATTACAGAACATTGGCTAAAAAGTCATCAGCTCATGTTCAACTTCAGTAATCATATATTAGGTAGTTCGTTCAGTAGGGAGCGTGCTGTACATGGCGGTTCATTAATTTTTATTAGAAAGGATTTAACTTATAGGAACCGTACTGATATTTTAGGCTTCTCTGCTGAGCGGACAATAGAAATAGCATGTGTGGAGTTAGAGCAACTTATTGTATTGAGTGTATACAGGCCTCCATCCTCATCATATATTAGTTTTGAAAAAATTATGAACGAAGTCTTGCAGAAAATATGTAAGTCAAACAAAAGTGTAATTGTGTGTGGTGATTTTAATGTAAATATATTGGAAGATACATCCTTGAGTTCAAGATTTAAAAACCTATTTGGGTCATACAATCTTGATAATATTTTTTTGGAGCCTACTAGGATCACAGCCACCACAGCCAGGTGCATAGATAATATATTTACTGACATAGTGCCACACACCAAAGGAGTAATAAACAAACTACATTCTGATCACTGTGGACAGATGTGTGCTTTTGCTATGAAAAACAGAATGGTGGTAACACGAGATATTACTGTAGTACCTAAAACTGTAACTCGTATGGAAAATTTAAAAAATAAACTCATTAGTAAACTACCCCGCTTGGGTTATAGTGATGATCCTAATCAATTATATAACGCTTTTTTTAACATGTATTGTTCAGAATTTAAATCAACTTTCACTCCTAAGAAGTTGTCAGTTAAAGGTGCTACAACCTTCAGTGAATGGGCCACCGTAGGTATATATAAAAGTAGAACAAGGCTTTATGAGCTTTATGAAGAAAGAAATTATAATACTAGTATGGAATTTAGAGAATATGTCAAACAATATTCTAATTTATTCAAAAAAAAAATGTTATTCTGCAAAAGTTAACTATTTAAGGTCTAAAATTAGTAATAGTTCAAAAAAAATTCGAATGACCTGGGAAATAATTAATGCAGAAACTGGTAAAGCAAAGAACAAATGTAATAATTACAGCCTTACAATTGATAATAAAGTAATTAATTCCGATATAGATGTCGCCACAGCTTTTGAAAAAAATTTCACAGACATTCCAGTCTCAATAATAGAATCATTGAATTCGTCCCCCACCATTGCAGAATCTTTATTGAAAGAGAATATTAACATTTGTAATACTGAGTTTAGATTTAGTTGTATCACTGATAGAGATATAATAAAAACGTTCAATGCTCTTAGTGTTAAGAAAACCGCCGACCTTTGGGGTAATTCTGTACAAATAACTAAATCAATTATTAGCGTAGTTGCATCAGAGTTGGCCTTAATTTTCAGTAGGTGCATTGAATGTGGTGTATTTCCTGATTTGATGAAACATTGTAAGATCATTCCCTTATTCAAGGCGGGTAGCACGTCTGATCCTACAAATTATAGACCAATTTCAGTGTTGCCTACTTTCAGTAAAATTTTTGAGAAGATTATACTGGATCAGCTACAAACTCACTTTAGTGCAAGCAAAATTCTACACAGGAAACAGTTTGGATTCAGAAGAGGTCGCTCGACTAGTGATGCCGGTGTTGAACTTTTGGAAAATATATTTAGTGCCTGGGAGGATAAACAGGATGCCCTGGGTGTTTTTTGTGATTTATCTAAAGCATTCGACTGCGTTTTTCATGAAACATTAATCAGGAAATTGCATTACTATGGAATTAGGAACACTACTTTGGATCTTCTTATCTCTTATTTGTTGAGTATCGATTTTTGTATTAAATCATTCATAAGGTTCACACACTCACTACCACATCCCTAGCGTAACTATTGGTAAGATGGCCGAGTTGGTCGATGCTCTGTAAAGCAATAAATTAAAATGTGAAACAAGGGAAGTGTTCTTTTTCTTAATAGAAGAGAAGAGTCTCCAGCTCTCATATACCTTCAACATTATTTGGGTAATAGGATCCAGAGAGTGGAAGTTAATGGACAGAGATCCCTGAGGTCTCTGGCCCATTTTTATTTCTTGTTTACATAAATGACCTACCTAATGTGATAAATGATAATCAGGAGATAGTACTATTTGCGGATGACACTTCACTGTTATTTAAACTTAAACGACAGCAATCAGTAAGTGATGACGTGAATAGCACTCTCTCTAAGGTTGTAAACTGGTTTAATGTTAATAATTTACTTTTAAACGAGAATAAAACGAAATGTATTAGATTTTTTACACCTAATGTTAAACAGGTAAAGACCAATGTTCTAATAAATGGAAAGGAGTTGGATCTTGTGGACACCACCAAGTTTTTAGGTATAACACTAGACTCTAAATTGCAATGGGGCCCACACATTGACGGATTGTCGAATAGACTCAGCTCTGCAGCATACGCGGTTTACAAAATTCGTCAATTAACTGATGTAGAAACAGCTAGACTGGTGTATTTTAGCTATTTTCATAGTGTAATGTCATACGGTATTTTGTTGTGGGGAAATGCTGCTGACATTCAAAGTATCTTTGTGTTGCAAAAGAGAGCTATTCGTGCAATTTATAATCTTAGTTATAGGCAGTCACTGAGGGATAAGTTTAAAGAAATTGGTATTATGACAGTCGCATCTCAATATATATATGAAAATTTAGTGTATGTAAAGAAAAATAATCATTTATTCACAAAGTTTAGCGACATGCATAAAATAAACACTAGAAATAAAGATAAACTCGTGTTACCAACCACTAGACTACAAAAAGTAAGTAAGTCTTTTCGTTGTCAGGGTGTGCGATTTTACAATAAAGTGCCAAGCAAATTCCATGAATTAAGTATTAATAAATTTAAGTCTTTAGTAAAGCTAAAACTATGTGAAAAGGCTTACTACACTATTACAGATTATTTAGACGACAAATTTGCTTGGGATTGATGCTGCTCACTCCCACATTTACGTAGACATCTTTGTTGTTAAGTTTGAAAGTGATGGACATTTAATTATTATTTTTTTGGTGTATTTCGTATTTTGTTTTCGTATTTTATTTTTCGTTGACTTTGAACTGTATAGTATTTTTTTGTTTTTTGTGTAAGTATGTAAATGTGAGTACAGTGTAGGCTTGTAATGTTAATTCATATTTTATTATCTTTCTGGTGGTTTTGAGTGTTTCCACGACCTACCCAAATGTCCTGTTGGCGGTAGTGTCATGCTTCGGGTCGTTAATCTTTGATGAGTAAAGACAATGCTCCACCTCTGGAAGTCATATTAGAATTTAAAAAAAAACCGTATATTGTCTATGGTGTTCTGCGTTTTTAAAATCTCTCTCTGTAAAAATGGCTGTTACGTGTAAGAATTATGTGAAGTATTAAAACAATGGATTAAAAGAAGATATGTTGTTTATTTGCCGCCACCTTGATCCAGGGAACTCTAACAATCTTGACCAATATCGGTTAGGTTACACGATGGCTGGAGCCTGTATGCCGTCTGTATGGACAGGTTGACTCAAAACTATGATCCTTTCCTCAAAAGGCCTATCCAGACCCTATGCTGTACTCGCACAGTTTTATTTAACTTTGTTTACGGACTTAAAAAAAAAGACACCTCTGTGGTTTGTTTCGGTGTTTCTTCCCAGAGTGAGTCTTAGGAAATGCCGGCTCCTTCTAGCTATAAAGTCCGACTTGTAAGAATATCTGAAAAGATTTACTTACAGAAATAAAAACATTTCATTTCATTTCATTATGCCAGCATAACCTTTTTCAGAAAGTGGTTTAATTTGATTCTAAGACAATTGTAAATAAGTACAAGTTTATTTGACATCGACTCGCAGCGTTGCGATTGGTGGAGATTTCAGTGCGGGCCAATCGTAGCGTCGAACGCGGTCACCGTGACGAGTAGAAGTGAAATAAACTCGCACTTGGCCCTCTGATGGTCGAAATACAATACATTTAGATGTTACATACCCTGAAAAAAAAATCTTGTTTTATTTGAAACTATGCACGGATGGCGTCGTGATTGCCTTGCCGCTTCCTATTTCGCTGAGTGTTGTGGGTTAGATTCTCACATGGGACAACACTTTGTGTAATCCAAAAATTATTGTTCTGAGTATGGTTGTTCTTTGTGTCCGTTTTATAAATGTTTGTAAAGTCACTCTTGACGCAAACCTTCTTTACAATATTCTTAGACAACCATGTTTTTATGAGTAAATGTAGCGTAAAAGCTTAGACTAATTGTAATTTTGTTTCTAAAATCAAATATCGCTAGACGCACGAAAGTGGGAGGCAAGATGTAATACACCAATAAAAACTCAATGAGTTCGTGCCGAAGTCCATGACCTGGTAAGAGTAAAAAAATTTGATTGATGATGAGAACCGCTACTCCGGAAGATAAACATGATTAAACATTAACAAAAACTGACAAAATAAACGAATTCCTTGTACACAAAGAATTAGGAAGTAAACAATGAAACGCTATTCCGTCAATTATCTTGTAGGGAGAGGGAGGGAATAAGAAACGTTGCTTATTGCTAATAATTCTTCAATTCACACTACGCGTACGCTTGAAGGACTACAGGACAGGAGATAAATTAAATGCCTGTTGAAAAACTTTGAATATGGTTACAAATAAATAAAAGATTGCTTTTGGAAACACAGACTATCACACATTTAATTAATTTATGTAATGCAGTTGTATATACGTGGCATACTTATGGTACAGATTCTAAAGCTTCAGAAAAGATCTCATAACTTATAGGTAGTCGATTATATTTCAATGTAGTTTTTACATTAAAAGAAACTGATCATAGTGCTTTCATAATAGTTATTGAATTTAAATATAATTCTAACCTATAAATTGATATGTCTGGCTGTATTTATTCTGATAAGCAATAAAAGTGAATACTTCCTTTTTCTGTAAATACTTAAAACCTAACTAGTTAAAAGCATAAACGTAGGACGTAAATAATACATGTTCATATCACATTTCTATAGATTTTAAGTTTTTCAAAATATGATTATGGAAGTTTTGGTTTTAATGAAGGTAGACAACAAAGATTGGACACCGAGAAACCAATCAGATACGATCAAAAGCGAAGTACCTACATCTACCAGCATAATCACAGTATTGTGCAAAGTGTCACACTTCCGCCAGCTGAGTTGGACAAATTAATGACTTTTTTATGGCACTTTTTCACCATCTTTAATAGAGAAAAGTGGATGTTCCGCAGATCTATTCGCCAGTTTATAAATGAAAGCTTCAACATACTGTGAAGGATTCTTAATCAGTTCGAGTGCTTTAAGCGATTTGAGAAAATATCTAAGAGTTAGTAATTTGTGATGCAATGTCTAAGGATATTGTCAGTGTTCAATTTAATATTTTTTGGATTTACATATCGTGGCTTTTTAATGAAAACAGGTACGTTTCACTTCTACAAGTCAACTAGTTTCAAAAAATAAATTGCGACCTAATAAACATATTTATAGTTATGTATAATTATTATGCTTAATATGGTATAAATTAATACTGATCGCAAGAGTACTAGAGATCGTTTAGAGGTCGAATTTAGGCCGTTTTATATGTCTTGTTTTACTACATTGATCAATGTTACTTGAAACCCCACTATAGCTTCATGTACCTAGCTGTTTTTACAAAATTGTGACTTGACTTCATAATATAATTTTTTTTTAAATTGTAGCTTTCTGCATATTCCTACATATAAATATTAAATATGAAATGTTTCTCTGCATAACATTTATTTAAAAAGGGGCACAACAAATTGAGCGGAGTGAAGTGTGCTGAGTTAAAATATTATAATACTTTTACTGTCTGAAAGTTATTACACGTTTATTTATTGTCTGTAAAACTCATTCACTATTTTCGCATCTAATTATTATTTAAGCCAATATAAATTTATAGCGCCCGCGTTGTTGAATGCATTTTTACTGAAACGTTCATAAGAGGGAAAAGCAGAGCTGGTCTTCACACTGTCCCGCAAGGGAACGGCTGGATCGGGGCTATATACCCCCTGCCAACGACTTCTTTCTAAACCCCTAAACAGGGGTAGGTCATGGGATGTCCTTTTCGGTGTTGGTTGTTGTGTGGTGGACCGTTTCGGTCTTCACACTACCTCGGCGATCAAGCCCGAGCCACGTGAGATTCCAGGTGACACCTGGGGACGCCCAGCTCCAAGCGACCAGCGACAGAGGCGGCGACTTACGTGCGGTTCCCCACAGTGTCAAGTCAACGCAGCCTAGCCTAGCAGGGGGTAGTTGCAGCTGCAAGAACTGTGTGCGGTGCTTGCTCTCACGCAGCCCCTCTCGCTCAAGCCTGCCGAGCGCGAGGGGAGCTCGCGTTGCGTGTTTCCTCTCACGCTCGACGCTGGCGAGCAAGAGGCGGCCAGGCGGAGAGGAAAGCCAACTCTGCGGAGTTGGGCTGTGGTCGATTCACAGTTATAGCGGAGTGAAGTGTGCTGAGTTAAATATTATAATACTTTTACTGTCTGAAAGTTATTACACGTTTATTTATTGTCTGTAAAACTCATTCACTATTTTCGCATCTAATTATTATTTAAGCCAATATAAATTTATAGCGCCCGCGTTGTTGAATGCATTTTTACTGAAACGTTCATACGCAGAGATACATTTTACAAAGTTAAGGGCTAGTCCCGCACCATAGATTACGCAGATCGCCCAGTGTTGTCAGTTTTTGAGCTCTTTTTTGTACATCTTGTTTTCACTGTCCGCTGACACCCATTATTGAATTTTAAATTTGAACCTGAAATTACAATGATAAAATCATTAAACATCATGCATGTTTAATTAAATCCAATCCGTATATCTAAATTACCGAATCTTGAATATTATAAAAATAAACGTTAATGTACTGATGACTTTTTAGCTTTTGTCATATTTTAGGAAGATTTTCCTTTGACATACCTAATATATTATTCCTTTGACAAGAAGAAAATAGAAATTGGTACCTAATCATTGAAATGTTTTTCATTTACTTTCAAGGGTTGATAGCAATACTATGGAGCAGTGTTGTGGCCACTAGCTCTTTTTGTAATGTCGATAACTTCGACTCCCATGCGGAGCATCTCTTGAGGAACGAAATGCTAACGCCAATAGAAATGGCGAACTTCTCTTATGTGTTCCACGATCTTCAAGGAACTCTGCAAACGATATGGCCAGGTATGTATGTTGCTGCATGAATTTTATATAGAGACGTTCTACATTAAAATAAACGCCTGACTTGCCATATTACAATAAACGGAAAGGACCTTCAGACTAGGGGTGTATGAGTCAGCGGTGCCAGCGCCTTGTCAAACATCTGACCTATCATTGGCACCGTAAAGTGGGGCTAATTGGCACAACTATTTCCAGCAATAAGTTTATCAATATAAAAATTTATTTTTGGATAGTTGTCACAATTTCCTTTAAAGACTACTAAAACAGTACGTTTACTGCGAATAGATCCATAGATATATAATTTTTAATAATGACGTTCCAAATATCGCATAAATGGGGTTATTTGGTTGGTTGACTTTATTGCTTTGCATTTTCTTGTTTTTTGAAACTGTATCGAAACGAAACCATTAAGCAATTTGTAAAAGATACAGGGAAACAAGCTGTCTTGAGTTTATCTTAGTTTAACTTCTTTTCGTCACTAAAAAGGTACAAATCTACCATTGATGTTTATTCGATATGAAAATCCATCGTTACTTTGGGGTTATTTGGAATCTAACGGTAAAAGTTATTTAGATATTAAGATCTTACTTGTTAAATAATTTACTCTTTTAATCAGATATTATTATTGAATTAAAAAATGTTTAGGTACTTTTTGGCAAATACTCGAAGGTCGGTGGAATTACGAGGGAATCCCCAAGCACTCAATAATTTTATGTACTCTAAGAACGCCATCTCTTCGTCTTTTGAAAAAAAGTGGTAGGGCCGGCCTTTTCTTGTGAGCAGTTTATGTTTCGGAATTTTCTGCTTAATGTACTCTTGGGAATATTGTATTTTTCAGCTGCCTCTTTTAACTTAAGTGAGCCATTTTCAATTGCTTCTATAGCTTTTTGTGACTCTTCATTAGAGTAACTCAGGTAAGGTAAATGATTCTGGTCATTACGTGAATTTGTGAACTTTCTTTGGTACCTACGTTCGTACCATGGTTTCACAAAATAAAATATTATAGGTAGATAAAATAATTTTGTTATCGTGATAGCGCCACCGGGTTAAAGGACTTATAGGATTCCATACCCTCTCGAAAATACCTACAGACGTAAGCTAGAAACTTACATAACTTCTTATAATTTTATAAATATGTTACGAAAGGTATGTATTTCATCTATTTCGAAAACATATCTTTCTTTTTCTTTTATTGTCTTTATTAAACATTTGTAAATATTGTACTTACTATTAATTAAACAAAATATTTTGTTTGATGCCGAGAAAAATCTTACCTTTAACTGAGTTAAAATTAGCAGTTGGGGCTATTTGATTTGATGAATAAAACCCATAGCAATGTTTGCAAGCTTTAAGGAGGCTATTTAAAATAAAGTTTCAATTAACCCCAAAACAGAAAACAAAAAGCTCCATTCAGAAAAATGAAACTTAAGGCAGCCTGTAAGACGTAGAAAAAACAAATAGAATCACTGAAATGTAGATGAAACACACTAATTCCTAGTTTATTTTATCCTTTACATATCTTTCTGGATGTAGTGTAACAAGCAAAAGTTTTAGAAACACAAAATACACCAAAATTTTAGGCTCTAAATCAGGCACTGCTAAATGTTTACGGCCAATTACCGCCAAAATTCCAGTTTGACATTGCCATTGAAAGTCTTTGTATCTTTGGCAAAATATATTTTCTATTCCCAGACAAAAAAACACATTACGAAATCTTTTATTTTGCTAATTCCAAATAACCATGTAATATCCAAATAACCCCACTTTATGGTAGATACAGTCTAGAAAATCCTAAGCCACTATTATCTCTACTAAATATTATAAATGCGAAAGAACTCCGTCTGTTTGTAACGGCTAAACTGCTGATCGTATTTTTATGAAAGGCATGGAGATACTTTGATCCTTGTGAAAGGACATAGGCTACTTTTTACCGCGATAATCAACATACACGTGGCACCGGCATAAAGCTAGTGTTAAATATGTGCCCCATTCGATATTGAGGATGGGCGCGCACAACGTAAATTAAAAAAAAATAATTTGACAGCTGCACTCGCATTTTTGTGTACCTTTTTATATTCTTTACCTACGATACTCTATATAACATCTATCAATTGTATTATAATATTAATTGCAATTTCTAGGTAGTGAAGTCGTCCCTCTTGGCTCGTTCGTGACTGGTTTGGCTACGAAGTCGAGTGACGCCGACTGCATGGTAAAAATGCCACATGACCACAACCTGACATCTGTTACAAATCTTGTTCTTGAAGCCGCGCATCTACTAAGCCTTCACCCGCTCCTATATGAGAATGTGATTTCAAAAATTGACGCTAAAAGGAGAATACCCCTTCTGAAGTTCATTTATGTACCAACAAAACGAAACTGTGACGTTAACTTCATAAGCAACATTGGTTTGCAAAACAGCTTAATGATGGGTTACTATTTAAACTTAGAAAAAAAGTTTTTGTCCCTCGCGGCAATATTAAAGCTCTGGTCCAAAGTACATCGGTTACGAAGCACAGACACGCTAGCTAGCAACACTTTGAATTTGTTAATTATTTTCTATTTGCAACAAAATAATCTTGCGCCACCATTCCATCTGTTACAAAAACATTTATTAACTTATCCGATGACTGATTGGGTGACTAGTTTTAAGACAGTATCTTACAATTCCACAACAAAGGTGAGCCTATATCAACTCTTAGGAGGATTTTTCAAATATTATAGTACTTTCAACTTTGAAGAGTACATTGTTTCACCTCTCCTCGGTTATCCGTTAGCAAGGAAAGCGTTTGAAGACGTCAACAGTCTTCCTAAAGAAATGTTTCTGTACAAGAATTACGTGAGGAAACCTGACAGTAAGCCACTGATATTGAACACGACGTTATGCATACAAGACGCTATAGAACAACGCAGGAACACGGCAGCAGAAGTGTCAGAGAATAACGCTATTATCTTTATGTCACATGTAAGATTCGCCGCAAGAATGTTTGATGTTCTCCCAAAAGAAATGTTTCTAAAAGTACTCCTTGACACAAATGTCTCCAAGTTTTTCAGCAAAAAAATGTTCAAAAATAAGCTTTCTTCATTAAGATAGTAGAAGTACAATTTAGTAGTAATGTTAATAAAAAAATTACTTTGAAGTTTCACATTGTACTTATTTTATATGTTTCTTTAAATTTTGTAACACCCATTAAGTTAAATAAAGTGAAATGGTATCAAGATTTAGTTATTGCCATAAACAAACTATTTGATTCTTTTAATTTCGCTTTCTTCTTTTTGACAGTATTTAACAACAATATTAATTTATTACTTATCACAATGGTTTTCTTAACATTAAACAACAATAATGTGCCAATCCATTGAACATTGTTAGAGAGTTGTAGGTTTGTGCTAAAGCACAGCTTGTAATACGGGTCACCAGGCCCGCATGTACTTTGATCTACTAAACCAAAAGTCGTTAGGACACAATTTTAGAAAACAATTGAAATTAAAGAACAAATACTAAAAATAATAAACTAAAGTGTAGGAAACAAGTGAAGGTATTAAATAAGTATTTCGTTACCTTTCACCTAGTGTGTGAGTTACAGGAGGACGAGCCCCCCCCCCCCTTCCTCTCATCCCTAATCTTGAAGGGGGGAGGCATCAAAGAAAGTGTCAAAAGGGAGGCAACACACAGTTAAGTATCTTAAATTGGTGGTGTCCACGAGCGGCGGTAGTCCTCCACCATATTGTCACGAAACATAACGAAATTTCTAGAAAGAGAGAATTTATTTCAACTCGGAATACCAGGAATCGTTTAAAATAATAATGTAGGGTAACATGGAATAATGAGTTTTATACCAAACCACATACACCGGTAAAGAGCTTTCTAGACGTCTGGCGAGTATTATAAACAGTCGGGGACAATTCAGTTCGAGCTACAGTGCGATAAACATCGAAGCGAATAGAAGTGTGACCCAGCGACCTCGGCGATCATTCCGGACTATGCTTCAGTGTTTTTGAACGTTTTTAAGTGTACTGATAATAAAGTCTTTAGTCGTCAGAAGGTTTATTATTCCAAACACATAACTACTATAATACTACTAGACTATAATATACTACTAAATACATACTCACAAGTAACAATATATATGTAGGTCTTAGTGGACGCAGTTTTCAAGCAAGTCTTCAGCCAAACAGCCAGTATTTGTTAGGAAGTCAATGAGATAGGAGGATTATTCCAACTTCAAGGAAATATATCACCGAACACATGTCATAATCCTGCAAATCAGTATCTAAATACAAGGAACTTCCGATATTAAGTCTTCTTCGTCCAACACTACACGAATATACAAAGAAATGCAATGTTGTCAGGATTTATGTATGTATTTCACTATCTCCGTTCACTAAATTTTCAAAATATCTAGACAAATATAGTCCTTTTACATAATTTCTAATGACACAGCCCAAAATCAAACAAATTAAATTTACTTATATAACTATTTAAGAAAGCAGGAAATATTTAGAGTCTCAGTAGGTATATGCACTCTGATCGATTTTACCTACAAGAAGTAATAGTCCAAGCCGTTGATCCCAAACTAGGCAGAGCCTGAGCTATGGTAACCATACTGCTGATCCAGATTTCGTAATAACTGCAGTCCCCGGATCTCTCCTATTACAAGCACAGAGTGGTACACCGTGGTACACTGTGGATTTAGTCAAGCCGATTCCGATACACCACCCGCCGCAAATCCCGGTGGGTTCCCACACGTAAAAAAATGTGAACATTGCTGCTGATAACCATACTTATATATTTCTAAATACATACACATTATAGATAAATTATACCTAGACACAGAACAAATGATCATGTTCATCATACAATTATTTGTCTTGAGTGGGAATCGAACCAACTACCTCTAGCTTAGCGGTCAGGATCAGTAACCACCCTTACAGAAACGGTGTTAAGCTATACCTTGTTGCTTTACACCGAGTGGAGTTAAAGAAGGACCAACCACCCCGTTCCTCCGCCCTAATTGTTCGGTAGGTGCATGACTCAAAGGGCGCCAACTTGACTAATTTCTCCTTTTATTTTCTGAGCGGAAATCCCCTCGGATACCGGCCACCGGTGGTTATGTCGGACTCGAAACCCGAAATCCCTGTTCTTGCTTAAACCAAAAGTTATATGGATTCTATGATATGCTTCACATATTGATAAATGAAATGTTATATGCGGGTCTTTTCTTATTGTCTATACTGTAATCTTATCGTTCAATTATATACACCAAGCAAAATTAGAAAATTTCCTTATTTATGTAATCTAATTTAATATGTCATTGTTCAAATAAAACGCTAAGAACCCGAAACAATATAAGTTCACAGCACAATACAATAACGGTAATTAAACGTCGTCCATAGATTATAATATATAAAAAAACACACTTTATTTAAATGTATTAAGTTCTTAAAAACATGGAGATTATAAAAGGTAAGTATTTTCTTTTTCAAGTTAGCTTCATGATTTTGGCTATTTAATTTAATTTAGAAATATCCCTGGCAAAATTTGCCGCTTGGACAAGGCATCACTTGTTCATCATCATCATCAACAGCCTTTAATAGTCCACTGCCGGACATAGGCCTCTCCTTAGAAAGGATGTTTTGGCGTACTATAATACGCTGGCCAGACGGGTTTGTTTCAAGTTTTCCTTCTTTTCATTACTTGTAAAATAGGGAAATTCTTAGATGCCTCTGCGTAATCTGTTGCTAAGTGGTGTCCAAACTTTTACCTTAATTGGTGCTGAACTTTTTGAGTTTTTATATATTTAGATTTTTTCAGGAATTTCGTTCCTAATGTTAGTATGGATCAGATGGGGGGTGCACGGTTCGCCAATGTGTACACTAGGTGACTTCGATGACCAGGTGCAGTACTTGCTGGTTAGCGAGATGCTGGATCCCGTAGAAATCCAACAAATAGACCTAATGATTGTTAAATTTCAAGAAAAGCTACGGACTCGATGGGATGGTGAAGACCTTTTGTTTTTAATATACAATAATTCACAATAATTTTTACTGCGCATGCAACTCCCTGTTGGTTCGTACGTGCCAGATTTCATTCAAATCCGTGTGGGTACTTACAGAAAGATGCACTGACGTATTACAACAATTAACAAACAGCTTTGATTTAATATTCCTGGACCGCCATTGAGCAGCCGGCAGCGGTAGTTACAAACCAACAGCTGACCCGTCCGATCATCATCATCAATCATCAACAGCCTGTAATAGTCTACAACTGGTCATAGGCCAAAACCTCCTTTCTAAGGAGAGCCTTAGAAAGGAGGTTTTGGCCTACTATACCACGCTGGCCAGACGGGTTGGTATAGGGTTTGTGTCAAGTTTTCCTTCCTTTTGCAGTGCTGTTATCCTGCGTAGTTTGATCCTCAGTCCGCTCTTACGACACCCACGGGATAAATAGGATTGGTGACACTACGTATTCTTAATACGTCACCACACGGATAACACCCGTACCATTAAAAATTATCACAAAACATTAATAATTGACCCTTTTTAACTGTACGTACCTCAAATTTCCAGGTGCTAATTTACTTTTGTACGGTTCACTTATGATTGGGATCGGACTTAAGACCAGTGATGTGGACCTCTATCTGCGAATACCTAACTACAACAATACAGCAGACGCCTACGTTATCTACGAAACCGCCAAACTATTGCACACAGAACCTAGCAAATACAGTAACATCCAGCTGAAATATAACGCGGTAGGGCCGATGATAACGTTTTACGATCATTCGACTAAACGGTTCATCGATGTCAGTTGCAACGGTAGAGTTAGGATGGAGAAGTTGAGACTGATTGGCTATTACCTAAGGTTGGATAAACGACACATACAGTTAACTACTATCGTCAAACTCTGGGCCAAAGTTAACAAATTGACAGGTGGCACTCTCTATAGTTACTCTGTGTATTTACTCGTGGTCTTCTATTTACAACAGAAGAAAATGGCGCCTTCAGTTTACGAAATGCAAGCCAGTATGCCACCAGGTTTGCTTCGAAAATATAACACCGATTATGAGAAACTGCCATTCACGGTGGTCAATAACGAAACCCTTTATGATTTACTGGGAGGGTTTTTTAAATATTACGCAGATTTTAACTACGAAGAGTACTGCGTCTCACCACATGTCGGACGTCCAGTAGCTAAGATTGATTTCGATAGTGAGAAGACTGCTCCCAAAGAGTTTTTATTGTATGAGGAATATATGGAAACAGTGGCAATCCAACCGATGGTAAATGAGGTCCTTTGCGTTCAAGACGTTTTAAGCCATAGAAATATTCTACGAAAGGCTAACGCTGAATTTGATTCACACTTTATAAATATATTCAAAGATGCTGCGAAAAAAATATGATGAGATCCCTAAAGAGAAGTTTCTCAGGTCCATATTTAAGGTAGATGGTGACAAAGATATATCAAAAGAAGGTGAAAATGTTGAAGTTTACGAAACTCTGAAATTAATAGATTGTTTTGACAATGTGTAACATATAAATGAAGTATTTGTTAGCAAAAATATATTAAAAGCATGTTTTAAGTTTATTTAATCTAGCTTTTGCCCGTTGCGTCGCCCGCGTGGACGTCGGTTATCGCGGTAAAAGTAGCCCAGGCAGCTTGCGGCAGCAGTGGTTTAAGCGTGAAAGCGTAACAAACAAACTTACTTTCATATTTATAAATATAAGTAAGTAATAACGTAAGTAGGTAATAAGTGGTACACGACAGTCATGTACCAAAGACTTACAGACCGAAATACAAATAACCATAATTAAACCCATATTTTAGGAGGTCAACCCTATCCATCAACAGGGCACTTTTGTTAAGTGGGTAACTTTAGAGGATATTGAAAGAAAGGTAATAAATGGTGGGAAAGGGTTACACGGATGGATTGAAGAGTGTGAGCAATTGCTCAAGTAGCTCAGGGACCGGATATTGCCGGCAGTTCCAAGGCCGTGAACCGCCTCCAAATCCCATGGGGTACGCACGCTAGGTCCACCCTGATTTGAAAATAGTCTCCTAAGGGCAGACGCAACAAGCTAACAGACCTAACTCAGCCGTGATACTTTTCTTACTAAATCTCTCGTATTTACTACCATTGTAATATTATTTAAATTTTATTTTACAATTCTTATCATCATTTTTATAATATAAATAAAACAGTCTCTAAGCTTTACTTTAAACAAAAACGAAATTTTACAGGTTCCTTGTTAGGTCAACTGTACCCACGATAAAAAAGCAGGTTAAATAGTAATAGCAAAAAACCATGTCCTGTTTTAAGTTTTATTTAAGTAAATCAATACCAATACGTTCAGAACTTACAGCATAATGTAACAAGCCTTTAACGAGATTCAACTCAAAACAAAATGATTGCTAAATAAACAGCTAATAAGATCTTTTAAAAGAAGTAAAATATACATTTAAAAAGTTCTTATCATTAATTAAAAGATGGCACTAGAAGTTATTCAATTTTATCTCTGCCCGGGTGGACCTTTAGTTCTCCCCCACTCGTGGGATTTAATATGGATAACATTCAAAACCTAAAACAACAAAAAACGATCGGAAATAACCAACAACAGAAGGCAAGTCTAACGGAAACGAAGAAAACGAAGGGAAGGAAGGAGAAGCAGAACAGGAGTGGATGGGTCGTCCACTGAGGGCGAGATGGTGTCGGGAACGCCTATCTCGATGGGGCTCCCAGAGGTCAGTCTGACTCTGGTCTCTGGGAGCCGAAGAGCATCGGATCGTATTCGTTCCGGATCCGCCGTTTCATCGGATGGCGCGGAGGCCATGGAAGCGGAGCGAAGCGACAGCCGGAAACGCGGACGCTCCAGAGAAGAGGAGACCGACACGTCCGGCGAAATGATGCCACCAAAAGTGGCAAGCAGCCGCCGAGGGAGGCCTCGAAAACCGGCCTCGGTCTCGACCCCGTCAGGCTCCGCGTTCTCAAACGCGGAGTCGTACAGAAGCGTACGGGTGGACGGCGAGGCCGTAGCGGAGGAGGAGATCGCGGATCTCCTGCTCAAGGTTCGGGAGCCGGTGGGGGGAAATGCCCCCCAGACTCCCGTGTCCGTGTAGGAGAGGGCGAAAGCGGCGGTGGCCGTCACCTTAAGGGCTCGTTTGTGAGGGCCCTTGAGGACTCCTCCTCCGCTTTGTCGGAGGTCGTGGAGGGCCTAGTGGGCGATGTATCGCGCCTGCAGTTGGCCAACGAGAGGCTGACGGAGCGGGTGAACGAGCTGAGCGCTCAGTTCGCCCGCTTCCAGGCGAACCTCCCCGAGCGGGAAGCCCCGTCCGCGTCCCAGCCTGCCCCTACCACCAACTCAGGGGCATTTGACTCCCAACTGTGTGAAATCCTCATCGCAGTTGGGAATATGCTGGACGGACGCCTGGCTGGCCTGAAGGCGAGACTGCCCCCTGCGCCGATTGTGCGCCCCCCGCTCGCGTCGGCACAGCGGCCTAAGGCCGCCGCTCCGACCGCGCTCCCCGTGGTGGGAGGCCGCGTTTCTTACGCGGCGGCGGCGTCTGCCCCTACTCCATCGGCTCCCCAAAAGCCGAGGAGGAGGCCAAGGCACCGGCCCAGGCGCCGGCCAAGGCACCGTCCCAGGCACCGTCCCGGGCGCCGGCCAAGGCGCAGGCCAAAGTGCCGGCCAAGACGGGGCCTAAAACGGCGCCGAGGAGCGGAGTGGCATTCCCTCCGCTCCCCACTCCGACACCCCTGCCGGGCCCCTCCGCACCTGCCCCCTCCAACGAGGGTTGGCAGGAGGCGAGGGGCTCCAAGAAGTCCCGAAGGCGGGCCAGAAGGGCTGCCCAAAAAGCAGCCCAAGCCCAGCCTTCGCCACCGGTGGCAACGGCCTCCACAAAGAGGCCGCGGAAAGCTGCAGCCGCCCAAAACCGCGGCTGTAGTGGTGACCGTGTCCCCGGAGGCGGCTGACGGCGGGCTGTCCTACGCGGCCGTCTTCAAAAAGGCCCGGGACAGCCTTGCCAACGATTTTGGGACGGTGGGGGTCAGGATGCGCCTCGCCCAGACGGGAGCTCGAGTACTCGAGTTCCCTGGGGCTGAAGGCGCAAAGACGGCGGACTCCTTTGCTGAGAGGCTGCGGGGAATATTTGCGGCCACAGATGGTGTCAGGGTCGCCAGGCCTACCAAGTGCGCGGAACTGCGCATCTCGGGCCTGGACGACTCAGTGACGGCCGAAGATGTCCGCGCTGTAATCCGGGAGAAGACGGGGTGCAGCGCGGACAACGTCAGGGTTGGCACCATCCGCCCCGGTCCAGGAGGGCTTGGCGCCGTGTGGGTCAGCTGTCCCGTAGCGTCGGCCAAAGTATTGGCCGACGCCGGCAGGCTGCTCATCGGTTTCGTGAGCGCCAGGATCACAGTCCTGGCGGCGAGACCGATGAGGTGTTTTAAATGCCTGGCCACGGGACACACGCGCGTCAAGTGCGATAGCTGCTTTGACTGCGGCGGACTGTGTTTCCGCTGCGGTCAACCGGGGCATAAGGCGGCAGAATGCTCTGCCGCCCCTCACTGCCCAGCGTGTGCGGCGGGCAATAAGCCCGCCAATCACCAGATGGGGGCAGAGAGGCTGCAAGCCTCCCCGCAGTTCTCGGCAGACGTCAGGGGCTAGCCAGTCGACCCAGGCTACCCCCGACGTCAATATTACGTCGACGTCGTCGCCCATGGAGGAGGTTGTAGAGACAATCCAGTAATGGATCAAGTCTCCAACCTCCTGGTCCAGACGAACCTGAACCACTGTGCCGCGGCGCTGGATCTCTTCCTGCAAACCATGGCACAGTGGTCGATAGGTGTTGCCGTAGAAGCGGAGCCCTATTCTGTCCCTCCCCGTCCAAACTGGATGGGTGACTGGGACGGCTCCGTGGCAGTCGTCGGTTCCACGACGGCTCATTCCCCGCCCTTGTCGCTAAGAGACAAGGGCACTGGATATGTTGCCGTCGAGTGGGGGGGGATCACCATATATGGTGTTTATTTCTCCCCCAACCGGAGTTTGAACGACTTCGAGGTATTCCAAACCAGCTTGGAGATCTCGATACGGCGACTAGCGTCTGGGCACGTCCTTGTGCTGGGGGACTTCAACGCAAAGTCCATTGCGTGGGGTTCCCCCAGGACGGACGCAAGGGGCGAGGCCGTAGAGGAGTGGGCGGCCTCGGTGGGCCTCTGTCTTCTCAACAGAGGCTCCACCAACACGTGCGTGCGACAGCAGGGGGGGTCGATAGTGGACCTTTCGTTCGCTACCCCTGCCCTCGCCGCACGAGTAAGGAACTGGCGTGTCCTGGAAGAGGTTGAGACGCTCTCGGATCATCTGTATATCCGATTTGAGCTCTCCCGGACCCAGGACTCCAGTAGGGGTCACGTGGCGCGGCGTTTATCCCGCTTTCCGCGGTGGGCTGTTGCCAGACTGAACCGGGACTTACTAGAGGAGGCAGCCATAATTCACTCGTGGCTGTCTCCTCAGGCTCCGACCGAGGAGGTCGACGTGGGGGCTGGTCGCTTTCGCGATGCGATTACGCATATCTGCGATGCGGCCATGCCCCGCATTCGAGGTCGTCGGCCTCCAAGGAAGGAGGTCTACTGGTGGTCCCAGGAGCTGGCGGACCTCCGTGAGGCCTGTACACGTGCCCGGAGGTCCTACACGCGCAGTCGGCGGCATCACCGTGGAGACGGTGAGGAGGACCGGCTTCATGAGGAGTACCGACAGGCGCGGAAAACTCTGAAGCTGGCCATTAGCCGCGCCAAAGAAGAAAAGAGACAGGAGATGCTGGAGGGTCTTAATCGTGACCCCTGGGGTCGGCCTTACCGCGCGGTGCGACAAAAGCTCCGCGCGTCGGGCCCCCCCCTTACGGAGACTCTCCAGCCCAGCTTCCTGCGAGAAGTGGTTGAGGGCCTTTTCCCACAACGAGCGGAACACACTCCCCCGGCGATGGCCTCCTTGGCCGGAGACGACGGGGAGCACGGGGAGGATAATGTTCCGCCCGTCCGGGATTCGGAGGTAGGGGCGGCTGTTCTACGGATCCGTTCCAAGAACACCGCCCCTGGGCCAGACGGGGTACCGGCCCGAGTGCTGGCCCTGGCCCTCAACCACATGGCAGACCGCCTCGGGGAGGTGTTCGACGCTAGCTTGGCGACGGGACGCTTCCCTGAGTGCTGGAAGAGCGGGAAGCTGGTCCTATTAAGGAAGCCGGGACGGCCTGCCGATTCGGTCGCGGCCTATAGGCCCATCGTGCTGCTGGACGAGGCGGGTAAATTGTTTGAGAGGGTTCTTTCTGCCCGCATCGTCCGGCACCTCTGCGAGGTGGGCCCCGATCTGTCGGACGCCCAATTTGGTTTTCGGGCGGGGCGTTCGACAATCGACGCCGTGTTGCGCCTGAGGGCCGTGACCGAAGAGGCCGTGAGCTGTGGCGGCGTGCTGTTGGCGGTGTCATTAGACATCGCCAACGCATTCAATAGTCTGCCATTCAGCTGCATCAGGGAAGCACTCCACTATCATGGGGTGCCAAAGTACCTGAGGCGGCTAGTGGCAGACTATTTAGAGGAGCGTACCGTCGTGTACGAGGACCCAGAGGGTAATTTGAGGTGTCGGCCCATGTCGTGCGGTGTTCCACAGGGGTCTGTTCTTGGACCCCTCTTGTGGAACATAGGGTACGACTGGGCCCTTCGCGCCGATTTCCCCCCCGGGCTGGGTGTAATCTGTTACGCAGACGATACCCTGGTGACAGCCCAGGGGGCAAACTTCCAAGAGGCGGCGCGCCTGGCCACAGGGGGAGTCTCCCTGGTGGTCGGGCGCATTGAGGCGCTGGGCTTACGGGTGGCCCTAGATAAGACGGAGGCCCTGTTATTTCATGGGCCCCGTCGTGGTCCACCCCCTGGCGCCTCAATCGTGGTCAACTCGGTCCTCGTACCGGTTCGGGCCCAGATGAAATATCTGGGCCTGATCCTCGACGGGAGGTGGCTCTTCGACGAGCACTTCCGACAGCTTGCTCCAAAGCTGGGCGGCGCTGCGTCTGCCCTAGGGCGACTTTTGCCCAATATGGGTGGACCCAGCGTCGCGACAAGACGGCTGTACACGGGGGTTGTCCGGTCCAATGGCACTGTACGGTGCACCGGTGTGGGCGGCGGCTCTGACCGCCCAGAATAGGGCACACCTCTGGCGCCCTCAGAGGGTAATGGCGGTCAGAGCCATACGCGGTTACCGCACCGTTTCGACGGAGGTGGCATGCGCGTTGGCCGGAACTCCCCCGTGGGATTTGGAGGCGGAAGTGCTCGCCGAAGTTTATCAGCGAGTGGCTGACTCCCGGGCGGAGAGCGGATTTCGCCCTCCGCCCGAGGATGTGCGCGAGTGGCGCGAAACCGCTCGCCGAGCCACGATGGCTCGTTGGTCGTTCCGGCTGGAGACTACACGCGCTGGCTTCGCCGCCGTGGAGGCTCTCCAGCCGGTCATCGCCGAGTGGGCAGGGCGGCAGCACGGGACCCTTTCCTTCCGGCTGACGCAGGTGCTTTCCGGGCACGGTTGCTTCGGAAAAGTACCTGCACTCGGTCGCTAGGAGGGAACTGAGTCCCACCTGCCACCACTGCGACTGCAGTGAGGACTCGGCCCAGCACACGCTAGCGGTCTGCCCCGCATGGGCGACGCAGCGCCGGGCCCTCACTGCAGTCATCGGAGTGGATCTCTCGCTACCGGCCGTAGTACGCTCCATGGCCGGTAGCGACAGTTGTTTTAACCGCGGTCGCAACCTTCTGCGAGGAAGGAATCTCGCAGAAGGCTGCAGTCCCCGGATCTCTCCTATTACAAGCACAGAGTGGTACACCGTGGTACACTGTGGATTTAGTCGAGCCGATTCCGATACACCACCCGCCGCAAATCCCGGTAGGTGCATGACTCAAAGGGCGCCAACTTGACTAATTTCTCCTTTTTTTTTCTGTGCGGAAATCCCCTCGGATACCGGCCACCGGTGGTTATGTCGGACTCGAAACGACCAAAAACCGCACGCCGTCCCGGGTACCAGTTGCCGAGGAACCAGGTGTACCCTAGGAAGGAAAACCCTGATACCCCGACGTACCTCGGGCCATCTACGGACGTAAATGACCCCCTCCTGTGGACTAATCCTGAGTTGCAGGTCTATGGGCGGTGGTAGTCTCTTACCATCCCTGTTCTTGCTTAAACCAAAAGTTATATGGATTCTATGATATGCCTTCACATATTGATAAATGAAATGTTATATGCGGGTCTTTTCTTATTGTCTATACTGTAATCTTATCGTTCAATTATATACACCAAGCAAAATTAGAAAATTTCCTTATTTATGTAATCTAATTTAATATGTCATTGTTCAAATAAAACGCTAAGAACCCGAAACAATATAAGTTCACAGCACAATACAATAACGGTAATTAAACGTCGTCCGATAGATTATAATATATAAAAAAACACACTTTATTTAAATGTATTAAGTTCTTAAAAACATGGAGATTATAAAAGGTAAGTATTTTCTTTTTCAAGTTAGCTTCATGATTTTGGCTATTTAATTTAATTTAGAAATATCCCTGGCAAAATTTGCCGCTTGGACAAGGCATCACTTGTTCATCATCATCATCAACAGCCTTTAATAGTCCACTGCCGGACATAGGCCTCTCCTTAGAAAGGATGTTTTGGCGTACTATAATACGCTGGCCAGACGGGTTTGTTTCAAGTTTTCCTTCTTTTCATTACTTGTAAAATAGGGAAATTCTTAGATGCCTCTGCGTAATCTGTTGCTAAGTGGTGTCCAAACTTTTACCTTAATTGGTGCTGAACTTTTTGAGTTTTTATATATTTAGATTTTTTCAGGAATTTCGTTCCTAATGTTAGTATGGATCAGATGGGGGGTGCACGGTTCGCCAATGTGTACACTAGGTGACTTCGATGACCAGGTGCAGTACTTGCTGGTTAGCGAGATGCTGGATCCCGTAGAAATCCAACAAATAGACCTAATGATTGTTAAATTTCAAGAAAAGCTACGGACTCGATGGGATGGTGAAGACCTTTTGTTTTTAATATACAATAATTCACAATAATTTTTACTGCGCATGCAACTCCCTGTTGGTTCGTACGTGCCAGATTTCATTCAAATCCGTGTGGGTACTTACAGAAAGATGCACTGACGTATTACAACAATTAACAAACAGCTTTGATTTAATATTCCTGGACCGCCATTGAGCAGCCGGCAGCGGTAGTTACAAACCAACAGCTGACCCGTCCGATCATCATCATCAATCATCAACAGCCTGTAATAGTCTACAACTGGTCATAGGCCAAAACCTCCTTTCTAAGGAGAGCCTTAGAAAGGAGGTTTTGGCCTACTATACCACGCTGGCCAGACGGGTTGGTATAGGGTTTGTGTCAAGTTTTCCTTCCTTTTGCAGTGCTGTTATCCTGCGTAGTTTGATCCTCAGTCCGCTCTTACGACACCCACGGGATAAATAGGATTGGTGACACTACGTATTCTTAATACGTCACCACACGGATAACACCCGTACCATTAAAAATTATCACAAAACATTAATAATTGACCCTTTTTAACTGTACGTACCTCAAATTTCCAGGTGCTAATTTACTTTTGTACGGTTCACTTATGATTGGGATCGGACTTAAGACCAGTGATGTGGACCTCTATCTGCGAATACCTAACTACAACAATACAGCAGACGCCTACGTTATCTACGAAACCGCCAAACTATTGCACACAGAACCTAGCAAATACAGTAACATCCAGCTGAAATATAACGCGGTAGGGCCGATGATAACGTTTTACGATCATTCGACTAAACGGTTCATCGATGTCAGTTGCAACGGTAGAGTTAGGATGGAGAAGTTGAGACTGATTGGCTATTACCTAAGGTTGGATAAACGACACATACAGTTAACTACTATCGTCAAACTCTGGGCCAAAGTTAACAAATTGACAGGTGGCACTCTCTATAGTTACTCTGTGTATTTACTCGTGGTCTTCTATTTACAACAGAAGAAAATGGCGCCTTCAGTTTACGAAATGCAAGCCAGTATGCCACCAGGTTTGCTTCGAAAATATAACACCGATTATGAGAAACTGCCATTCACGGTGGTCAATAACGAAACCCTTTATGATTTACTGGGAGGGTTTTTTAAATATTACGCAGATTTTAACTACGAAGAGTACTGCGTCTCACCACATGTCGGACGTCCAGTAGCTAAGATTGATTTCGATAGTGAGAAGACTGCTCCCAAAGAGTTTTTATTGTATGAGGAATATATGGAAACAGTGGCAATCCAACCGATGGTAAATGAGGTCCTTTGCGTTCAAGACGTTTTAAGCCATAGAAATATTCTACGAAAGGCTAACGCTGAATTTGATTCACACTTTATAAATATATTCAAAGATGCTGCGAAAAAATATGATGAGATCCCTAAAGAGAAGTTTCTCAGGTCCATATTTAAGGTAGATGGTGACAAAGATATATCAAAAGAAGGTGAAAATGTTGAAGTTTACGAAACTCTGAAATTAATAGATTGTTTTGACAATGTGTAACATATAAATGAAGTATTTGTTAGCAAAAATATATTAAAAGCATGTTTTAAGTTTATTTAATCTAGCTTTTGCCCGTTGCGTCGCCCGCGTGGACGTCGGTTATCGCGGTAAAAGTAGCCCAGGCAGCTTGCGGCAGCAGTGGTTTAAGCGTGAAAGCGTAACAAACAAACTTACTTTCATATTTATAAATATAAGTAAGTAATAACGTAAGTAGGTAATAAGTGGTACACGACAGTCATGTACCAAAGACTTACAGACCGAAATACAAATAACCATAATTAAACCCATATTTTAGGAGGTCAACCCTATCCATCAACAGGGCACTTTTGTTAAGTGGGTAACTTTAGAGGATATTGAAAGAAAGGTAATAAATGGTGGGAAAGGGTTACACGGATGGATTGAAGAGTGTGAGCAATTGCTCAAGTAGCTCAGGGACCGGATATTGCCGGCAGTTCCAAGGCCGTGAACCGCCTCCAAATCCCATGGGGTACGCACGCTAGGTCCACCCTGATTTGAAAATAGTCTCCTAAGGGCAGACGCAACAAGCTAACAGACCTAACTCAGCCGTGATACTTTTCTTACTAAATCTCTCGTATTTACTACCATTGTAATATTATTTAAATTTTATTTTACAATTCTTATCATCATTTTTATAATATAAATAAAACAGTCTCTAAGCTTTACTTTAAACAAAAACGAAATTTTACAGGTTCCTTGTTAGGTCAACTGTACCCACGATAAAAAAGCAGGTTAAATAGTAATAGCAAAAAACCATGTCCTGTTTTAAGTTTTATTTAAGTAAATCAATACCAATACGTTCAGAACTTACAGCATAATGTAACAAGCCTTTAACGAGATTCAACTCAAAACAAAATGATTGCAAATAAACAGCTAATAAGATCTTTTAAAAGAAGTAAAATATACATTTAAAAAGTTCTTATCATTAATTAAAAGATGGCACTAGAAGTTATTCAATTTTAATCATAAGTATAATAAAAAATACTTAAAATGTATCATCAACAGCCTTTAATAGTCCACTGCTGGACATAAGCCTCTCCTTAGAAAGGAGGTTTCGGCCTACTAAGTATACCACGCTGGCCAGACGGGTTGGTATAGGGTTTGTTTCAAGTTTTCCTTCTCTCAACAGTGCTGTTGAACTGCGCAGTTTGCTTCCTTAGTCGGCTCTTACGACACCCACGCGGCTACTGGATGAATAGGGGTGGTGACACTCCGTATTCTTAATCCGTCACTTAAATCTTACTTAAATCGTATGATATAGTTTAAAAAAATTAAGAGTTTCCTGACCTTTCATTTCAATTTTTTACTTGTACAGCTACAGTTTCGTAGCAAACTAATATATAAAATTGCATTGTTACATTTATTATATTAACTTACAGAGTAAAATGATTTCGATATCAATGTATAAACTTAATCTGTAAATAACAATCACTAGCTGACATTACACAGGTAAATAACACACATTGTAATTAAACACATATTAACATTTTCTTAAATGTCACAGTCTATGACATTATAAAAGAAAATGGCGGGAATCTGTCGACACAAGTTTTTCGAATACAGTTCAAACAACGCTGTAGTTGACTGTTATAGTCACTTGACTTTACGTCAAAACGTTCAAAAATCGAAAGGAATGGTTATGACGTAATACCTTGCTATTATCCAATCGTAAAATGTCTATGTATTTAATATTTTCTTTTTAATCTTACCCATTCCATAATACACAACATATTACTATGCACTATGACTGGTCGTGGTCTCCAGTAAGTACGTAATATCTTGGCGGGGCTGTTGGTCCAGTGGTCAGTGACTTTCCTTTCCCACCCAGGACAAATATTGTGTGATGAGCACGGTCATTTTTTCTGTGTTTCGGTGTAATTTATCTATAATATGTATGTACAGTCGGGTTACCATCAACAGTCTGGTTACCATAGAACAGGCTCTGCCTAGTTTGGGATCAGACTGCCAGGTGTGAGACGTGTAAAAAAAGTGTATGTAAAAAAAAGTAAAAGAAATATATAAGTATGTTTATCAGCAGTCTGGTTGCCATAGTACAGGCTCTGCATAGTTTAGGATCAGCCTGTCGTATGTAAGATGTGTAAAAAAAAACTGTTAGGTACGTGATCGCGTTAATACCGTACGTAATGTAAACGTACGGGAATTAACACAAAAATTATAAAATGTACAAATATGACGTATGTGTACATTTTACACAACACTTCATTTCTTGAGAACTTCAAAGTAACATTAAATAAAAATGATTTGACAATAGCTAAGTATGACGTCACGGTCAAGTATTTCATACAAAATTGTACCTTGTCTATCGTTTTGACGTTTAATAAAAGATACTGATTTGACTTGACAGTCATCTACAAATACTGACAAACGTGGTAAAAGGCGCTGCTTTCTTAAAAGGATAAAAACTTAGATTTCCAAATCCACAATGTTTGTTACATCAACGGCATGTACAAAATTAATAATTAATTAATTACTTTTTGTATTATAACTCGGCGAATGCTGGTCGTGGTTTGTCTTTGGTCATCCAAAACGAATCGATGATTTCACCTTCCAGGTCCACTGACACCTGTAATTATTTATAAGTTGAGAGCCAGCTTCAGTTAGTGTGTGCTAAATTAGTTTAATAACATTTGATTTAGTATATATTCGGTTCGTATATAATTTGATTTCGATACGATTCGATTTAACACAAGAGTAATCGATTAAGTTAATCGTTAAAGATCCTTGTTACGCCTGCGGACTGTAGAAAAGAGCGAGTAAGAAATATTTTATTCACCTGTTCCATGTAGGCATGAGTTTTGTTGTAAACCTTCAATTTGGTGTAGCCGAAGTCTTGAGACCTGAATGCTGACCATCTAGGCTCTGTATCTGAGAGATGAAATTATTTTCTTAGTAACAGTGATATAATATACATACATTAGAGGTATTGACATTATTGCCGTTCATGACTGTAGACATGTAAAGTAGATAATTATATGTTTTTATACATGAGTCAAACCGCGTCTCGGCAAACGTAGTGTAGGACGCCCACAGGCCAGGTGGAGTGACAATTTGCGCAAGATGGCTGGCAGGAGCTAGATGCGAGAACCCCAAAATCGATCTAAGTGGCGTGCAATGGGAAAAGCCTATGTCCAGCATTGGACTACGATAGGCTGATGATGATGATACATGGGTCAGTCAGATAGTCAGTTGGCATACAAAATTTATAGAATACGGGGCTGTACGAGCACTACACAGCAGGGACACTCTTCTTGTTCGAAAGCCTATCAAACATAATATCATTTTAACCTTAATGTCCGTGTGGTGACGGATTAAGAATACAGAGTGTCACCACCCCTATTCATCCCGCGGGTGTCGTAAGAGCCGACTAAGGGCGAAAACTACGCAGAACAACAGCACTGCGGAGAGAAGGAAAACTTGACACAAACCCTATACCAACCCGTCTGGCCAGCGTGGTATAGTAGGCCAAAACCTCCTTTCTAAGGAGAGGCTTATGTCCAGCAGTGGACTATTAAAGGCTGTTGATGATGATGTACCTTAATGTAATTAAATTATGATAAATATTAATACCATTCGCTTCGCTTAATTTTACACCTTTAGAGGTTGAATTTATTGTTCAAATTTCCCTAAACGTGGTATCATTAAAACTTAGATTAAATCGGTTCACAAGTGGTGAACGCGTCAATCAAACACACTCAAAAAACAATATTTAGTCAATTTAAGAACCTCCTTTTCAAATCTTGTCATAAAAAACTGCGTAAAAAACTTCTACATATTACGCGGTCAGTTTCAGTTTTGAGTTCGAAATCTTGAGGTCACCGTTATAAAATTTACATAACTCAAATAACTATAATTTTTGTCTGCCTTCTTTTAAAAATAAAATTAGAGGCAATTTGACGTGAATATAGAAATGTTTACTTACTTAAAAAGTGGTCCCGGCCCTCTTGACAACCTGCTGATCCTGTCACTATATGCACGGGCGCTCTGAAACAATACACATTAAGAATACACACAAATATTGACATAAAACATAAAATCTGACAATAAAAAAAATAATAGTTTATTGTCATCGGTCCTCGATATATCTACAAAGTTTGCGAACGAATTCTGACCGTTTAAAGTCAGTCAAAATCACGCCCAAAGGAGTCGGTTACAAACAAATATACATACAAGTGAAGCTAATATAAAGCGTGTAAAAAGGAATTAAGGTTTTATTGTGGAGGGAGAAAATATATTTTTTATTGCTAAGCTTTGTTTTGTAATAAGGAGGTATTTTTAGGGTTTCGTAACCGTAGAGGAAAAAGCGGAATCCTTATAGGACAACTTCGTTGTCCGTCTGTCAAAACCCTTTATAGTAGAGAGCGTAGAACTATAGAGTTGAAATTAAAATCATATACTCAGGTCAACAGTCCCTTAAAGTTGTGAAAATTTTAATCAAAATTTATGAAAAATAAAAAAGGGTATTTCCCGTTTACGTCGGGGTACCAGGGATTTCCTTTCTAGGGTACACCTGGTTCCCCTTCTACTGGTACCAGACATAATCACCCCACCGGTGGGTGGTATCCGAGGGGATTTCTGCACAGGAAAAAAAAGGATAATTCTCGTTGACCTAGAACTGTGAAATTTGGCAAGTAACAAGTACAGAGGAAAATCTAAAAACTATACATTTGTAATTAAATCATAACATAAATAGTCTTTATTTAAAGTACGTAGTCAATCATCGAGGTAGAAATTACTCTCAATTTAAGTAGTTACACGTTTTGAAAACTGAAATTCGGGAATAGCTCAGAAAAACTGCGAGACTCGACCGCGGAGTTAACAAGTTGACAATTATCTCGACATGATACTTACAACAAGTTAATTCCGTGTTATTATTTTATCCTCAGAAATTGTTTATTAAAAAAACTAGTGTAGTTACTTCACAAATCTACGTCACAGGGGTAGTCACAGGTAGGGTATACCTGGTTCCCCGGCTATTAGTACCCGAGACGGCGTGCGGTTTTAGTCGGTTCGAGTCCGACATGCCACCAGTGGTATCCGAAGGGATTTCCGCACGGAAAAAAAAGGGGTAGTCACAGGCTGCGTTGGTCTGTTTTAACTGTTCGTCGACAAGGTGACAATAATGCAGTTGTAATTAATTTTAGGATAAAAGCTACGAAGATATTTTTAAAATGATCACAATGTGTGTGATGTAATTTAAAATGAAAAACTACTCTCAGTGTGTTAACTAACAGTATCAGGGATTTCCTTCCTAGGGTACACCTGGTTCCCCGGCAACTGGTACCCGAGACGGCGTGCGGTTTTTGGTCGGTTCGAGTCCGACATAACCACCGGTGGGTGGTATCCGAGGGGATTTTCGCACAGAAAAAAAAGTGTGTTAACTGACAGCCGAAGCTACGTAATAATAGGTAATAGTAGGACCTTGCACCTACCGACTATTACTTTTTCCAAAATTTAGACAACTTTTTAGTGGGTAAAAAATTCAATTCCCGAGAGGCAGTACAAAATGCCTTTGAAGAGTTTGTTGCCTCCCGTCCAGCTGATTTTTACAAGAAGGGCATCAATAAACTGCCAATGCGTTGGCAAAGATGCGTCGATTGCATGGGTGATTACTTCGAATAACAGAAACAAAAAAGTTTGAAAAAATAAGTACTTTCACTTATTGCATACAAAACGGCAATTTCATAGGTAAAGACCTAATATAAGTACAAACAGTTTGAATATCTGCTGTTCTCAGTAGCTACTAGCAACAATTGTGTATCACAGAACAATCCAATATCCCGAATGTGCAGTCAATTTAACGCAATTTGCTCTGAGGTGGACATTTCTCACAATAATTATAATCTAAAAAATCTAAAATAAGTCTATTACTAAAACTATGTGCCCCACAATAATGTCTGTATAATTTTTTAGGCTTTCTTCCTTTTTTTTTTTAAATCTTTGTGTTGTTATTTAATCGAACCTTAAACCAATTATTTCGTAATAATAATGGAGCTTAAGTTTATTATGTGAATTCTTTAGTCTGTTAACATACTCATATAAACGTTGTTATAGAACGTTGTGTATAGTTATAACTGGACTTCAGATTTAAGTATTGTATATTGTCAACATAATTGTGTATGTGCTAATCTGTTATCTGTTACTGTACCTATTAGATAAAATAAAATATTTCAGAAAATTGTGATACACTTACCACACACCACTAGCTTAGTGGTGTTTTCACGCGACTCTCCTCAAATGGATTCTTTCGAGGTTTGACCTTACCACTAACGTGGAATTTTACGCCGAAATGTACCAAACCTTAATAACATTTAAGGACGAATCAGAGAAAAAAATTAAATCATTGCAGCAGAAGAACGTGTACTTAGAAAAATATAATAAAGCCCTTGAAGAAAGAGTGCAGGAGCTAGAAATGCGAGACAAAGAAAAAAATATAGAAATTCATGGAGTAGAAATGCTTACGAACGAAGATACAAAAAATGTAGCACAAAATCTAGCACACAAACTAAACTTGAACTCTGATGATATCGAAGATGCACAGAGGGTAGGGCAAGAAAAAACGGACGAGACGAGGCCAAAAATTATATTGGTCACACTTCGGTCTAAAAGTGCCCGAAAGAAATGGATGCTAGCAAAAAAAGATAATATAATTACCAACAACAAATTATACGGCAATGGCAATGAAAAGCGCATTTACATAAATGAGGATATCCCAAAATACAAACGCCAACTGCTATGGATCGTCAGAAGCAAACTAAAACCCAAAGGTTTCCAGTATATTTGGGTTCAAAATGGCAATATTCTTGTAAAGAAGAATAATGAAGAAAAGAAGATATTTAACATACGATCAGAAGATGATTTAAACAAATTCCAGGATTGTCAATAAAATGCGTAAACAAGGCGGCGATTACACACCGGGTGATTTTGAGTATCAACATTCGATCACACAGATGAACTATCAACCGACATTGTATACAAACGATATAAGCATATTTCAGACTTAAGTAATGATTTATCACAGAACAATAGACAGACACAAATTCTGCACATTAATATCAGATCACTTCGAAAACATTTCAATGAGTTAATAATACTGCTAGAAGAAAACAAATATAAAATTGATATAATAATATTAAGTGAAATAAACATAAAGAAGGAAGAACTATCATTTTATCAAATAAGAGGATATAACACGCACATAAACTCACGAGAAAATAGTAGAGGAGGAGGAATATTAATATATGTAAAGGAAGGATTAAGTTTCGACGCTCAGAAACGGGATTATAGTGCCTTTGAAACACTACACGGCCAACTTAGAACATATAAAAATATAACGCACATAATTGCTATCTACAGACCACCCAGAAATAACAAATTACTCTTTATAGACCAACTGAACAGTTGCATAAAACATTTACCAACTTTTGACAACATCATAGTGATAGGTGACATCAATATAGATATCCAAAGCAATAGAATCGATCCCATAACGACGAAGTACAGAAACACCCTGTGTGCATACGGACTACAGTGCGTGATACCCAGCGGGGAGATAACACGCGAGGCGATTGTGGAGGGGCAGTTTGTCGCATCTTGCTTGGACCACGTGTGGGTGCGAGCGGGACGTAGCGAGTGCGGTTCGTCGTCGTTTGTCTGGGAAGCGCACATCTCCGATCACCATGCAGTGGGAATAGCGCTGGAATTGCGCGCAAGTGCCAACTTATGTTTACCTGTAGGCAGCGTTAACAGTGCGCGACAAGTTATTTGTGATAAACTTGTAAAACATAAGATGGACGCATATGACTGGTCGCAGTTACTTGTAAATACATGCCCGTTAATGATGTTCCAATCGGTGCGTACAGTGTTCGAACGAATATATAAGAAAAGTACAATGGTAGTCACAAATCGTAGTAAAAAATATAGACAACCATGGGTTGACAGGTATTTATACACAATGTTATCTCGTAAGGATTATTTGTTTAGAGTGTGGAAAGCAAAGCCAAATAACATGAATAAGCGACTAGAATACACAAAATTCAGAAATAAGGTAAGTAAACTTATAAATGAGGCGAAAAATAGATATAGGCAGTTAGAAATACAAAAGTGTAATGGGAATTTCAGAAAAATCTGGTCAAACATTAACGAGTGGCTAGGACGAAAGAAGAATAATTTAGATGAGGGTATATTAAAACACTTAGGCAAACTAAAAAATACTTCTCAGATTTGTACTAAATTTACAAAGACCTTCACTGAGGAGATACGAGGTATAAAGCATACATGTCCTATAAATTTTTTAGATAGAAACACATATGTACATTGTACAGCCAAGCCAGGTGAGTTTTAGATTTAACAAGGTTAGCGCGTTAGAAGTAGAAAAGATTATAAACATGTTGTCGTGTGAAAAAGCACCAGGATCAGACGGAATAAGGGTAAAAGATATTAAATATCTACGAAAACAATTAAGTCCAATAATAGCTACATTTATGAACAGGTGTTTAACAAAAAGTGTAGATCCTGACCAGCTAAAAGAAGCAATTATACGTCCCATTTATAAGTCTGGTAGTCGCTTAGAGTATGTTAACTACAGGCCCATAGCCATTCTGTCTGTTATTGACAAAATCATTGAGAAAATTATTGTTGGTCAAATTAATAAGTTTTTAGAATGTCATAACGTGTTATCAGAATCTCAGCACGGGTTACACGGTTACGGGTACGGTCACAGCCTTAACGGGCTTTGCAGATTATATTAACGAATGCTGAGACTCGGGTATGCAGATTTTAACCTTGTTTATTGATTATAAAAAGGCGTTCGATACTTTGGATCATGATATTTTATTACAGGCGATGGATGAGTGTGGAGTACGCGGTCCTACAAATAAGTGGTTCAAGAACTACCTATCCAATAGGAAAAGGCTTACAATGATTGCAGGTGTGAGTGGTGAGGAAATGGATGTGGATTTAGGCGTGCCGACCGAATCAGTTTACGGGCCAGTCGGATATATAATGCATGTTAATAGCGTATCTAATGTGGTAAAGAGGTGTCGAGTGTTTATGTATGCAGATGATATGTGCCTGGTATATGCCTCGAAGGATACATCGGAGGTTCAAAGTTGCGTGCAAGAGGACTTTGAAAGTATTATCAAGTGGGCACACGATAATGGAATTATCTTAAACATAATAAAAACTAAATGTATGTATATACACTCGCCACACAATAAACGAGCAAAAAGTATAAATGTGGAAGACATCCCCATAACGGGACATACATATGAATGTCTACATATGAATAAGGTTAATTGCAGTTGCACGACTTTGATATACGTCGATAATTTTAAATATTTGGGTTTAACTATTGACAGGAACTTTAATTGGAAGCCACATGTCGCTGATACTTGTGATAAGCTGAGATCTGTATTGGGAAAGTTCTACCAGTTACGTAGAATATTGAATAAGCACACATTAATGATCGTATACTACGCACTTGCAGATGCGCTGCTTAGCTATGGACTTATTATTTACGGTAGAACGTTCATAAGTTATTTAAGAAATATAAAAGATTTACAGATAAGACTAATTAAATTCCTAGTAAGCAAAAAAGTGAGGGAGAAGTGTAACAGAGAATATGATAAACTGTTTACCATTTGCAAAATCTTACCTATAGATAAGAAAGTCAAGTACCTAATAGCTTTAGAACATTACTATAGTGATGAGAACAAAGAAACTGTAACAAATAAATACAATACAAGAAGCGTTAGAGAGAATATGTTGGTTAAACCAAAGGTGTCCAACTATTACGGAGAACGAACGTCGAAGTTTTTAGTACCTAAAATTATTAATGAAATGAGCTTATTAAGAAAAAATACTAAGATAAACAAAGGTGTGCTGAAAACAAAATTGAGGGATTTACTTCTCGATGACCAGGGGAATGTCGAATCCACTGTCAGCGAGGGATAGGTCCGCATTAATGTTAACGTTTTGTATAATTATTATTTAAGAATATAATATAAGATTGTATAATTTTGGTAGTAAGTAGTATTAATTTAGTGTTATCTGTATAAAAAAGGGCGCATCTCGCCATCAAACGTCAAAGTTTGGCGAGTTTAGTATTAAGGTAACTAGTGTAAAACAGTTGATTAATAAATAAATAAAAAAAAAAAAAAAAAAAAAAAAATTACCTATATTTGCATGTCTGTATTTGTATTCTATCATACCTAGTAAATACCTGAACTTTGGATGTATGGGTCGTCGTGTGATTGTTGATGTGTTATAGTGAGTGGTTATTAGTGGCTGGTAACTAAGTACTTACGTTAATACCGGGCAAAAAAATCTTCTTTAAGATGTCAACTTTTTATTAGATATCAATTTACAGCTGTGCAACAGGGTGAGCACAGTTGTAAATAGCAACAGACCAATAAAAATCGATGGCGTAGTGGTTTGTGTAACGGACTGCTATTCCAAAAGTTGCGGGTTCAGTTCCCGCTCAAAACAATCATTTGTGTACATGAACATTTAATGTTTGATTTGGTCTGGGTGTTTCTATGTATAATATGTTTGTATTTAAAAAAAAAAGTATATTTGTATTTATATCAGTTGTCTAGTACCCATAGTACAAGCTCTGCTTAGTTTGGGACTAGATGGCTTTGTGTGAATGTGGTAGAATTATTATTTTTATATTATTATTATTATTAATTAAGGTATCCCTTATAGTAAAAGATCACTGTTGTTACTACGGATGTTTAGTACAGAAGCATTACCTATGCCTTGTTCACTCAGTAAAAACCTGTATTTGTACTTGCAAATACAATAGCAAGGAGATGGCGAATAACATTGCGGACTGATTGCTAATGTAAACAAGCTCCCAATATTTTTTCACAAAATCCCTTAAAATACAACCAAAGTAGTAGTAGAAAGTTGGGTATTCCAATTACAGGAAACCTAAAAACAAAAATTACATTAGTTGTTTAAAATCTTTATTTATAAAATACGCTTACATATTTATAAAGGATTAGCTCATAACATTCTTTATTTCGAGTTTTAATTGTAACTTAAGTCGAGAAAAGGCAGCTGTGACATAAGAATTACAGAGAAATTCAACCTTCTGGTGTAAATTCCATATCAGGGTTTGGCTATTCCCAATTTGTCTGAGGCTAGAACTAACAATAGTTAAAAATATAAACATACAATACATAAATTTTCAACTAAACTAAACATTGTGCCAGAAGCAGTTATTTTACGTAAATTATAATAATTCTAAAGCCAAATAGTCTAATTTTAGTGTTCCATTCTTCAAAAGGAAAATAATGTATTTAAAAAAACATTATGTTGTGCGTCTGTCGGTCACGTTCCTTCTTTAGAACGTGTCTAGGTTAAAAGATCAAACTTCTAAATTAACGCAATCAATTACGCATAAGGCATAGTACTTGAACATACAGGTAAATAAAAATTTATAGGATACTTTTAGTTTCTCTTGGTTGACCCTGGAAACATTTTTGCTTACTGTACAAGTATTGCAAAAACCCGAAAACCGTTAATTTATTCTTATATTGATGTACGCAATGATTTTAGAACGCAAAGTTTTTTCTGTGCAGTTTTTGTCTTTGTTTTTTTTCTTAGTACAATGGCAACTCCCAATTTAAAAAAAAAACAAACTTAAAATGACACGTTCTAAATGTATACTACTCAATTTTTACTACCCTGATTGGTTGAAAATTACGTAAGTAATTACGGTTAAGGCAATTTCAATGATTCTACCTCACAATTCTACAATTTTGTATAATCTATAGTTTAGGCCTATAAGTTTAGGGTTTAAGTAAAATTCTTCTAAAGTAATATGGCATGGATACAATCTATATTTGGTAACAAAAAATGAATGTTTTACAGTTCAGAGAGCAGAGTAAAGGTAAATTCAGTAAAAAAAAATATGCTAACTTTTAAAGTATCGCGTTCCTTCCTTCCTTACTCCTTTCTAAGGAGAGGCTTATGTCCAGCAGTGGACTAGTAAAGACTAGATTGATGTGATGCGATGATGTGGGTTCCTTCCTTCCTTCCTACGATCCTTTTTCCCAAACTAGGTTGGGGTCGGCTTTAAGTCTACTTAGGCTTAACTTCGATTTTTTAAGTGGAGCGACTGACATCAGACCTTCACATCCCAAGTGCTAGGCGATATCAAAGTTTTGTAGAAAGACTGTTGTTTTGGGGCTCCATTTTTCAAAAAACAAACAAAATTTTATAGGATCTACTTTAGAGTACAAATTCTATTAAAAAAATATTACCAATTTAACGCTATTCACAAATGTCAAATATATCTCGTGGTCAGTTTTAAAATGATAGTTACAAAAAAAAAATGACAATAGAAATTAAATATTTAAAATATTCTGAACTTTAAATAGGTTTTATTTTCCAACAAAGTTTTGATTAACATATTTTTTTTCAAATGAAGTTGTGTAAAATCGCCAAACTCTAAAATGGCACTTTTTTATATAATTGTGATTATCATCAGCTTTTAGAGGTGATGATCTAGATCGAAACCACAAAGTAAGACTTAATTTCATCATCAGCCTATCGCAATCCACTGCTGGGCATAGACCTCTACCATTAATTAATACAAGATGGGTGGCAGGAGGAGGCTGGATGCGAGAAGCCGAAAATCGATCGAAGTGGCGTGGAGACTCAAATTTCTTAACTGAAGTTCTTCCTCTACAATCAATGAACTTTGTATATTTAGTGAATATTGTAAGGTTTGTGTTGTTCCTTGATGAGCCAGAACGAGTCGATCACCTGGCCTTTTAGATCCACATCCACCTGAAAGAAGAACACTTAGTTTTAACACTTGTTGGCAAGAAACATTGTTAAGACTTATCACTAAACAAAGTATTACTTTGTTTACATACGATAATACCAAAACTAACGAAGGTTGATATAAATTTCTATAAGTTTTGCACCCCTTTTTTTTCCGTGTGGAAATCCCCTCGGATACCACCTATTGGTGGCATGTCGGACTCGAACCGACTAAAACCGCACGCCGTCTCGGGTACTAATAGCCGGGGAACCAGGTATACCCTAGAAAGGAAGTCCCTGGTGCCCCGACATACCTCGGGCCATCTACAGACGAGTAGACGACCCCCCCCCGAAGTTTTGCACCCTTAGGGGTGGAATTTTATAAAATCCTTTCTTAGTGCACATCTACGTCAGCTAAGGAATATTTGTGCATAATTTAATGCTATACCTAGTGGTTTAAGGTGTGCGGTAACCGATCAGTCAGTGAATTACTCTGTCTTTCATATATGTATAGGTAAGTTATCATAGGTAAGTTGTCCGTGTGGTGACGGATTAAGAATACGGATTGTCACCACCCCTGTTCATCCCGTGGGTGTCGTAAGAGCCAACTAAGGGAGCAAACTAAGCAGGACAACAGCACTGCAAAGAGAAGGAAAACTTGAAACAAACCCTTTTTTTTTTTTTTTTTTAACGTGTGGAAATCCCCTCGGACCGTCACCCCTCCGGGGTTTGCGGCGGGGTGGTGTGTCGGACTCGGACCGACTAAAACCACACGGTGTGCCACTCTGCGCCTGTAACAGGAGGGATCCGGGAACAGCTGTTGTTAAGACATCCGGACCCCTCCTAGCGCCAGCCCGCTCCTGGTGCGGGCTCCGTCTCAATGTTTTTGTTCCTCTCTTTAGGCGACGTCCGGCACACGCGGACCACCACCAGCGATAGATCCACTCCGATGACTGCAGTGAGGGCCCGGCGCTGCGCCGCCCATGCGGGGCAGACCGCCAGCGTGTGCTGGGCCGAGTCCTCACTGCAGTCGCAGTGGTGGCAGGCGGGACTCAGTTCCCTCCTAGCGACCGTGTGCAGGTACTTTCCGAAGCAACCGTGCCCGGAAAGCACCTGCGTCAGCCGGAAGGAAAGGGTCCCGTGCTGCCGCCCTGCCCACTCGGCGATGACCGGCTGGAGAGCCTCCACGGCGGCGAAGCCAGCGCGTGGAGTCTCCAGCCGGAACGACCAACGAGCCATCGTGGCTCGGCGAGCGGCTTCGCGCCACTCGCGCACATCCTCGGGCGGAGGGCGAAATCCGCTCTCCGCCCGGGAGTCAGCCACTCGCCGATAAACTTCGGCGAGCACTTCCGCCTCCAAATCCCACGGGGGAGTTCCGGCCAACGCGCATGCCACCTCCGTAGAAACGGTGCGGTAACCGCGTATGGCTCTGACCGCCATTACCCTCTGAGGGCGCCAGAGGCGTACCCTATTCTGGGCGGTCAGAGCCGCCGCCCGCACCGGTGCACCGTACAGCGCCATTGACCGGACAACCCCCGTGTACAGCCGTCTTGTCGCGACGCTGGGTCCACCCATATTGGGCAAAAGCCGCCCTAGGGCAGACGCAGCGCCGACCAGCTTTGGAGCAAGCTGTCGGAAGTGCTCGTCGAAGAGCCACCTCCCGTCGAGGATCAGGCCCAGATATTTCATCTGGGCCCGAACCGGTACGAGGACCGAGTTGACCACGATTGAGGCGCCAGGGGGTGGACCACGACGGGGCCCATGAAATAACAGGGCCTCCGTCTTATCTAGGGCCACCCGTAAGCCCAGCGCCTCAATGCGCCCGACCACCAGGGAGACTCCCCCTGTGGCCAGGCGCGCCGCCTCTTGGAAGTTTGCCCCCCGGGCTGTCACCAGGGTATCGTCTGCGTAACAGATTACACCCAGCCCGGGGGGGAAATCGGCGCGAAGGGCCCAGTGGTACCCTATGTTTCACAAGAGGGGTCCAAGAACAGACCCCTGTGGAACACCGCACGACATGGGCCGACACCTCAAATAACCTTCTCGGTCCTCGTACACGACGGTACGCTCCTCTAAATAGTCTGCCACCAGCCGCGTCAGGTAATTTGGCACCCCATGATAGTGGAGTGCTTCCCTGATGCAGCTGAATGGCAGACTATTGAATGCGTTGGCGATGTCCAGTGACACCGCCAACAGCACGCCGCCACAGCTCACGGCCTCTTCGGTCACGGCCCTCAGGCGCAACACGGCGTCGACTGTCGAACGCCCCGCCCGAAAACCAAATTGGGCGTCCGACAGATCGGGGCCCACCTCGCAGAGGTGCCGGACGATGCGGGCAGAAAGAACTCTCTCAAACAATTTGCCCGCCGCCGCCCGCCGGTACTCCTCATGAAGCCGGTCCTCCTCACCGTCTCCACGGTGACGCCGCCGACTGCGCGTGTAGGACCTCCGGGCACGTGTACAGGCCGCACGGAGGTCCGCCAGCTCCTGGGACCACCAGTAGACCTCCTTCCTTGGAGGCCGACGACCTCGAACGCGGGGCATGGCCGCATCGCATACATGCGTAATCGCATCGCGAAAGCGGCCAGCCCCCACGTCGACCTCCTCGGTCGGAGCCTGAGGAGACAGCCACGAGTGAATTATGGCTGCCTCCTCTAGTAGGTCCCGGTTCAGCCTGGCAACAGCCCACCGCGGCAAGCGGGATAAACGCCGCGCCACGTGACCCCTACTGGAGTCCTGGGTCCGGGAGAGCTCAAATCGGATATACAGGTGATCCGAGAGCGTCTCAACCTCTTCCAGGACACACCAGTTCCTTACTCGTGCGGCGAGGGCAGGGGTAGCGAACGAAAGGTCCACTATCGACCCCCCCTGCTGTCGCACGCACGTGTTGGTGGAGCCTCTGTTTAGAAGACAGAGGCCCACCGAGGCCGCCCCACTCCTCTACGGCCTCGCCCCTGGCGTCCGTCCTGGGGGAACCCCACGCAATGGACTTTGCGTTGAAGTCCCCCAGCACAAGGACGTGCCCAGACGCTAGTCGCCGTATCGAGGTCTCCAAGCTGGTTAGGAAAACCTCGAAGTCGTTCAAACTCCGGTTGGGGGAGAAATAGACACCATATATGGTGATCCCCCCCCACTCGACGGCAACATATCCAGTGCCCTTGTCTCTTAGCGACAAGGGCGGGGAATGAGCCGTCGTGGAACCGACGACTGCCACGGAGCCGTCCCAGTCACCCATCCAGTTTGGACGGGGAGGGACAGAATAGGGCTCCGCGACTACGGCAACACCTATCGACCACTGTGCCATGGTTTGCAGGAAGAGATCCTGCGCCGCGGCACAGTGGTTCAGGTTCGTCTGGACCAGGAGGTTGGAGACTTGATCCATTACTGGATCGTCTCTACAACCTCCTCCATGGGCGACGACGACGACGCACGTACTACATCAGAGGCAGCCTGGGTCGACTGGCTAGCCCCTGACGTCTGCCGAGAACTGCGGGGAGGCTTGCAGCCTCTCTGCCCCATCTGGTGATTGGCGGGCTTATTGCCCGCCGCACACGCTGGGCAGTGAGGGGCGGCAGAGCATTCTGCCGCCTTATGCCCCGGTTGATCGCAGCGGAAGCACAGTCCGCCGCAGTCGAAACAGCTGTCACACTTGACGCGCGTGTGTCCCGATGCTAGGCATTTGTAGCACCTCATCGGTCTCGCCGCCAGGACTGTGATCCTGGCGCTCACGAAACCGATGAGCAGCCTGCCGGCGTCGGCCAATACTTTGGCCGACGCTACGGGACAGCTGACCCACACGGCGCCAAGCCCTCCTGGACCGGGGCGGATGGTGCCGACCCTGACGTTGTCCGCGCTGCACCCCGTCTTCTCCCGGATTGCAGCGCGGACATCTTCGGCCGTTACGGAGTCGTCCAGGCCCGAGATGCGCAGCTCTGCGCACTTAGTAGGCCTGGCGATCTTTACACCATCCGTGGCTGTAAAGAGTCCCCGCAGCTTCTCGGCAAATGTGTCCGCCGTCTTAGCGCCTTCAGCCCCAGGGAACTCGAGGACTCGAGCTCCCGTCTGGGCGAGGCGCATCCTGACCCCCACCGTCCCAAAGTCGTTGGCGAGGCTGTCCCGGCCGTTTTTAAAAAGGCCCGGGTAGGACAGCCCGCCGTCAGCCGCCTCCGGGGACACGGTCACCACTACAGCCGCGGTTTTGGGCGGCTGCAGCTTCCGCGGCCTCTTTGTGGAGGCCGTTGCCACCGGTGGCGAAGGCGTGGCTTGGGCTGCTTTTTTGGCAGCCCTTTTGGCCCGCCTTCGGGACTTCTTGGAGCCCCTCGCCTCCTGCCAACCCTCGTTGGAGGGGGCAGGTGCGGAGGGGCCCGGCAGGGGTGTCGGAGTGGGGAGCTTTTAGTGTGGAGTGTGTGTGGAGTGGGGTTGACTTTAACGATACCTTTATGTATGTATTCTCTAGTAGACGATGTAGTTACTTACTATATATACTTACTACTTTTTAATATTTGAACCATAATAATACTGTCCGTGTGGTGACGGATTAAGAATACGGATTGTCACCACCCCTGTTCATCCCGTGGGTGTCGTAAGAGCCAACTAAGGGAGCAAACTAAGCAGGACAACAGCACTGCAAAGAGAAGGAAAACTTGAAACAAACCCAATACCAACCCGTCCGGCCAGCGTGGTATAGTAGGCCAAAACCTCCTTTCTAAGGAGAGGCCTATGTCCAGCTGTGGACTATTAAAGGCTGATGATGAAGTTATCATAAGTCTAGTTGCAGATGGTCATAGGCGGCGGGAGTCACTTAACATCAGGTGGCCAATCTGCTCGTTTGCCCTTCTATACCATAATTTAACAATATCCTGTACCACCTTGTATACAAGGTTAAAAGTAGAGTATGGTGTATCCCGTACTGACCTGCTCGAAGTATAGGTGAGTTTTGTTGCGCGCCAGGAGCCGCGAGTAGCCGTAGTCATTGCTCCTGAAGGCCGACCACGCCTCAGGGTCTTCTGCAGACAAAATAAATAGTAACAGTTAACTAAATGAACTATTACGTATTGTTCACTTGACTCCTTCCTACGAAATTTTGTCATAGCACTGTTGATTCTGGCTGAATAACATATGGACTTCTTGTCATAGCTATATTAATATACATACAGAGTGTAAGGGACGTCGTAACGAATACTGAAATAGTGTATTCAGACCATCATTCTGAGTCGAAAATCATTGGAAACTTCTGCCGGAAAATTAAACTTGTTATGCAATCAGTTGTCAAAGGTTAAGGTCATTCTCCGTAAGTATCGCACAAAAGTAATAACTACATGTGTATTCCTTGCCAACAGTCTAGGCACACTAACACAAAATGGCGGCCGGTGTGGAGGCCCCGCGCGGTTCGGCTGTTTGATTAATTACATAGCAGTTTTTTGTTATTTATTAAATTGTTTTCGTTAAAATGTTCTGTCTACTCAATGTGATATCATTTTTCATCATTTTTAACCCGAAAAATGGAAAATTAAAAAACAATTGATGAATTTTGCGGCAGAAAATTCCAATGATTTTCGACTAAGAATCGTGGTCTGAAAACACTATTTCAGTAGTCGGTACGATGTCCCTTACACCTTGTATATAATTTAAAAAAATCAAACACAAAAAAACATCAAAAACAAAAACAAAAAAACAGCCCGTTGTACACTTCATTTCTTTCAATATTATTTGGTGGACATTGGTGTGGGTAGCACATTTACTCAATATATTATTTACTCATGTTAAATGCCCCTTAACCAAAAAATAAAAAAGAATTGTATTCATATAACACTATCTAGATCTAAACTGAGCATTGCACATATGTAACAACAACTATGTACTCCAGTCTACATACACATAGTACATACACACCGATTGGCATATCTACAACGTCCCATCATCAAGTGTTGGGCCGCGGCTCGCCAGCTATGATCACCTCGCCTTTTTTTTTTTTTTTCCGTGCGGAAATCTCCTCGGATACCACCTCGGTGGCATGTCGGACTCGAACCGACTAAAACCGCACGCCGTCTCGGGTACTAATAGCCGGGGAACCAGGTATACCCTAGAAAGGAAGTCCCTGGTCCCTCGGGCCATCTACAACAACAGGTAGACGGCCCCCCCGTGTGGGAACCCCATGTTCCCTGTGCTCCCTGGAAGCGAGCGCGCTTCGCAACGAGCTCGCCGCCACCCCGGCCTGCTTCTGCTAGGGTGACAGATGGCCTCACCTGTCACCCCAGGCCTGCGGTCGGTGGATCCTTCCTCCCTTTGTGTTGGAGGGACATACAACCCGTTCCTCGACATATGCGTAGTATTTGCCCCAAGTTTGAAGCGAACATGCGAGTCGGTGGAATGACTTAAAACACAATAACCCTTGTATTTGAATACTTTCCTATTTAAAAAAGAGCCCCCGTGGGGTCCGAAATCATGTCCGACATCATCCGAATGATTCCAGAAATCTAATTTCATCAAAGTTTTAATGATGTCGTTAGTTTTTATAGCAAGTTCTGTCTATATGTACCAGTTTTTCAGAATGTAAGTCATTCTGACTTTCAGACTCAGACTGAGGGTAAGTTAAACAGATTTTTTGTAATTCTCTTCATTCTCGCATCGAATCATTTTATGACTCCATGAATAAGGTTTTGTAATTTTATCAAAAATTGCCTCGTTCAAAGATAAAAAGATACCACAGTTTTAAAAGGTAAAGAATTTAACCGGAAAATATGTTACATTTGTTGAATCATTTATTGTAAGTCGATTATTTTGCATGTTCACACTATGTACCTTTGATATAGTCTTTGGTTTTTATGTTTTGACACAGAAAACGGTTGACATGTTGTACCTTATATTGTTCTTAGTATGTTGTATTAATTGAAAACTTGAAATAAGTGTATCAATGAGTATTTCATTCAAATGACCTAAACAACATTAACATTATTAAAATCATAATGTGTAAACTTACCTTTGAAAGGATCAGTCTTCTCCTGACAACCAGCGGAGCCCGTGACTATGTGTACCGGAGCGCTGCAATCAAACATGGCGAATGAATACCATCCTTATAACTATACATTTACATATATACCAATAACATTAGTGAGTTAAAAGCGAAGCGGAAAAGTTAGTCATACAGTTAGCAAAGCATAAAATTTGATTTAGAAATTCTGAATATTAAAAAAATGTACTCTATGGACAGCACAGCGTCATGCTACGCCGTTAGGGTTGCCAACTAAAGCGTTTAAGATCAGTGCTCTGTCCTTTTCATGTCTTTCACAATGATAGGTTCTTTTTTTTTTAATTTAAAAGATTCTCAAAGAGAATAGGGTAAGGAGGGAGGAAGAATAGGTGTCATATATTACATTACGTTTCGGATGTGAAACACCGACTTTTGCCGTGGGAATGCGTCGCCACGTTATCTTTACAAATAAATAAAATTGAAGTGTCTGTTTGTAATGTCAAAATTATAGGTTTTTTTCATGCTCACACGGTTATTTGCACGATACCTGTGCCTCAAAGCCAGTTTTTTTATCTGTCTGTCTGTCTGTTTGTTTCGGGTAATCTTCTAAACGGCTGGACCAATTTCGATAATATTTTACTACCAGGTAGCTGTCTACACAAGGAATAACTCAGGCTATTTTTCCTCTCAGAAAAACCCTTTAAAATTTTGCCCGCTCCAGGCATCACACCCTCTAAGGCTTTTCAAATTCCACGCGACCGCAGTCGCGGGTACCAGCTAGTACATAATTATTATATAAGCTATCCTTTTCTACTCATTATTTCTAAAAAAACAATTTCAATGTTTCACATCTGCATGACACCAGAGACACCGACTGCTAAATTTTCAAGTCGCATATTGCTAGCAGTCACGTCGACACTTTTAAGAAGTCACACACTTATTTGGAAAAATCTAGGTTTTCAATATCGTAATAGGGAATTTTATCCCATGAATGTAATTATCAAAAAATGTAATTTTAGGTAAAAGGCATTGTTAGTTCATAAATTTAGATCCTATTAAATTTTATAATTAATTCCTGAGTTTTCAGACCTATAAATTTGCAATACACAGGCCATCATGGCGTCAAAGCGTCAGTAATTACAAATTTTGTTGTAAACTTTTAAATAGTTTTTGTTCCTTCGGTGTATTTTACCTCAATATTGCTATGACAATGTTTTTAATGACTTTTTTGTTCTGATAATGTTTAAACATTTATGAACAATGTAGTATTGTATCACTGTTGTAATTATAGTGAAAGTAACATATAATATAATAATATTCTACCACATTCTACCTCCTTTCTAAGGAGAGGCCTATGTCCAGCAGTGGACTATTAACGGCTGTTGATGTGTGATGTGAATCTACCACATTCACATAACGCCATCTTGTCTCAAACTAAGCAGAGCTTGTGCTATGGCTACTAGGCAACTGATATAAATACATATCAACTTTTTTTTCTTAATACATACTTATTATACATAGAAACACCCAGACCAAATCAAACATTAAATGTTCATGCACACAAATGTTTGACTTGAGCGGGAATCGAACCCACGATCTTTGGAATAGCAGTCCGTTACACAAACCACTACGTCATCCGGTCGTCATAAATATTTAACATATACAATGTATTAACAAAAAAAAGTATCTAAGTATTCGCTTTTATAGCACAAGCTTTGCTAATTTTGAAACAAGATGACGTTGTGTATCAGATGTATGAAAAAACAAATTGTATTAAGCAAAATTGTAATGATTTATGCTCATACTTCCATTTAGCGTTTTCATTTAATGCCAAAGAGATTTAGACATATGGAGTATCCATCCACAGCCTTTACTAGTCCACTGCTGGACATAGGCCTCTCCTTAGAAAGGCTGTTATAGCCTACTATGGAGTATATTGGGTCCAAATACAGTTCGTACGAAGAAGCAGTTACATCGGCCTATTTGGCCCCCTAACAACTTAAAGCCCATTCAAAGTTCGAAGGAGGACTCTCAGGCCATATTCACACACGAAATGGAAGTCAATAAATGGATTGATGGAGCTATTTTTAGAATATACCAATATAAAGCACCCTCACACAAAAGGCTACCAGGACTCAGGATCCAAGATTTTTTTGACCAGTTTTTTTTTTCATTTTAGCGAAAAAAATATTTTTATACAGGCTTTTCTCATTATAGCGCCCTATAACATTTAAAATAAATAAATATGCATTTACAATAAAAATAAGTAAACATAAAATATATATTTACCTTTAGAATTTTGAATATACGAGTCGTGTATTAGCACAAAACCAAAATCACCAAAACATCACCAAAAACATTTTGTTCGTGAACATTCGCGAAAGTAATTATTAATATATTACAAACGAGTTAGTTTATAATATTAAAAATTATAACATGCACCATATTTAAAAAGCAGTTACAAAAAGCACCCACGCGTTAGATAAAAAAAACAAGTGTGTCAGCGCCGACGCACGACTGGAGTTGACTCGTTAAGAACGATTCGGCCGCACACAAGTATACAAGTTATACACACACATGTGAAAGGTGCGCACGATTGGTTGCGCACAAAAAACGTATCGAGGTCATTCGATCACTAAATTTTACTCTTCATATTTTTCTTTCCCCTTATATGAAAATCGATTCTTAAAGAGTAAACTCCAATAATAAATCGAGGATAACTTGTCGTATATACATTCATTTTGTATGTAAATCTTATTCGGAGCTAGATTGGAATGCTTTTTTCTATTATTGAACTCAAAATGACTTTTTATAAATTACTTGATTACCATGTAGGTCTACTGGGTAACGATCTTGACTGTTGAGGCAGAGGTCGTGGGTTCATTTCTCACCCAGGACAAATAATTTATGATGAGCAGGATCATTTGTTCCGTGTCTGGGTGTAATTTATCTATTATATGTATGTAGAACTATATAAGGGTATATAACCCATTGCATCATTTTTTTTGCGGATTCGATTCCTACACGAACTAAACATCGAAATTTACCCCTTGTTCAAGTGTTTGTGCAGTCTGCGCAACACATAAATCTTTCCTAATACCAGTCGAATTTTAAAAACAATACAAATATCTGTACATAAAACTCGTCTAAAATTACAAATAAAAAAACAAATTAAAAATAACTGGTACAGTTTAGAATAACCTTCGATTTTGAAGAAAATTAAGACTTAACTTCAAAAAAACAAGTAAAAATATAAAAAACTTTCAATCTATCATTTTTTCCATTAATAACAAAATGTACACATTATTACAGTCTCCACACAAATCACAAAAGATTCACGCATGTCATGCGCACGCGCAAGCACCAACTTCATATTGCGTAGATAACAACTCACCCCGGGTTCACGTAGGGGAATTCCTTGGAGCCGTTGTACACCTTGTAGTCGTAGAGAGGCCACGTCCTCTCATACGAGTGCTCGTGAGCCCATATCACCAGGTCTACTCCATACTTCTTCAGCAACGGTTCCAAACCTGGAATGAATAATGAAATAAATATGTAATTAAGTTATGTAGACATAACATCTCAAATTCTATTAATGTTGTAAATTAGGAAACGGCTGTAGTGTAATGGATGAAGCGATGGATTTGCGATCGAGTGATTGAAGATTCAAAGCCTGAGCAAATAGGTTACTTGATGGTAAGTAAGTACTGCCACCCATGAACCTGAAACTCAAAATTTACAAGTGAATTACCGCCCTTTGAGAGCTCCCCCCTCGGTGTGGTCGGGGTGGTCGATTTAGTCTCCGCTAACCTCACTCAATTGGTGAACAGCAACGAAAGAAAACACATCATCATCATCAACAGCCTTAAGCAGTCTACTGCTGGACATAGGCTTCTCCTTAGAAATGAAGTTTTGGTCTACTATACCACGCTGGCCAGACGGGTTGATGTATACATATTACTACTGTTCTTTTCTGTCTTTTCTTTCTTTCTATTCTTAAAAGAAATATGTTAGAACTCCTCCTGCTTCTTCTTCTTAATACGACCTTCTCTTAAAATATCATTAACAAGCAATTACTTTACAACTCCTAACAGACTGTCTGTACAACGGTTCCTTGTACTTCTTGCATTAAATAACTTCCATTCCACTTACATTTTACACTTTCATATACTTAAATAAAGAAAACTACGCTACACTATATCAGAGTATTGCTTAAACCATAGAATACGACTATCTAAATTTAGCGAAAAAGCAATAATTTATGGTTTAACTACCGTCATAATGAATAATCAACATGGCGTCTAGTCATCAATTTTCGCGCGAAAATTGAAAATATAATTAGAATGTATTTTAATTCAACTTATTGAATGAATGAAATTTTAGTAAATTTTATTTGCCTTTATTAAAACCTAATATTATTAATTAGGTTTAACGTTATGGCAAACATAAACAGATAGACAAACAAACAAATTTTTAGATTGTAAACTTACCGTAGAGCCCAAAAATGCCAACTCTAGTGTACTCAACACTGCAGTCGATGTCATTAGAGTCGCTGCAGTACATAGGTCTGTGGCCAAACAACACGATCCAGGGCCGCTTCGACCTGCAAATTGCACCTTAGCTACATACACTCAGAACTTCTTTTTACTAAATAATCATCTCGTTTCCTGTCCTTGTCTTAATTTAACAAATGGATATGGCAAGGGAGCTGGCGTCATGGGTATCCCGCAAGTTCTTAAGATATAAGAAAGTGTGTTTATATGTGTTTTTAAGGAATATGGAGTAAATCAACAGACACCTGATCCCTGCCGCCCTTGGAGAGTGAGTGAGTGAGTTTGATGGATGGATTTGGTTCTGAGGGTTAGTCCTCCAGTAAAATAAGAATCGCTTAGGCGGTGGTTTTCTGTTCAACGATGCCGTTCACCTTACATCTCACCTGTTCTCCGGGAGGTTGGCGCGAGCCAAATCCTTCTCCAGCCACTCGTACTGGTTGGTGATCAATTTAAGTCCGTACTGCAGGAAGTAGTACACTTCGGTGGAGACGGACACGAAGTGTACGTTTCCAAGGTCGAAACTGTAGTACAGGCTCGAGTCCCGGCCGGGCATAGTGAACCGGTTCGCGTAGTTGCTGAAATTGCTGCAATAATATTGTTAACATTAATAAAACTAAATAGGCAGGCAAATTTATTGTAATTGATAATTTCATTTTTCCATGAAACTAAACGTACTAAAATATTATCCAATATAAAACTACATAGGTATAAGTAGCGGCACGAAACTCTAGCGGTGACAGTTACTGCGCAGAAGTCAAAAATCAGGTACTTTTTGGGGTAAGAGGGACGAAGGGCGGGCGTGCGTAGCGCCGATTGGCTCTCCAGTCGCATTACGTCCCCCGCACTGATACGACACACCGCGTGCTTCCAGAGTACAGTCGCGTTCTGAGTTATATTGTTATCGCTGTTAATTTTTGTTGCAATAAATACAATACTCATTTAAAGACAATGCAGGTTGCAGCTGGGAACAGAAGACATAAAAAAAGCGTTTTAAAATTATTTAACGTTACAGTCGTATGTTGTGGTAGGGAAAGGACTGCGTTAATTGTTGTGGTATTTAATGCGACAAATCAAGCATCATTGTTTAGATAATAAACTGCTAAGTTGAAAACTTTCACAAAGTGAATTGCATATAATTATAGTTCAACAAATTCTGTTTTAATTTTTCTACTTCCTATAAACTTGTTAAAAATCCTGGGTAACATATTTTTTTTGGATATTGGAACTATAAACTATAATAATGACATACACATACACTCACGCATACATACGCACGCACACCACGCACACGCACAAACAAAGTACATTTTTTTTTAACATACACGTTTATTACTACTACTTAAGATTTAAATGTTAATACACATGGAGACCAATAATACTGGTTCAACCCAGTGCAGGCTCCCATCTCCTACAAGCACAATAACTGTCTGTATATATTCTTATAGCTTTTACCCGCGGCTTCGCTCGCAGTTTTATCTTTCGTAAAAAATATTATTTTAATAAAAAGTATCATATGTTACTTCTAAAACCTCCAAGAATATGTGTACAAAGTTTCATGATGATCGGTTAAGTAGTTTTCACGTGAAAGGGTAACAAACAAACTTACATTCACATTTATAATGTTATATAGTATGATTACTTACTTACCTTTTGTACCTATTGTTGAGAAAATAAAGAAATTCAAATTTGACGACTCTGGCACGTGAACAAATTTCAGAAGTTACACTCTATAACATTAACTATTTACTAAAGTTAATATTTGCGTGCGCGATAGTACCCATGCGCGGCTATCCCTTCCACGTTCCGCTCAGCGCTAGACTTACGTGCCGCTAGTTATACTAGGGTTTAATCCCTGGGTCGGACCAAATGTTTGTATGATCTGCAAATACTTGTCTCAGAGTTTCGGAGAATCGCAAAAAGTATAAGTATTCTATCAGTTAATCTAGATTTCATAGTATTAGACAACTAGAAACTAGATGGCGTTGTGGGTCACATGTCCAAAAAAAGAAATTATTTGCATTTAACACGACTCGAACCCGATCTCTAATCTATACAAATAAATAAAATTGGAGTGTCTGTTTGTAATATTAAAATAACCGCTTTTTACTAAATGCATATGTATGTTTACACGGTACATATGCCAAAATAACATTTTTTTCAATTTTTGACTATCTGTCTGTTTGTTCTAGGTAATCTCTGGAACGGCTGGACCGATTTCGACGGGACTTTCACTGGCAGATAGCTGTTGACATAAGGAGTAACTTAGGCTCCTTTTTTTAGACTAGCTTCGCCCCGCGGCGTTGCCCGCGGTTATAACAACAAACGCGGGTAACACCGCGGGTCTCAGCTAGTATATATACAAGAATACTTACTACATCTGTTCATGGTTGCCAGGACAGGTCATGTAAGGAACGATGGCGGCGAGAGGCTGTATCTGTCGCATGAACTCATCTCCGACCAGCGCGTCGTCTGTGTCCATGTCGTACGCGAAGTCCCCCACGTGGAGTATCACGTCGAACCTTTCGCGCTGAGCCTCATCTTGGAGGTACGATAGAGACTGAAATGGAATTATGAAATTGTACTTATTACTTATTGTCTGCAACTCAGGAGTCACAAATGCGTTGCCGGCCTTATTACTAGTTTACAAGTTACATAAGATCAACAACCTTTAACAGTCCACAGTTCTAAGGAGAGGCTTATGTCCAGCATAAGCCTCTCCTAGTGTTCCCGTGGGATGAGCAAGGAATCGATGAGGCGCAGATAACAACGAGGGGCGCAGCTAGTTTAAGATATTAATCTATGAAATTAAGGCTTATATCCGTCTTTGTACTCACGTGAGCGTTCTTGTTGCCCATATCACCATATATCGCAGCACGCACTGACCAATCCTCACCCTGAGGCGGTGTTTTGAAGGAAAACTGCTCGGACCAGCCGTATTCTGAGCCGGCATGATAGACTAGAAAGAGAAAAACCTAAACATTAAGTTCATTCTAATTAGTCGTTCAGTGAAGTATTTCCAAGTGGGACAGCCTCCGTGTTAAGCAATGACACATTATAATAATAATAATAAACCTCAGATATCTCACACACGGCAGTCTGGTTCCAACCTATTATATGCAGAGCCTGTACTATGATAACCAGACTGCTAATAAACATACTTATCTATATATTTATAAGAGATTTCCACGTATATAGTCACTCATCACGATATCTCTGGAACTATTAGAGCTAAAGACTTGAAATTTGGTAGGAATATTCTTTTCAACGAGTAGAGGTCAGCTAAGAACGGATTTTACGAAATTAAAAAAAAATAATTAAAATAATGTAAATAGCAAAACAACGTTTGCAGGCTCAGCTAGTATATTTATAAATACATACATATTATAGATAAACTACATCCAGATACGGAGCAAATGACCGTGCTTATCACACAATATTTGTCCTGTCCTGAATGTTTAATAACTACAATGTGGACAAAAATATAAGTCTATTTAAGAACCGAACGGTATTTTCGACTCGTTCATACAAGTCTTCGGTAGTATAGTGGTAAGTATCCCCGCCTGTCACGCGGGAGACCGGGGTTCGATTCCCCGCCGGAGAGATCTCTTTTTGTAATTAGAATTGAACTAGTTTTTACAATTCTCGAACATTTAAAAAAAAATTCTTAAATAAAACAACTATTTCCTGTTTTTTTTTTACTACAAGTTTACTATCCAAAATTGGTTCTACTGCAATCGCCGATCTAAATTTAATTACATTTAATCCTGTTATGTTGTCAGATATTTTTACAAGTAGACTTTACGCTAGAAAGCGTCGGTATTTCCTAAGACTAACTCTGAGAAGAAACGCTGAAACAAACAGCAGAGGTTTTTTTTTTAGTCCGTGAACAAAGTTAAAGAAACTATGCAACTACAGACAGAAAAAACTAATAGGTATCCTTAATTGCTACTTACCATATCTAGTGTCATACTCCAGATCTCGTAAAGTAACAGTGTGTATATACTGGCTGCGTTTGAGCAATCCACCATCTACGAACAACTTGCTTGTACCTGATACCGTTCTGTCCATAATACCCTTGCCAAATTGTACGACCGAGCCCTGTGTGTCGTTGAAGGTCGACCATGTTACTACTATGTCGTTTATTTTGTCTGAAATTATAAAAATTAAATAACTTTTTTAAGAAAAATTACTTTCTTATATTTACATACACCAACTTAAAAAGAAGGGAGCCATGGGTAACTAAACTTACTAATAAAGAAATTGCAATATAAAGAACTAGTCTTGTGACCAGTTGTTGTGTGTATTGTTGTTTGATACCATTTCACCAGTCAGTAAAGGGTGCAATATTTTTCAAAAGTACTGGCGCTGCTTAAGTAAACCTTCCTTACCCTACAAAATGATCTTGAGATTTGATGATTTTCTTAGCTGACACACAATACATAACTTAATACTCTGTCTTTTTTTTACAATACAACACACAATATATAAGTTATATAATATTTGAAACATGTGAAGAACTGCTGTAAAATTTTGGTATGCTATGGTTATTTCTGCTCTATTAGAACTTTACTGACAGTATAATCTATTTAAAAAATGTATTGGTTGCTTATCAGTCAGTTGTATTTGTTTACCTCTGAAGGAAGTAAATGGTGACATAAAATACTTAGAAGAAATTATTACAATCAGTATTTAATTAAAAATTCTAACAATAATTGAAATATAAACCACGATGACCTCCTTAGAGTACAATATGAAAATAAATATAAATATTTACTTAACCTTATCTAAATTGGACTAAATAATAATGGCTCTTAAAGTGTAATCAAAACAAGAATAATCTATAAATGGTCACACCACTGGTGTTATCACGATTTGATATTATTAATTTAAATACAACAGCACTACATCACAATATTATTAATTTAATATTATTAAACTAGCGTTCGTTCGCGTGGAATTTGAAAAGCGCTGCCTCAGTGGGTTTGATGCCCGGACCGGTCAAAATTTTGAATGGTTTTTCTGAGAGGAAAAATAGCCTAAGTTATTCCTTATGTAGACAGCTACCTGGTAGTAAAATATTATCTAAATCGGTTCAGCAAGATTACCCGGAACAAACCGACAGACAGACAAAAACTGGTTTAACAAACAAAAATGTGTGTTGTGGAAATAACTATGTGAGCATGAAAAAAACTTTCAATTTTGACATTACAAACAGACACTTCAATTTTATTTATTTGTATAGAATAAAGATATTTTATATATACATACACTCTACTCACTCACTCACTCTGAAGGGGTAAACAGAGAACAATTAATCAAACAATTTGCAAAATATTAGTCCCGCTTATGAAATGGGCATATGCCACGGAAGTACTTTATTGTTTGATATGAAAATTACCAGTATAGAGGAATTCCGTTGGGGTATTAGGGATTTTAATTCTAGGTTACAACTGGTTGCGTGGATACCGGTACCCAAAATGGTGTGCAGTTTTAGTTTGGTTCAAGTTAGACCAGTTGTCCAGTGTGAAATTTCACATGGCAAAGCGGAGTATGGGTACAGGAATGGTAGATAAGATTGGTATGCAGTGGCAGGAAAGTAACATTGCTTTTACAAATGGATTGCAGAATGTACGAAAAAACATTTACAAGTAAAAGTCTCATTCTGATATAAAAAATTAAAATTAAAATCTGACTGAAAGCAACAGTTAGTCATTATTAATATCTTTTATAAATCTTATAAAAGTATATAACAGAACTATTGTCATATTCATAGCTACCTCAGAGGAAGAAACAACTGTATTAACTAGTTGAAGGTTCAGGAAAAATCATTCATTAAAACACAAATAAAAAAATAGTAGTTAGCTTTTTCTTTTCCTGTTGTTATATTATTTACTAACTTAATATAATATATGTATATTGCTACACTATAGTGTAATATTGCATACGTATCATGAAGGAGAATCTAAATTACTGACAGACACAGGAAAAGACTATTTCATATTTTTGTAGGTATATCATCATCATCATCATCACAAACAGACTTTACTAGTCCACTGCTGGACATAAGCCTCTCCTTAGGAAGGAGGTTTTGGACTACTATACCACGCTGGCCAGACTGGCTGGTATAGGATTTATGTCAAGTTTGCCTTCTCTATGCAGTGCTGTTGTTCTGCGTGGTTTTTTCCCTTAGTCAACTCTTACAACACCCACGGGATGAATAGAGGTTGTGAATACAGTGTATTCTAATTCGTCAACACATAGACCCTAAAACTAACTAAAGAAAATCTGTAGGTACCCACCTACAGAAATATAAAACACTAGCTGACCCGGCAAACATTGTTTTACCATATACATTATTTAAAAAAAAAAAGTCAAAATAAAAAATAGGGGTATGAAAAATAGATGTTGGCCGATTCTCAGACCTACTACCTAGATTAAAAATTGATCGGAACTGAATTGAGACCAAACTTTTATTACGAGAATTGGCCTTCAGATTTGAAACAAAGAAGGCATATATGATAATGAGAATATTTTTATACTGCCTTCACGATAATAAAGTTAATGTATATATTCGATTAAATTGAAATAATCCCAGGGTTTAAAATCTATTGAATAATTACTGCTAAACATAAATATCAAACTGGATGTAAGAAGCCCAAAATCGAACTAAGTGGCGTGCAGTGGGAGAGGCCAATGCCCAATAGTGGACTGCGATGGGCTGATGATGATAATATCACACAATTACAAAACATAAGCATTTGCTGACATTAGATGTTTTACGAGAACTAATATTACAATTTCATACTTTGCAGACTTACCACCAAAGGATATGTGCACTTGTTCAGGCTGGCAGTAGGCGCAGTCGTATTTGACTCCAGGTCTGCTAACATTTATTGTTTTCCCCCAACTTACTCCTAAGAGAAACAATAAAATAAAAAACTTCATTTTAATTAAATTATAATTGCTTTGTGTTATGAAATAAGCATCACTGCGCTCTGTAAGTTGTGTACGATCGTTCGTGGCGTTGTGGTTAAAATCCGTTTAACTTTGCCACTTTGTTCTTTGTTATCAAGAAATATAACGATAGTACAACAACTAACGATGTTGACCAAAACAACGATAGATACTAGATGGTGACGAACCTGTATGAAGTCATTGTCACTAGTCAGTAAAAATCGATTCAATAATATCATTCGGGTTTCTAAATAATCGATTTAAATTTGTAATAAGTGACATCGCCGTTTTTTAAACATGTTCATTTTTCAAATGAATGACCACAATAATAAGATATGTCTGGATATATATTTGAATGGAATGAATTAACTAATTAGGGTTTATGATCTATTGATAGTATGATGGAATGACATGTATGATGTTTAACAGTTAACAAGCGATTTAGAAGAGTGGCAGATATACGATTGTATAAGTGACGTTGTCACCCCTGCCTCATTAAACAATATTCTGTTACCCTGTTCGTTCTCATGTTGTATTTTTGATGACCTGGTTATTAGTTAATAAAAACTGTCCCAAACCAGCCATTTTGGATAGTAGAGTTGTGTTAAGGTTCACAACATATTACTTTTAATATTTTAGGAGGAAGTTTTAACCGATTTGAAAAAAGTAAAAAGGTTATTTTATGAAGAAAATGCTGATTTTGTTTATTTTATAATTTTGGCCAAAACAATTTTATTTGTTAATATAATATAATAATCCACAGACGAAGGGCTTTTTATACTTACGATAGGCAGCAGCACGAAGCATTAACGATAAGGTATCAAATCGAGTTCTCATCTCGTTAAGACTACAGATAAACATCCTATTCAATAATTTATAGGTACTTTCGAAAACTATATGAAATAGAGATTTTTTTTTATTACTTTTGGCTAAACTGCCTATTTATTGACAACTAAAACAAAACATAATTATATAAACAAAACAAAATCCATAAATAAGGTACGGGGGATTGTAAAATGCAGTATATTTGGAGAAATAAAATAATACTATTACGTTTTCTTTTCGGTTTCTGAACAACACAACTGCCAATATCAAAAGTCACGCTTATTTCTTCCATAGATAATACACTAATGATTTCTTCATTCAACTTTATTGTTTACATTTCCAAGCTTTTACTCGTAAAACTTTCTACGAAGCATTTTATCGAAAATATTAATTTTGTTACAGGCGGTCGTTTGGTTGCTTTTGAGTGTTTTTAATAAATTCATTATGACAATAGGCCATTTACAATACGTGCCTATGGTGGAATTTATGGAAGTGTGAGTTAATAAAGTAGATCTCCACTTTTTGAATGGACGTTTTTATATTTTTATCCTATAGATGAAGTCGGTTATTTATAATTTTAGTTTTTAGGAAGTCTGTCCAGAAATATATGGTTAATCGCTACTGGGATTTCCTAAGAATAAAAAAATATAATTATTTGCTCAGTTTAATAAAACATTAATGTAATGAGTTATGGAAATCAGTATTTCTATTTACGTAATGGTAATTTGTCGCAGCCTTCTCGCCGTCCTCGAGGTGAGCATTTCATTCAAATGAATTGAATTGACCGACAAGTTAAACAGTGATGGAACACTCGATCCTAGGTCGGAGGAGCAATGGCGCAAGGTTTGTTATCTCAAGTTTCTATTATACCTATGAAAATATTTGTACGGGTATCTGCGGTATTTCCGGACCGATACGACCTTCAAACCTTTAAGAAAAAACGTACTCCTTCCTACAAGGCCGGTAACGCGTTTGTGACTCCTGAGTTGCAGACGTTCATGCCCATGAACGAGCGATGGTCACTTTGGAACAAACCTACCTTAACTATGTACATGTATACATATTTATAAGTGAGAAGTGCTTGTGTCGCACGCGCGAGTTGAAGAGTCTTAAAGTATTCTCGTATTATTATTGCTAGGTATAGCGTAGTGTTTCCTTGGCTGACACCGACACCAAAAATAACAATAATTGTAACTACATTACATTAATTTCATTTTACTTAGAACTCAAAAAAATATTTCGATCGTTGTTTGTTATTCATAGGTATATGTTGAGTTAGATTTGAAGTGGGTAGGTACCTGCCTTCTTGCTTGGTAAACACATAGATCGTACCTACATATTGATGAGTAGAAAAATTAAGTTGATTATTAAGTTGTAGAAGAATATGCATTTATTTTCTTACTTTTTAGTGCATAATAATTTCTTTTGGAAGTGTTTTTTCAAGTCGAGTTTTTTTTGTTAAAATTTTTGTTTATTTTTTTATTTTTAGTGAATCTGAAGTACTTATTGATTTGTCTGAATATGGGTACACCTAATAAACGTGCTGCTCTGCGAAGTCATGGAGAAACACCTATCTCAACAGAGGCAATCTACCTCGAGAACAATTTCAAAAGAAACTTGCGAAGAGCTCAAAAATAGACTTTCGAAATTGCGGCTTTACATGAAAAAGGTTTTGAACAGGGAAAATATCGGAAAACGTAGTCACCATCTCGGCTTGATCAACGATCGTCTATCGAATGAGGCGGAGAAGCAACGTGCAAACCGTCTCGGCTTGATCCACGATCGCTTATCACAAGAGAAGGAGGAGCAATGTGCCCACCGTCTCGGCTTAATCCACTATCGTCTATTTAATGAGACGGAGGAGCAACGTACCCACCGTCTCGGATTGCTTCATCGCTTAGCAAACGAAACACCTGAAACTCGTTCACTTCGACTTATACAGACAGTTAGAATTGCCACAGATTGCACCCTTACTGTAAGCCGTTAAGGAGTTCCATTGATCGTTATATTCGACTACGACAATTACTTCTGTTACTGTCCCTGTGGTGACGGATTAAGAATACAGAATGTCACCACTCCTTTTCATCCCTTGGTTGTCGTAAGAGTCGACTGAGGGAGCAAACTACGCAGGACAACAGCACTGCAAAGAGAAGGAAAACTTGAAACAAACCCTATACCAACGCGTCTGGCCAGCGTGGTATAGTAGGCCAAAACCTCTTTTCTAAGGAGAGGCCTATGTCCAGCAGTGGACTAGTAAAGGCTATTAATGATAACAATTACTTGACAATAACGACGTTACTGTAAGTGACTCAAATATCCGGATAGCCTATAAAAGATTCAGCCAAGTATCGTTAATTTGCTCCTAAGAATTGAAGAGTTCCGTGACTTTGTCGTTGATCCCATGATCAGAATCTAACCAAACTCTCTTCAAAGTATCCTTAAAGTACATCCATTCCAATAAAAAAAGAATTATCGAAATTGGTTAGCGTGATATTGGGTTATTCGTCTGTTTGTCGCGAACATACTGAATGCAAATTTAAGACATATGGTTTTCTCATGGATGCTATTATCAGAACTGAACCAAATTAAAATGGGACCACACGGGAAGCACCAGCTTTCAAATAAAAAAAGAATCATCAAAATCGGTTCACCTAGTCAAAAGTTCTGAGGTAACAAACATAAAAAAAAAATACAGTCGAATTGATAACCTCCTCCTTTTTTTGAAGTCGGTTAATAAATGTTACTTAACACCACTACAGCATACCTACAGATAAACATACCTGGGACCACTAATATAAGTAAGTAAGTATATAATATAAGATATAATAAATGTTGTAATATTATGTTGTAGATTCGAATACCGCAGCACAAGCAGCAGCAAACCGACTGTGGCTCCTCTACCAACACCCGAGGCTCATTCTCCTCCAGTCACCCCAGTAGGAGAGGATTGGAAGACTCCCCAAAAAAAACTCAAAAAAGCAATATAGGGAGCCTGACAGGGTATGAGGAAATGGAAAAGGAAAGGTTGAGATTAAAGAATGAAGAATTGAGAGTAAGAGAATATGAGATATGAGAAAGAGTCTGGCAGAGGGATGTAGAGCTACAATCAAGGTACATGGCTGGCGTTGATGAAACAGGCTATGGAATTTTTTGCTAGGCATATGGCAAAAAGTCATAGATGAAACTTATTTTTAATCTTTTAATTTATCAATATTTATTAAATGTACATAAATATATTATTACTATTTAACAATAAAAAAATATTTTTTATAAAACTAATCAGTCTAATTATTTTTCAACTAGCTGACCCGCGTAACTTCGCCTGCGTCTGTCAATAGTAATAAATTTTCTCCGTTTTTGAAACATTCTTCATTGGTGCTCCGCTCCTATTGGTCTTAGCGTGATGATATATAGCCTATAGCCTTCCTCGATAAATGGGCTATCTAACACTGAAAGAATTTTTCAAATCGGACCAGTAGTTCCTGAGATTAGCGCGTTCAAACAAACAAACTCTTCAGCTTTATAATATTAGTATAGATAATATTGAAAACTAAATTATTTGCGCAGTGTATTTGTATATTGATAACATAAATGTCTAATGTAAGTCATCTCCCGTATTGTTTTCATGTGTTGAAAAAATGTGTTTTCATGAAAAATATGATCAGAGTACCATCAGTGGTGCAGCTGTTTACATATGTCGCACCTTTATTCATAAACTGAATTAACTTAGAATTTCAAAATTGTGGGAAATCGCATTTAAAGTTTGACATTCATGTACGTGCGAGTTCGTCAAAAAGAGAACGACGGTCTCTTATCTCTGCCATTTTCATGGTATCGAGTCGGCTGTTGGATTGTTCGTGTTCTACGGATGAAGTTGATTTGGTATTTGTTGAAAACTCGAAAAACGTAAATTTTGAATTAATTCAGTTTATTATTAAAGGTGCGATGTATTGTCAATTGTCTTCAAGACGCTCGATTGGAACGGGCGGGAAATCAATATCAATAGCCAATACATCTCACACCTGCGATTCGCAGACGACATAGTGATCCTGGCGAAATCTCTGCATGATCTGGAAGTAATTGTTAACAGTCTGGACGATTCTAGGAGTGCCATAATTTTTTTTGTGCTTTTTCACTTCACTTACAATAAAACGTAAGGAATTGCTTTTATGGCACCCAACTATAATTTGGTAAAAAATAACTGTTAGCGTGTTGAACTTAATAACATTAGTATATTAAAATAAATAAATAAAATAACATTTAGACTGAAAGTTTGTGTCTGTGCCAGTCGCAAGCAGCGCGTTAACATACCTGCTTATACAGTCCACTTTGTAAAGAAATATATTTGTATCCACAATTAGTATTAAAAGGTTTACCACACTAGTCACACGTCTCGTCAATTATAAAAATCCCCTACAACAGAAATTGATCCTTATTGCCTAGAACATTTGGTCCTTCGAGCCGGATAAGGATCGGCGGCCAGCCGATGCGCTTGCGCCGTGAGAACAATAGACACCTGCATTCCTGAGCGATAAGGATTGAAAAAGATATTTTTAATATAAAATTATTGTGTTTTACGAAGTAAATTTGCATTGTTCTGGATCTTTCGTGACTGTTAATTTTATACTAATATGGAAGAACTTTTGGTGTATCAAAAAGAACTATTAGAAAATTTGAAAAGGGCTGAGAAGAACTATAAGAAGTCACCTAAAGACAGAATAAAAGCGCCGTATTTGGAAACAAGGTTAGAATCTTTAGAAGATCTTTGGAAGGCCTTTAAGGAGGGACACAAACATGTAATTTCAAAAATTACTAAAGATGAAGACAGGGATGATTCTTATTTTATAGAAGATACGTACGAAAATGGGACCACACGGGAAGCACCAGTTTTCAAATAAAAAAAGAATCATCAAAATCGGTTCACCTAGTCAAAAGTTCTGAGGTAACAAACATAAAAAAAAACAGTCGAATTGATAACCTCCTCCTTTTTTTGAAGTGTTAAATGTTACTTAACACCACTACAGCAAACCTACAGATAAACATACCTGGGACCACTAATATTTTATATAATAAATGTTGTAATATTATGTTGTAGATTCGAATACCGCAGCAAAAGCAGCAGCAAACCGACTGCGGCTCCTCTACCAACACCCGAGGCTCATTCTCCTCCAGTCACCCCAGTGGGAGAGGATTGGAAGACTCCCCAAAAAAACTCAAAAAAGCAATATAGGGAGCCTGACAGGGTATGAGGAAATGGAAAAGGAAAGGTTGAGATTAAAGAATGAAGAATTGAGAGTAAGAGAATATGAGATATGAGAAAGAGTCTGGCAGAGGGATGTAGAGCTACAATCAAGGTACATGGCTGGCGTTGATGAAACAGGCTATGGAATTTTTTGCTAGGCATATGGCAAAAAGTCATAGATGAAACTTATTTTTAATCTTTTAATTTATCAATATTTATTAAATGTACATAAATATATTATTACTATTTAACAATAAAAAAATATTTTTTATAAAACTAATCAGTCTAATTATTTTTCAACTAGCTGACCCGCGTAACTTCGCCTGCGTCTGTCAATAGTAATAAATTTTCTCCGTTTTTGAAACATTCTTCATTGGTGCTCCGCTCCTATTGGTCTTAGCGTGATGATATATAGCCTATAGCCTTCCTCGATAAATGGGCTATCTAACACTGAAAGAATTTTTCAAATCGGACCAGTAGTTCCTGAGATTAGCGCGTTCAAACAAACAAACTCTTCAGCTTTATAATATTAGTATAGATAATATTGAAAACTAAATTATTTGCGCAGTGTATTTGTATATTGATAACATAAATGTCTAATGTAAGTCATCTCCCGTATTGTTTTCATGTGTTGAAAAAATGTGTTTTCATGAAAAATATGATCAGAGTACCATCAGTGGTGCAGCTGTTTACATATGTCGCACCTTTATTCATAAACTGAATTAACTTAGAATTTCAAAATTGTGGGAAATCGCATTTAAAGTTTGACATTCATGTACGTGCGAGTTCGTCAAAAAGAGAACGACGGTCTCTTATCTCTGCCATTTTCATGGTATCGAGTCGGCTGTTGGATTGTTCGTGTTCTACGGATGAAGTTGATTTGGTATTTGTTGAAAACTCGAAAAACGTAAATTTTGAATTAATTCAGTTTATTATTAAAGGTGCGATGTATTGTCAATTGTCTTCAAGACGCTCGATTGGAACGGGCGGGAAATCAATATCAATAGCCAATACATCTCACACCTGCGATTCGCAGACGACATAGTGATCCTGGCGAAATCTCTGCATGATCTGGAAGTAATTGTTAACAGTCTGGACGATTCTAGGAGTGCCATAATTTTTTTTGTGCTTTTTCACTTCACTTACAATAAAACGTAAGGAATTGCTTTTATGGCACCCAACTATAATTTGGTAAAAAATAACTGTTAGCGTGTTGAACTTAATAACATTAGTATAGATATTTAAGGGGTAATGGCGGCGCGTGTAACCATTAAGACTGAAAGTTTGATTTGGCCTTGACTTATAAGCTATATAACTAATTATATTCAGTAACTCATTGCTGGCTACACAGCAACCTATTTTAGGTGGAAGATAACACGAAATGAAATAATATAAAGATAACTTCTTGAAAAGAAGTGATGTACATTCTTTAAATACCAGAAATAAACCTGTTATACCTGTCTCTAGGCTCCAAAACGTTGTGTTATTACTAGAGTAAGGAAGAAAGCAAATTCGTAGCGCGGCTGCGACCGCACTGTACAATTTATTTCTAGTCGCAATAAACCCGTTTATGGCATCGGATGTTTCATTTAAAGAAAACAATACATTCTAATAACAACTGTTTATTCAGTCATAACGCAAAAATATGCTTATTTACTTAATTATATATAACTAAATGGCATATAAAATGTATTAAAATATTATTTACAGGGACACTTACAAATTAGAGTAAAATTAAAGTTTATCATTGTGTTTATTGATTTGTACTTTAGGTGAACAACAAACGATGAACACATTAGAAATGATATGAGAGTCAGAACTGGTCAACACACGTTATCAATTACCCTACGGAACAAGGTCATTTAATTAAATTGTTAAAGATTCAACAATACATAAACTTTGAACAACAATCAATTTCAGCCAGTAGAGACCCTCATCGACACAATTTTCAACTCAACAGTTAAGGCACCAAAAATGATCAAAGACCAAAATTCATATAAAAATAATTACAGCATACCGAAGCTAGCCTCTCCTTCACTTCTACTGTGCCTACTAGATTTTCTAATCAATCCCAAACTCATTTCACCTTCGCTCCGCAAAGGCAATATACCTGACTGGCCGTCTGAGGTATAATTAGATGATGAAAGAGAAAAAGCAGATTCACAATCAGAAGAAATCTTGCGTATAATATTTTTTTCTATCATTCTTCTAAGTTTTACTTCACCTAGACTACTTAAATCTGAAGAGTCAGCTTCTACAGAACTTGTACTTGTTATTGAACGATTAAGGTTACTCTTTTTAGCATTTGCCGCTTCTATGGTACTTTTTCTAGCTTCTGATAAAGCTCTTTCATGTTTTTTGCTTGTTCTTGGTATACTACCTTCAACATTTGACAAACCTTCTTGAGAATTTCTTGGCAAGCGCAAACTAAACCTAGGAGAAGATAAATTTACAGAAATATCTAGATCTTGTTCATTTAGTTTAGTTTCCAATTTGGTATCGTTTCCATCGGTGACAAATACTAAAGGGCTGGTGTGATGATCGACTGTTATAGTTGTGAATGGCGATGTTGTCCTCGTTTTAGTTCTAGTTGGTGATGTCATAACATTTTTTACATGCGCGGGAGAAGTTTGAGTATTTTTTTGAGATGCTACAACATTCACTTTATTTTTATTGACCTCCTCAGATGTAGAGGGCTTAGCTATATTCTTTTCTAACATATCGCCGTATTCTTCAACTATAAGTTTTTTTATAAACTCTTTTTCCAATTCAAACATTTTTTCTACTTGGCCTTTTGGGTCAATAGTGGGCCAGAGATCGTTGTGTATAGGTTGTACATTTGTCTCACTCCTAGGCGTGGTTTGAGTTTCCTTCGGTGATATCCGTTGCGTACCAATACTTTGTGTTGCAGAATCTTGTGTAACAACTGGGTGTACAAACTCAAAAATATCAACTTTAGTTTTTAAAGACAAATTTGGTTTTTTCGTATATGTCAAATTGTGCACGTTTATATTGGATGTACTTGGTCCTGCTTTGATGTCCCTAACTTTATCTTTATTTTTGTTCGCATTATCGCTCCTTTTACTACTTTCACTGGAATGTTTACTGTACATTTTTGGGTCCGATTGCCCAGAGTTATCAGATTTTTCATCCTCAAAATCATCAACGTAGCTTTCATTTTCTTCAGTTTCATCGGTGTCGCTTAGTACAGGTTGTAGTTTTGGATCACTATCTGTGCTTTTAATATTTTTAGATAAAGTCTCACTTACTGTTTTCTCAATGTCGATTACTTCTTGCAGCAAATTTTCGTCGGAAGTAGTCAGAACTTTTAATTTATCTACATTTTTGTGTTTTCCGGGGTTTTTCTCTACGAAAGAATTTTCCCGACTTCCAATGATTTTATCAAGTATAGGACTTAAGGGTATATTGTTTTTATTTGGCATCTTAGATATTTCTCTTTCAATATCACTAGCTCTTGCACCGCCAATAGTGAGGTTTGAGTATGGTATATACTCAGCATTATTTAAAGAGCTAGCTTTAGTTGAAGCGTTTTGTGTAGTATTTTTCTTTTTAGGCGAGACTTTAGGTTTGTTCTTTACTTTAGTTCTACTGGAAGAAGGTCCATAAACGATATTAAGCTTCTTTCGCCATTCATTAAGATTTGCTTGTGATCGTTTATCTGATTGTTTTTTAGTAATTTCTTTTTGTAGATTAGACCGAACGATATTTGTCAGTAATCGTTTTTGTGTTTTTAATTTAAATTGAGTGTCAGAGCTTACATTAGAGACACTACTTTCGCAAGGTGACAACTTGGAAACTTTTCTTACTTTCGGCTTAATTATTTGCTTGCTTTCTGTTGTTTTATTAAATTCATGAGTTATCGTAGTATTGAGTACTGGTTTTGGCGGTTCTTCGTGCTGCGCTGCCACTACAGCTACATTCTTAGTGACCATATCCGATTTTTCAGATTTGTTATTCTCAGGAAGAATGTCTAACTGTAAAACCTTCTGTTCCTTCAATTCACTTCTAATATTTATACTTGGCATCACTTGTACTTGGAAATTTTTGCATGGCGTATTAAGCTTAGGTTCTATATATTTAAAAGAATACTCGCTATAAGCTACTGGAGCATTTACTATTCTACTATTATTCATTTTTTCAGACTTTGTGCTATCTTGATTACCATCGATTTGTATCACCTTAGTGCGTGTTACTCCTAAATTTCTAGTAAGAGGCTTCTTAACTATTGGCGCGGTATTTAAATGAGGGTTAGCATTATTTTTGTTAGATTTTTGTATATTATCTTTAGGACTGACATTGTACTCAGGCCCGTGCAAGGGTTTATCAATGATTTTGTACCCGTGGAATTTGGCATTTACAATTTCTTCAATATGAACTTTTTCGTTAAATTCTTCATCTAATGGTGTAGGCGCAGTCTTGACTTGCACGCCCGGTTCGTGAAATTTCGTCAGTTCCCCGGAGAGCAGCTTGAGGTCATCCGCAGTCGATTGCAGCATTTCATGCAGTTTCCTTAATATTATTTCATCTTCTGGTTTTAAGGCTGGCTCTGTGTTCCATAAGTCATCATCTATAATATTAACGATCTCGTACTTTTTGCTGCTTTCGACCTGTAAACAAGTGAAGTTAAATTCAGTAGGTACCCCAGTTAACACAATTATGTCAAACTGATGTCAGAATGACGTCAGGCCATGTCATGATAGATAGTCATATATGATTCATAATTTCCTACTTCTTGACTTAAGATTCTTCCGCAAGATAGATGACGTAAATATGACCGCTGCTTATGTCCTGCATTCGTCTAAGAAAAAAGAATGCCGGGAGACTATCAGGCTTAGGATACATTTTTCCTTAAATTTGCAAGACGTTGACCTCTAAAATGTTTTTATTGCTCACCAGGACGCTTTCAGTGACAATAAATTACCAACGGGACCGGTATTGACCGATGCTACATGTTTTTTAGATTAGATATTTGTCTAAACATTTTCGTTTAATTATCACGGGACAACAATATTTACTTCTTTGATAATATTTTAATAAGAATATAAATTTTTATTTTTTTTTATTTTGTTGGATTTGATTCTTAGGCTTAGGCTGTTAAAAAATTTGTTACGATTCCGAATCAAAAGTAAGTAACTAACGTCACACATATGATAGGGATAGGATATACTATTTACGTAATATTTAAGTCACAATCATGACGTCGCATAAAATCTAATATTTGGTCTATACTATGACATCATTTCAATGTCATCATTAATATAAATTTCTATGTACATCTATTCTATGGTCATGTGTTCACTGGAGTACATTAACAGGACAATGATGTCAAGTATTCCAGAGACTTCATTTAATTTTTTAAATGGTGACAGCGATAAGAGCAACAGGTGTTTCGATTATTTATAGCGTCCAGTGACCACCAGACAAGGCGTGTGTTTGCTCTCTAACCAAATTATGTCCGAGGCAAGGAATGTAAAAATTGTTTACCTAAATCCTCTATTCCCATACTATTAGTTATACACATATACATATAACTCAAGGTATGAATTATTTTGCCTTTTAACGAAAACACGTTTCGAATGAAACGACGAAAGCCTAGTTTGTTGTCTAATTGTAGGTAGAAATAATGCTTTTTCATGTATTTCGGCGGGTTCACACAGAGCGAGCAGCGTCACGCGGTAAAAGCCTCGCGAGGCTGCTCCCTCTGTATGGATTCGCCTTTTGACTCTGCAATTCTATGGTTAACGATCCCATAAATCTTCGATTTTACTACCAGATTAATTTATTGTACTTTTTTAAATTTATTTCAGGACCTATTTACTTTCCTTAGGAATAAATGGTTCTAGTAATCTCCTTTCTAAGGAGAGGCCTATCTATGTCCAGCAGTGGACCCCGATATTCAAAATGACATTTGGATTGTAGGAAAGATTCATCCCACTATTGATTTCATCAGAAACATTACTTTAGTTTTATCTATATTCTTGTTCCAATTATACATAGTTGCCTAACAAGAGGTGTCATTACGTCCATAAGTTTCTTTGTCTGACTAAGCCCATATCAGTTTCTATATTTAGCTTTTAGCACTCTATCCATACAGTTATACACAGATACTAACCATATAGCGATCGACTGGGTATTGCGTGATGACGCTTCTCATCTGTTGGTCAGGCACAAAGGTTCCGGCATCCTCTCTGATGGTGCTCCGCTCCGTTCTATTAACAAAAATTAAAGTTATTCTTGATATTTAAATATTTGAACATCAAAGATTATATATATATGTTAAAAGAAAAGAGGGCGGAAATTATTTAATTGTCCTATGGAAGGACAATTTAAGTTAAGAAATAGGCTGAATGAGGCAAAATATTAAAATAGGGAAATCCTCTACTGGTGTTTAGTAAAAGTGTGTTCTATTTCAATGACAATAAAAAAAACGCGTCAAAAAACAAATTCAAATCCACAAAACAAATTTAAATGTGGCATCTGAAAAGAGACTTTTACTACTATTCTAATTCACAGGACTACTTTAATTCCTAACTTTTACAAACAATTTACAATATTTATTTCACGGTAAATAAAGGAAATCGTGATACATACAGCGTCAAGGTAACGCCCCGTTTAGGAGCTATTACGAGTTCGTATCCTGTGTTAAATCTTTCTTTTTCAAAAATAATAACCTTTTTTCAAAAAACTATGTAAAGTTACATTGCATATATTGTATATCCAACAGCATAGCACAACACAATTTGTTTGTTTGTCGGAGTATTCATTCTAAATATTGTTTGATTTAGTCAGATTTATATAACTATGAAACGGTAAAGACAAGTCATTATTTTTTTTTGTCCTTCTCCAAATTGTATTGAGGACATTCGATTGGCCGATCCTGTATGTTTCGCCTCCACAACACCATTCTGTTCAAGTGTTCTAGATATGACTTGTCCACCTACCCATTAATATAGGTAGAGAATGAGTTCCCTGAATGATTATAGATAATATATTTTACAGGTAGAAAGGGTAAATAAAAATGCGTAAATATACAAAATCACATCAATTGTATTTCACCAACATTTACATTAACGTCTTAATCAAAGCATTTCACTTGCTGCTTACAGTAAGAAAGACACATGTCTCAAAATTATATATATTTTTGTGTCGATGAACTATCGACCACTACAAACAAGCCTATGGGTAAAGGCGGACAATAAAAGTTTGATATGTTACTTGTACGTCTATATGAACATGTATTCCAAATTGATCTCCCTGGCCCAATGTTAAGCCTTGAGGCACTCCGTTTAAAATATACATACATACATACCACTATTGAAACATAAGATATCTCAAGAGAAATGCTAAGGTCTAAGGTCATAATGTACGATACAAAAATTACTAAAACGGACCTAATTTTGTTGAATGTTTTTAGCACTAGTGTTGTTATGAATGAATGAATGTGTCAAACGTCTAAAAAAGTTCAGTAAGTACTTTACGCAGTCGATATTGACGTACAATTAACACAACAAAACAATAATAAAGAAATGCACACAATTCGTGCTTACATTTTTCACCTTTGCCAATTTTGGCGAGAATTAATTAACATTTTGACACACCCGTGGACCGGGGCGACTTCCGCTGATAATACTAATATCAATTTCGAATCTATCAGAAACGTGACCTAAAATGGAAAGCCACACACGGCAAGAAAATACGGTAAGTACATTATCACATCTAAAACGAATAGATTTGACGTACATAATTTAATTAAAATGATATCAGTTAAAATACCAACACATGAACAAGAAAAGAGGAGAACGCTCCGGTGGATATGAAAGTTTTGATTATTAAAGAGTTATTGTTAAGCAAAATCAAATTTCATTTTAGCCCTTCGAATTTCAAATCACGAATAATATAGGGTTTAAAATAAAGAATAATAAACACCATGGGTCCATGTCCTAGTAATACTGGATCAATAGCCGCGACTGTGTTGGCTGTATACCAATGCTATCTAAAATATTTACAAATAGACGAAATATATACAACGTACGTAATATGTACACGAATAATATCTAAAATAAATAATCGACATATCAATTTCATTGTATGTTCTAACGTTTAATATTTAAAGACACTGTATCGTCTCGATTAACAGATATATAAAAAACTATCAAGTTATTGAGATTGAAGTAGGTACGATTACAATTGGATAATCATCACAAAGACAATAACTTAGCAATGAAGATTCCGATATAATTCAGAAAAAGTAATCATTGCACGTATCCTAATAGCCAACAACTAGAGTACCTATAGAAAAATATAGCTAGTGAAGTCTCGATCAAATCGCACAATACGGAATCTGCTGAGAGAACACAAATACGCTAAAACTAAGGGGTCCTCGTCTGATAGCTTTCGAAACTGACGTACACTACAAATCGTTAATATTATGAGTTATGACATATATATTGATAATAATATAATGATTACTTCACTTTATACAAATACAGCAGCGAGTTTTAAGAGTTCCTATATCGGCCGCGTGTTTGCGGTTTTCACAATTTGACATTTCACAAAATGACTAGGTACGCCCCCACACGTATGCAAAGCGATCTCGCTAATACTGCCGCCTGCCGACGCGTATGCTGCAACACAGACTCCAGGAACTGAGTAAAGCTTGCAGCAATCGCGACCTACGCCCACAACTAAAGTATAACTTATCCTTAGAACATAATCAACTCATTAGACGCGGGCCAACACGAGCCCTGCGTACTAGTAACTACAATTTTAATTTTGATTGTACTCCAATTGTCGAAAAACGTTAATAATAAAAAATTCAAAGGTAAGCAATTTTTTCGCCAAATTCGAGACAGTAACGGAACTCGAGCCACTCTGAATAAATCGCTTCATATTAAATCAAGTCTATTTCACATGCTCTGTCAGTAATATTAATACAAATATACATCAAGCTACGGTCTGTACAGAGAGCGATGTGCTTCCGTTATCAGATACCTACGTTTTTACAATCTGGACTACATAAAATATGTCATGATTATTACATCGTATAATACTTGCATAGTATATAGAATAGAATCACATAAATAAATGCCATGTTCACAATGGTTCGGAACCTAAGGGTAACTAAGAAAATGGCATCCGGAGAAATAACTGCTCGCAAAGCAGCGCACCATCCTCGAAATGTAACGTCAAGCCTGTACTGCGACGAGTTCAGATCATCACATTATTTAGTGAGTTGTGTCAAACGTTGACACAAACAGTCAAATTCGTCAAAAACACACGTTCCATATTTGGCATATCGCACCCCACCACGATCAGGGACACAATCTTTATGACGATTCGTATCGGACCCAAAATAAATAAAATGTACGGTACGATACGTCAAACACAGAGCCCGCCAGCACGGCTAGCGCCGCTCATCGGCCGCGAAAACCCATATCCGACCGTCGATAGCTATCGGTGAGCGAACTAAAGTTACAGTTGACTATTTACAAAATTATATACAAGTTATCGGTTTGTACGGACGAAGGCCTAGCCCCAGGCCGTGGCGGAGGCACGCACGACGTCATAACCGCTTGTGGGCGTGCACCGCGCTACATTAGCGCTGTGCTACTCCTCTCAGTTATTGTTCATAACGAGAGGGACAAGAGATAAAGTCGGGGCAGCGCTGCGTTGCCCTAGGTCTCCCTTTCCTTCTTCGGCTTAAACTCCTCGCCGAGAATCGTAGCGATCTCGCCTTGCATAAATGCCCACGGAACTGTTGAGTTAGCCAGTGGACACTTTTCTCCGCTCGGACAGTAAACCTGCGAAAGATTGAAAGTTTCTTTTACTTCCCGAAATTCGAATGAACTCACTGAACTATCTCATATACTCATGTGGCTTTAGAAATATGTTGAAGAAAGCCATTAAATATTGAACTCACCTCTGATCCTTGCTGTCGCTTGATGGAATCCCTGGAGCAGGGGAAACAGAATTTGTGATGCGGCTGACTAGGGCACTGCACGAAGTGTGTATCCTCCAGGCGCTCTTGACAGAGAGTGCATTTGAGAAGCGGCGCAGGCGTAGGTGCTGTGGGTTCTGTGCCCTCTCCTGCCTCCGTCGACGACACCGATGTCGTCGACGACACGTGCCGGGAGCCCGACGACCGCCGCCCGCCGTTCGACCCTGCCGGAACGGAGTATAATCGTTAGCTACCGTCTGCTATACGCAATTTGTCAGTTTTGGGAAAGTGTGTGTGTGTCGCGCTCGTGATATGTCAGCAGACTGTAGCTGGACGGTTTGGGCGCAAGCGGTCGTCGGGCGCCACGCCGGAGGACGGCCAGCGCGGCGATCGGACGCCCGCCCGAGTCCGACCCGTCACGAGATACGACACGCAGTGAACGCGGACTACCGTTACTCGGCACCGGTAAGTTTCGAAAAAACGAACTTGTTCGCAACTACTTTCTTTTCAACACGATACACTGACACGTTTAATTGGTGTGGGTATTTTACAACGGTACGAAGTGAATTTAACTCAAAACAGGTTTCGTGTTTCATATACTTTGTTTTGAAAAGAATCACTATTTATAGTTGATTCCATTTATTTTCGAGGATGAATCGATTTGTACCTGATGAATTAGGCGAGTGTTGACTTGAACGGCTTGCGGATCTTTGGGGTGGCGGTTGTGGTGGCGATCCACCGGCTGAGCGTGGAGAGCCAGGGGGCAACGTGTCGGTGACTGACATGAGAGCAGCCATTGGCGAAGGTCCCGCACCTCCGGCACCCGTTACTGGTGGAGAGCCAGCTGTGCGGCCAAGCGGTGAGCTCGCTGACCCATTTGTCAACGGTGTTGCGTTACCATATCCTGCGGATAATAATGAGTTCTCATCAACACGTTACGTAGCGTTAGAGTGCGTGATATTAACAAAAGTCGACACTGTGTTGGCATATTTTCTTTTTGTGTTTGTAATCGTACGTTTATGAATCACTGAATGCCTATTGAATAAAATTATGACAAGTAGTAGTTACGAAAAGTGAGGGGAAGCTCTGTTACGAAAGAACGATTAATTCAATTGAGTAAAAAGAAGTAAAAGGAAACATTCAATTAATATGCCACAGTTCAGAATAGTATTTGGCACAAGACGTAGAGCGCGACTTTCGACGTTTGGCGTTGTACGACATCATTTCAGTTTGTTCGAATAACCCCACATTCAATGTTGGATGACACATCGTTTGCGGTGGACCGACGGATAGTAAACACACGCTCACACGCGCATTCGCCGTATAAATAGCATTGTGTGTTAATACGAGCTACGTAGCGCACAGTGATGTGTCACTGGCTGGTCACAGCGTCGCCACGGCGGCGGGCCTTACGGAGAGACTCCTGTAGTAGGCAGGCACCTAAGTGTAATAATAACTGAAGAGTCGAATGGCATTCTCGTATCAACTCGTATGTGCAACCAGTCGTGTCGCGAAGGAGCGCCCGCACCGCGCACCGCGACGTTGCCAAACGTCAGCGAAGTGGGACCCGTATGTGTAACGATGTTAGCCGTTGCTATGTTACGAAACTTTTATTTCGATTTCAATTCACACTGACACATTAAACGTGTTAAATAAACAACAAAAATAAAACAAGTGGCTGCCAGCATATCGTAACTTATTTTTTTATGCGCGCTTATTTAACTGGAGCCCTATGAGTTTAGTAAAAATCCAACGATGTGTACACGATAGACGATCGATATACTTATTTCATGTAGTTAGGTTCAATTTTCATGTAAAGTATGATAATGTTTATAAATATATCCATGTTAGAAAAAGACAAGACGTGTTTAGTAAAAATCCCTTTATCTCTATTTTTATCAGTTTCGTTGAAATGACAATATAGAATAACGCAGATTTTAAATTAATTTTGAATTTGGCGATTTGGAGGATCATTGATTTATTCATGAGCGTAGTGTGAAAGGGCTTGTGTTTATGATTGGGTGGTAGTGTGCGAAGGCACGTCCCATATGGGTTCGCGTGACGTCATGTACGGTGACCTTTTTGGCCGGCGGCTCGCGACGAGCGCCGCGGCCGCGCTCCCTACACACGCCAGCGGAATGTGGTCGAGCGACTCTGCCAAGCGTAGGCAGGCGCTATATATTTTTTCGCTCGTCGGCCTACCTACATACGTACGCGAGCGAAAATGTCGTCACGCGACGTTGCCACACCGCGCCATGTCGTGCATGCATTCACGGCGCTGTGGCGCGTTTACATTACGTGGGTGTATGTACGTAGCGCGGTGGTGTGCGAGAGGCCGCGGGCGCGGGCTCGCTTTCGAGAACGCTCAACCAGTCGAACCGGTTTCGTATTTATGGACTGAGTTAATGCACCTACCTAGATATGAATCCCGTGGCCGACGCTTGCGCAAAACATCTACTCTCATCCGTCTGAGCACGTTCACATTCGTTAGCTATCGTTCATGTTATCAAACTACGCGTGACTTTACAAAATAACTTTTTTATTTTATGTAGGTTAGGTGCTCGTTATTTGTAAACAATAGACTAGTGGAGTACATTTTCGTATGAATTAGTCGCATATCGTTAACATTCTAGTTATTCAGGCTTTTGAGTTGCTTTTTAAATACATTTAGGAAACCCTGTACCCATGTTAACACTAGCTGCTTCGTTACTGTCAATATTTCGTTTGTTAACGTCGACGTCACAGCCTATTACCGTCCTAGATGAGTACTCTATCAAAAAAAAAAGTTATTTTAAAAATCTGATTGATAGTTGCAGAAATAAGGATATTTAAACTAACAATGAAACAAAATAGATTGATAGATTAACTATATAGATATATATTTTAACTATAAAAAGTTTATAGGAATCGGTACTATATATCATGTGTATTTTTAAGTATACCAAGATCTTATAATAACCATATTATTTAATCTGTTTTGATTTTCTATTATAATAAGCAAGTTGTTACACGAGGCGTTAATTTAAAATTAAAATAATTCATTTCCTATTTTATTACCACTACACCACAATCATATAAAATTTACAAAAACAAACCGAGAACATCTAATCAGAAACAAAAAAATACGATTGTCCATTGTATGTTAATTTTTAAAATTTTATAGTTTTTATGTTTACCCCAAAATATGTAGAAATATTTATAAATATTAATTATTGTATTGATACACGGATTTACAGGCTTGATATGTTTCTACCCTACAATGTTTGCTTGCGTTTATGGTGGTATTATTCTGATCTTAACGGTCGTAGTGATTTAACTCATAGCCGATAAGTTTCCCTAATGAATGTCCATCCAATACAAAGAAAATTGATCAAATCTGGCTAATATTTCAAGAGATTTACGAGTTTACAGACAAAAAACAACTATTTAGTTTTATTATTAAACATTTCATGTTAAGGATTTAAAATCTTACTCAAAAAGTGTGTATTTTTAAATATTTTGCATTTAAAGAAGTGTCAACTTTTGCTAATAAATATTATTATCAAACTTTTACTAGTTAAAATTGAAATAAGTAAAGGAATTTATTCAATTAAATCTAAAAGAAGTAACTGGTGCAACACTTACCGTTGGATTTGAATGAAGCGGCATCAAAAGAAGGAGTACGCATCGGATGTTTCTCTTGTTTGAAAACGCGGTCTGGGGCGAAAGGAGCTGCTAGAGATACTGCTGGTAAAGAGTCGCCACGAGTTAGAGGTGGTCTCGTGTGTTCTTCCAACAGTCTCTTTGCAGGCTCGTGATGATTCTGGTGATCGTCATCATCCAACGGTCTTTTTAAAAGTCCAGGCGCAAGTCGCGCTCCGCCATGAGTGGGCAAGTGGTGAGTAGGTAAATGTGGTAGCCGTCTACCTTCGTGCTCCTCACGCCGACCGCCATATTCTGCTAACAGACCAGCACTTGCCGATGGTCTTGGATGATGTAGAAATCCTGTGGAGGGTGCGTGATGGGCAGGAGGAGCCGGTTGACCTCTTACTGTTGTTTCTGCCCCATTTTGATGAGCTTCTAGAGGTGCCCTATGTGCACCTTTGGCATGCGTTGTCCCGCGCCCCTCCTGGAACCCATGGGCACGCTTTAGCTGCCTAGCAGTATCGAGAACAACTTCAATCCGATCTGCACCTTCGTAATTAACACAACCACGACAGACAGCCTCTGAAAACTCGTGCAACATCGCCCACGGCATGCGGGGCAAGTCGCACAAGTAGCAATGTTGCCGTTTCTGCATCACCGACATCTCGCAGCCGGGTGTTGATCGGTGTGCGAGAGTTCGGTCTTCTTCGTTTCTCTTGAAAATTGTCACAGATTTATCTTGCTGAGTATGATAAACACCGTCACCATGGTACACAATAAGCACAATTCACATTCGGTTTCGCACGGACGTAGGATACCGGACGTCTGTAACGTAAGAGACACTCGCTCTGAGAGCGGGTCGACGAGAGACTGAGCTGTGAGCTGGGGTTCGTGGTAGCAGCGGGGGGCCGGGGCGGCAGCGGCCATTATCGAGCGGTGACGTCAGCGCGCGCAGCACGACGACGACGCGCCGAGGACGAGCCGTTAGCCGCGACGCGGATGCGCTACCACCACACACCGCACACCGCCGCGCCGACACACAATCACACAACATGCTTATCACACGATAACGAACACGATACATGCACTACGTTCACGCCTTAGCAGATGCAATGAGGTTATTGCTGAATATGTACTTTTACAAACATTCCACACTTGATAATCCAATATGTTTAATCATGAAAGGATAATTTAAGAACATTTGAATTGTTGGTAACTGTATCTATTGGTACACGACACCAAATTTTAATAATCTGATGGATTGTTAACTACTCTGAGTATAACTAAATTAGCAAAGATTGACGAAATAAATAAAATACAACGAAAAATATTATTTGGTGCCATGACTCAAATAATCCACCTAATAAATTTTCAAAAAGATGTTGATGAATTAATTAATTAGAAGTACATTGTAACTAAATAAATGTGAGTCAGCCGATTTAGTTACATAGTAAGGTAGCAGCGAGTCGTCGATTATTCTAATAACAGTCTATATTATTCAACGAAAGTAAACAGCATCTGTTGTAGAATAACAATTAGTGTGAACACGTATAACAGACGTGTTCGATGCATTAAATTTCAATCTATTCTCGCTCAGTTTCCTTTCTGACGGCTGCATTCTAAATTATTATTACCAAGCAACACGATCGGATCCGGCTGGAAGACGGGAGCGCCAAGCGTGCGGGGGGACGCGACCGGTGTGGCGGCCATCTTGAGACGTGACGTCACGTGACGAGTCAGCCGAGCGAGCGGTGTGGCAACGTCGCACTCACCGCTAAATACCGCCATGTTGCCGCTCATTTCTGTTGTGCTTTAATAATAATGAAGGCGGCTCATCGCTTTTTGTATGCGACCGAGGATCGGAGGAAAAACAGTTATGCGGCCAGGTAAACGTGAACGTAGATGTCGGACCGGTGATTGTAGCCACGCGTCGACAACCACTCAACGATATTATGCTTTTACCAAACGGTGATTTCAAGAGATTTTGCCACATTTTTTTCGAACCGGAAATGGAATCTACAAAGTACTTACGAGTACGGACACTACTAAATTAATAATATATAACAATAATATTTATTACATTATAGATAGGAGATGCAGTTAGCCTAGGTTAATTATAAACTAACTAATCACACTTGAAATAAAGGCGACCATTTACGACTAGGTACCTATGTAATAGGATTTAACTTATAGATTTTATATCAAATGAGCGAATCAGCATGATTATGACATAACTATTTAAAAGAGATTATATCAGATCAGGTAAAGTAGATATGCAGACAAACAAAGCCAATGGGTAATCAATTAGATACTGATATCGATATCGAATTATTCAGATTAGTGACGTATGTTTTGCAACGTCGAAGAAATACGGCATATTTAGCCGACACAGTTTTATATTTGGATGTTTTCCAACCAGTTCATAAAACCAGCGTCGACAAATTGGACAGTCTTTGTGACGAGAACACAGGTCGAACTTCAAATGTTTTTGGCCAAAGCACTCCTGCCAATTTGTATATGCCAATCAAGTAATCAAATTTGCCTTCAGACCAGTAACACCTCATCAGGAGTAAAGGAATAATTGGATTCAGTGCCAAGTAATTTAGAACTGTTCGACTTTATGTACAGTTAGTTAGTCTTTACTGTAGGAACTTAATTAATCCAACGTGAAGCACTATCAAATCATGTAAACAGTCAACTCGCTGACAAACAATCAAATCCCTTGATTAAGGTACGCTGGCAAATTTTAACACTAATCTAATTAATGGGTAAACCTAGAAAGGGAAGCAAACTCATTTCAAAGCTTGTAGAATAATTAAATTGATACTTGTTCTATTTTGATTTTTATATGATTACCTAGATTATCTAGATATGTATTTAGAATTTAAAAGTCATGAGAAAACGTGTCAAACAAAGAGCTTAAAATGAGTCAAAATTTGCTTGCGAAGTTACGTAGTTCCGTCAATTTAATTAAGAACAAATAAACTCTTTCCACGTAACTATTGGTAGTGAGTGTCATTGAACAATGATCAGTAACAGTTTATTGACGCTTGCGCAAAAGATACCTCGGTCAAAAGTATTGAAGCACGTGGTGAATATTGTTTATTTACATCCCGCAAGTTGCAGCACGCACGCGATGCCTGATCTCACTATTATCTAACATTCAACAACTAATCAAACGACATGCGTGCGTAATCATCGCTAGAAAGGAGAAAATTTTCAACGGGCCTTATATCGGCGTCAGTGTCTACAATTTGGTTATTGATTTTGTGCACGCCTTAAAGCACAAAGGATTGTAAAAGGTTTGTATTCGTTGTACGAGAAGGGATTTTTGTAAAGAAACCTTGTTGAGAGTATTTTAACAAGATTTGATGGAATCATTATTTCAAGAATTGACGACATTATTATTAAGTATTCATTTGACACTCTTCAAGGAGCATCATTGTAAAGATTATTTAAGTAACCGAACGCTTGACAAACCGAACACAAAGATTGGGTTGAGCTGGCGTTTTTTTGCAGAATGGTGGATAATTGGTAAGGAGTGCGGTGGGGCGGTAGGGTCCATCACGTATATTGTGCCGGGAGCAGGGAGCCCGGATCGATGGCCGAGTGCGTGTGCACGACGCATGCGCAGGCCCGCACCCATAAACACGTGTCAATGTTTATTTACGTTCCGTTCACGTATTAACTAATAAACTTACACAATCAACGGTTTAGTTATCGCTGCTGAGTTCCTTTGTGTATGTGTTAAACATTGTTTCAGGAAGTTATATTTAGTGTGTTACAAGAAGTTGAGAAGGCTTCCAATAGTTGCATTAATTACTATGCGCAGTAACCCGGCATTGGAGACCTGGCGCATCTGCTTTGCATTTGCGCTATTTTTTTGTTATTTTTTCTAGAACGCAGTAACACCCCATGATGTTCCAAATTTTCATATTTTTGAATATTGTATTAAGTATTTGTGTGTTCCGTTAATGTTGTGACTTTGTGTATTTGTGTGTTCCGTTGTGACGAATTTCTTTATAAAAAACAATACCATCGTATGTATTGGCTTAAGATAAGAAATATCCCTTATAATGAAATGGCTAGAGAAGTCTTCTCCTAGCTTGAAAATGTGTACTGAGTCTACAGTCTGATGAACACATAGTTACCTACAATAAAAAACAAATAGTTTAAAAATCTTGCACTGCACCCCCCACGCTTTCTTTTACGAAAAAATGATTTCTTTTCTACTTCCAGAAAATTATTTTCTACTTTTTATAAAACTGGTTACAAAAGCGCGTTTTTTCTAAACCAAGGTAATTGATTAATTAAAGACTAAAAAAGTAACAAGAAAATTAGTCACATAATGCTTCAATGCATAACTGAAGTTGTTGAAATTTTAGATATGGAAAAAACTGTTAATCCCGAAGATCCTGATCAGGATAATCGAACAAATTTATTAAATTATTGTAAAGTCATCGGTCCTTGTTAAGTGTGCGAAGTTTGAATTCAAATCGACGTTTTAGAGTGGGCGAAAACTACGCTCAGAGATTCCGTTATATACATACATAAATACCAAGCTAATAAAAGCGTGTTGAAAACAATTTAATCTAAAATGTATATAGGTATTTACACAGCTGTACTGCTACATAACGTTGAAATTTAAAAGATTCAAGATACTGAATAAGATTGATTGTTTATTTCGACTATATATTTGGTATATGGTTGGCAAAGTATATTTTTTGTTATCTTGTTTACTGCATTTTAGTAAAACGAATTATGAAAATAGATAGCGAGCACAACGAAGTAATTGGTGTTTGTTGATGTTACAAGGCCATTAAAATATAGTGTTACCTAACACACCAGACATAATATTTAACAGTATAAACCTTTATAACAGACTTCAAAAACACAAGAGAGGAGGTTCTCAATTTGTCTGTATGTTTTTTTATTTATTTTTAGTATAATATGTTATTTGCACAGAAAACAACTTACAGACAAAACTTGCTTGACCAAAAAACACGAATCAATAAAAATAATTCTAGTTTTTTTTTTAGAGTCAGCCTGTGACCACGGCCGGTGCATCCTGGTCGAAACGTCAGGCAAACCAGAGGTATGTAATACCCTAAATAAGAGATCGCGTTAATTCCCGTTAAATAATATTAATAATTCTAGTTTTCCTTGAACGAGTATAACTGGTGTCACCCAGCCGGTTATAATTTAAACTGTCATTGGATTTAGATGCAGATACATGAATATTCTTACACATACATACACCACATCACACATCAACAGCCTTTAACCGTCCACTGCTGATCAGAAGCCTCTCCTTTTTAAAAAGGAGATTTTGGTCTACCATACCACGCTGGTCTTGTTCTAAGTTTTCCTTCTCTTCGCAGCTGTTGTTCTGCGTAGTTTGCTCCCAAGTCAGTTCTTATGACACCCACGGGATGAATAGGGGTGGTGACACTCCGTATTCTTAATGCGTCACCACACGGACTGTACATACACTGACAGTTATACCGTGATGTGTTAGGCAGAAGTGTATAAACGCCCACATTTAGTCCCACATCTGTTATAAAGGGCCTATTGTCAAACGGGCTTGTCAGGAGTTATATGAGAAAAATTTCAGTATATTGTTAGTTATATACGCAAGTAAATGTAAAAATGTAAACAATGATAAGAAATATGAAAATTTGTATTTAAAAAAACGACCATCGACAACTAATCTTATGACATTTTACTCTATGATATGTTTTTAACAACAATAATGATGTATTGATGACGGCTTGATTGATTTGATCATCATTATAATGATATAAAGGTAGTCACTCAGCTTTTTAAGCATTTTTAGGTGCTTTTGACACAGACACAGACAGGGAAACAGTCTTCAAGGAAACAAAAGCAATATCATTTGAGATGGTGATCACAAAAAAAAAATGGCAAGTCCTGTAATAATAATAATAATATTTCCGGACATCTGACACACAAAGCCATCTAGTTTAAAACTAAGCAGAGCTTGTACTATTAAAGCTAGAATGACTTATATAGAATATACTTTTTTTTGTAAATACATACATATTATAGATAGAAAACTCCGTAACAAGTATTTGCAGATCATACAAACATTTGGTCCGAGCCAGGAATCAAACCCGAAACCTCGGCACAGCCGTCGCTACCACTGTACCACCGAGGCAGAAAAACCGAACGCAGATATATGCACTACAGATGAAGAAAACAGGTTCTATTAAACCACAGAAATCATTGCTTATAACTCAGCCGCTGTGGTTTAAAGCAAAAACAGCGAAACGCTGATGAAGTTGATTAAAACAGGGTTGTTGGCCATCCTTGTCGCCTTGCAGTAACATAGCAATACATACAGCCTTGACTTAGTAAACGCTTAATGGTGCAAAATCTGTTGTTCGAAAACTAAACTAAACTAAAAATCACTAAAATTTAGTTTAGAACTGTCAAGTACTACGTTTTCAGAATCAGAAACGTTATTTGACAGGACTAAAATATATTTTTTTGTGATTTTTAGTGTAGTTTAGAGAGTTTTCCAACAACAGAATTAGCACGAATGCCATTTTACTTACTAAACGCTTCTTCAGTAATAGTACAATACGCTCTGGATTTAAACTAGTTGTTACCGCGTCGTCTGGTTCTGTGTCTACCCGCATTTCGAGTACTATGATTCAACAGCCCCTACGAAAATATTGCGTTACATCATACCGTAACGAGAAGGGTTGAGGGCAGGGGTACTATCGATTCGTGACGTCACACAGCCCCGTACCGCACCCGATGAATTTGTCTAACAC